CTATTTTTCTGTTTTGAAGTTTTGTTCCTCTTTTCACCACCATCATCAATTATAAAAATGAACACCCATGAAGAAGGTCAGTAATTTGCGTCATGGATGTGGGCGAATTTTGTTAAAGATTGTTTTACCATCAACCTAAACAGTAATACTACCTGATACTTAAATTCTCATTGATCTCAGTGAGACACTTGTTTTCAACCTCCCCGGTTAGTGTTTTTCGAATTATATACTGATTTCACAGTAGTCTAAATATGACTGTGTGTGTGGGAACAACATGTGCAAAGTTCAAACCTGACGAAGCTAAAAATATAAGCGAGTTGAGAAAAGTGCTGCTCCGTTAACTTCTGAGGTTTAATGCTGCCCTTCTGATCCGGAGCGCTTGAGCAGGGCTCTTTTTTTTCAATTTTTTTTTCCACGATATCGCCCCTCATATAGCCAGTAAGCATAGATAAAATACAAGAATCCTTAGAATGAAGCCAAATGCTTGTGATCTCCAAGTGAATCACTACAACGTAAGCTTAAGTTTCTTCGGGAAAGGAAAGACTGGATTTATTTTGATAGGATCCATTTCGATACAACTTCCTTTTCATGACTTGCTGACAGGACGTTCAATTATGCTTGTAATGGTCACGGACACCACGTTATATATCACCAGATGAAGTTAGAGAAGGCAATTGTTCATGCATAGTAATTTCGGCAAATTAATAAAATAAAAAATAACTGTTAACCTTAACCCAACCGTAACCTTATTAAAGTACAGCGTCAACCCAAATGATTTAAAACTTTTAACAAAATATGTCAACAGTTGGCGAGGGTGATTTCTAATTAATTGCATAATGAAGAGTTCATAATAGCAGCTACTTTGTCTTATTTTCGAAACTCTTCTGCTGAAAATGCGACAACTTGAATTTTATGAATATCATCATGTAATTATTCTAATAAATAGGCTTGTGTTTTCTGAAATTTACCTTCGATGCTAATGAGAGGTTTTGATTGTGAAACATTTAATCACCTTCGATGCAGACGAGGAAATTTTAAGATTGACACTGACGTTTATGAACTCTAGACAACAACCCTGTTAAAATTCAAATTTGGCCAAACTTAAGATTAACACTTATCTAATTTATCAAAGTTGCGTTAACCAGATTGTTATCTGTGTAGACCCGCAGTAACTAGACGTGAACTTGAACTTCCTCAAATAATGCTTCATCATGTCCCTTGAAATGATACTTCAGTGGGTCAGTGAGTCTACGTGTAATTGGTAAGCAAACTGAAAACGGACTGAAAATAAACAAAATGTCCTTGTTCTCATGCGACGGAACTCATCATGTGCGACAGCTCTCGTAACATGCTTGCGGTTAGTGACAACATAACTTGCTGGGTTCCCTTCAGCTCGATCAATGAATTTACCGGTTCTTGGAGAGCCTGATAAACCTCTCTGAATCCCCAGAGGTTAAATCCCTTTTATATGAAAATATACACTATCTGTCTCGGGGTATGGGAAGCGATAACCTTGAAGAAACATTCTGATCGGCTTGAGGTAGTTTGTGCTGGAAACTTGATTGATTCCATAGTTTCGTCATGATAAAATTTGAGGACAATTCAGGACTGTACGATTTACGACTTAAGTTAGTGGATTAGATGACTAATATTTCATCTTACATGAATACCTCTTCGTAAGAAGAGAAGTAATTCAAGGCGGTCAGGTTCCATTTAACGCGTTAGCCACATGAACTGTTTAAAAGCATTTTATTATCAAAAACCACCTGTGCGTCCAAAAAGAATTCTGAGCCAAAATAGGACCAAATAGAAGAGTCACCCCATGTTGCTACGTATTTGTTGCACTATATATTACTCTTATAGCTGCAAACCTCAGCTGAGTAACTAAGTGCCTAAGAACCTATCGGCCTCGGTGCCAATTAACGCGCGAGTTATGGCGTGTTGTGTCTCAAGGATCACCAATGGAGTCAATTTGCTTCTCACGCGATGGCCCATACTCACAAATTCCCGCAGAATGGCCACCTTAGTCGATTTCCTTACTTTTGTTAAAACTCTGCTGATTTAGTGCCCCAAACGTACTTTGCATCTAATTCAGGTCTTTTTGATTGTCCATGGTCTAAAATTGCCTGTCGGTAAATGTACTTTACTCCACGTAAAAGACGAACGGAGCCATGGAGATCTGAACTCGCATCACGTGTCCTAAGTGCATGCACAACCTTTTGTTTGTAAACATATCTTAAAATTTGTGTTAAAAATAGCAAATTGTCGCGTGGTACGATCCGCCGAAGTGTTACGTACCAAAAAACCGCGTGTGGTTGTTTTGATGGTGTACAGTTATAAAGGAAATAGCTCTCGTACCTGTCGGAATCAACAAGAGGTTATCTTTTAATCAATAAATTCGGTATTTGGGACCGGAAAGTATCAGGGCATCTTAGCGTTTACTTCTTTATATTCCCGCCAAAGTTAACAGTGGCGCGACACCCTTTGAAGTGTATCGGGACGTTGTCAATAGGCTTGGACTTAAACTTATGCGCGATCATTTCTTAATTTGATTTCACGAACTCCTTTGAGCACAAATTTTCCACTGCTGGAAACCGTGAAATTTCTTTTAAAAAAAGAGATTTAAGTAGCAATAGCCGTCTATATACATGGGATATCGAGATTTTTTGTCTACATCACTTTAAGCGTATTTAAGGCCAGGAAAATTCAGATGCTGATCGCCTAAATTTACTCTAGGTTTACACTCATTAACATTTTTTTTAGCCTTTCCTCATAATTTACTCGAGCTCCCCGCTTTCTCGACCTGAACTTTGTCTCCTTTGGCAGTTCAAGTTGCTACAGTTTCTTTTTACGCTGAAAAAAATTCAATCGCTGCGAATTACTTTCTGAAGCGTCCTTCTTAAGAAAAACTAGGTTCCCTCTCCTTGTTTCACGATGCATTCCTAATCATGGGCGAACAACTCATGCTTAAAGATGTATGTACAGTACTGAAGAAATAGTCGCAACGTTTTTTGACGCAACCACTTCGACTATGCCCAGTTTGTTTACATGTGGTTGGACCTTTTCAGGAAACGATGCGTGAGGGGAATTTATGAACGTGTTAAAAGTCATAGGAATGTTATACCACAACATAGCAAGTTAAAAAAGAGTTGCCTGCCTGCCTACCTGCCTTTGCATTGCCTACGTCATTGCATTCATTAACGCTTTCGGAGACCTTCAAATGCTTATTCATTTAATTTTCCCCAGAAGAATAAGCTTCAGCAAATTAATGAGCATGCCGGCCGGTGTATTCAGCAAATAAGGCACAAAGGCTAATAATCCAAGGGGATTAGATTGTTTTAACATTTAGTGAAAAAAATATTTAGTAAACTGATTTTTTCTTCCGAGAAGGTATTGGCTCAAAACCACGAATGTTGCCAATATTTGTTAGTATCCTTTTTAAGAGGGGCCTGTGGGTTAAGTGATCGGGTTATTTTTTTTTTTATTTTTTTTTTTTTCGGTGAATGAAGAGAGATTTGGAGAGGAAATACTGTTTAATTAAATTTTCAAACAAAAGGACTTAAGAAAGGAATTTTTGGATACCTTGGCACTTTTGTTCTTTGATTGTGTAACGTAAAAAATTGCGGATTATGACAGAAGAGCTACATCCGAAACGGTAATAATGACTGAGTACTGTATTGTTTATGGAGAGGAAAAGAAATTTAAGACAAAGAATTTTAAGTCTATATGAGACAGATATCATGTAGAGTTAAAGAGTTCCAAACTTTTTTTTTAATTCCCGCCGAACGAAATGTGGTAACAACCTTGTAATTAACGATTTTATTTTCCGTACACTTTTGTGGTAGTACCTCTTCACTTAAGTCGAAAGCTGTTCGGCCAGTATAAAACACAGTAAATTTGCTGTAAAAAGGTTTCCTGATTGATGGGACATCCTCCAACATACCATTTAATCATTCACTCTCTCAACCTTTGACTGTCAGGCCCCAGAACATGGCAGAATGTAAATATTTGGGTCTCAGCACGTTCATGAAAAGGTTCCGATGGAGACCAGCACGCTTCACGAAATCCTGTGAATAAGCGAAGACCCATATTTTTAAACGAGATATTTTATTCGTAAATGTAAGTCCGTCGTTGTGTTTGATTACACGATGATGTAACGAAGTTATAGCCGACAATAGTAACAATCTTAATTCTTATTTTCCTTTTTATCATTTCGTCTCTCGACTTTTGGTTCACTGTTTTCTTTCCCTCGCTTTCTTTTTCCTGATGTTTCTTTTAGACGCATATCCTGTATACCCCATACGTAAATGAATCACACACAGTGAAAGATTTTCCTTTAATACGTTTTACGATAATTTCAAGCTATGCAGTGCTGGAACAGTGTCAACGAACAAAGATCTTTTTCTCTTCAAATTTCGAAGTCCCAAGATGAAACTGATGGTTTGATCGGATTTCAACTATTTCCAATAACTCTCTTATGTACATACCACGTATGATAAAAAGTTCCGGCAAGGAAGGAAGTTCCTTTTCAAATCAAATCTGAATGACTCACACACACACTCACACACACACAATTGGCTCGGGACGGTGACGTCGTGTAGCGGTACAAAGATTGTTTCAAAATGTGGCAAAGCTCAAGATAGTATAAAAAAATTTGCGATAGGAAAGTGAAAGAAAGCGATACGAGGCAAAGACTGGAAATCTAAAGCATTGATATTCTTTTAGGTTTTTTTTTCTTTTTCTCGGTTTTTTGGTTTTCCTATTTGGCAAAATTTCTTTTTCGTTTGACGCCACACACAAGCAAACAAAGATAATTAATCCATCATCAATGGGAGAGTTTCCCGCCAGCAGAGATTTCCGGTGTAATTTGAGTGGTATGTAATTTTATACTTCACAACACAAGCATACTTATACTTACGATAATAACTGATTCGTCAAACTTGCAGAGACAACCGTGCCGATCACACGAGGAAAATAGAACCGACTGACAACACTGAAAGATGGAGTGTATATTTTATCAAGTGGCATTAATTTTATTGACGACGCTCCTAAGCGAATGCGACACAAGGCCACACACCTCAAGAAAATTGTTATCTAATGGACAACCTCCTTCATTTGAGGCAAGTATCATGATGTTTACTAGTCTTAAACACTGAATATTGAAAGAGGTCAGTAATCTGGTACTTATTGAGCGTAAGTTAGATGGCAATGGGTCATACGCCCTTGACACTCGCCGTATCATCATTCTCTTATTTTACTGAACCGATCTTAGGACTTTGACAGCAGTTCACAAATTCGACAAATGGCCGAACGTACGTTAAAAAAACGCCCGCAGACAGTGAAGAGAATTTTAAGATCGTGGATCAGAAGAAAACCAGTTCCACGGCAGCCTAAGGCGGCAGCAAAAGATGCTCATCTGGCTAATCGCACCGCCTACTTGGCACAGATCAACAGTTCGCAGGTTCGAAATCGTCGCTATGCGCTATCAAGTTCCTCGTGGGGTCACAGAAATCTTATCTGGTATGCCAACGTACAACCCATGGCTGCAGCGGTTTTTACGGCGGCATTTAGGGTTTGGGCAGAAGTTAGTAGATTCACGTTCAAGCGGCAGTCTCACTTTGACAGTAACGTAGACATACAACTCAAGTTTCTCAAAAGTAAGTGACTTTGAAATCTACCTCAATAGCATGATTAGATGCAAGCTGAATTGTGCCACCTACCTACCGCTGCTGGCATTTTTCAATGACACTAATTTAGAAACAGCAATTAGTAGCGTCTCAGTGATGTGTATTCATTTATTTATATATATATATATATATTTATTATTATTATTATTTGCTTGTTTTGCGTGCGTAGTTTATCTGATGAAAGACAGAGGAGTAAATTTTTTTCGTCCGTACCACTTTGTATATATCTTGTACCCTTTTATCATCTTTTACATTCCTAGCGAATGAATATCAACACCAAGAGTTAATTATTCCGCCATTTCACAATATATTAAAAACTGACTGTGACTTTTTTAAGGAAATCTTTGCGTGCAAACAAGACTGGAGAAAACATAGAGAAAAACTGAGGGGGGTGGAAGATGCTTTATGGATGTTGGGTAGGGTTTTTTAAGGAAAATAAGGGATCTTCAAAAATCTGTTTTATTTTCAACTCCAGTTAAGTAACAGAGAAAGAGAATTGATCGAAACACGTCATTTGCGCTGAATTTTTAGGGATGTTTTATCAATTCTTGTCTTGGAAAAGTCCTCTCCGCCTTTTATCTTCTTTGGGTTATTTTTCGCAACTTATCGTGTTACAATTTCCGCCTGAATTTCCGCTGTCGCCGGCTTTGACGGAGAGCCAGAGCTACTCTAGAATGCTAGGAATGTCATTATGTGATCACAATTTTAAATTGAAGTACTCTATTAAAACCCTGACTTCCCGTTGGGTGTCGGTAGTCGATAGAATATACAAAATGGCGGCTTTTTCTTCTCGTGGTGAAAAAGGAAGAGTGCTCCTTGTGCATACTTTTACTTTCACTCAAAACTATGTATAACCAGACACGGTTTTGCCAGACTCGCACCGTATGCTGACTGCCCAAGTATAAACTGAACGGAGTTAGAATATCAGCAGTCGTTGTTTTGAATACGGCTGTTTCGAAAAAGGGTACCGGAATAAAGCATTAAAATGCACGCTTCAACCTCGAAAGGTATTGTGGGTAGTTTTCAGGTCACGTTGACTTCAGGATCTAAGGAAATCTGAGAAAAACGTTACTGTAAGGACGAGGCATTGCGGGTTGGAGGAATTTATTTTTTCATTTGACTTATTAAAACATTGATTACTGGATACCTAGATTACTTTTCGAAACTGTCGCGTGCAATTATGTCCTTTTTTCTAACAAACTTTCTCGAAACAGCTGTAAGCATACAGTCTACGAGACATGTTACTCTTTGCACGCTTTGCTTAACGTACTTGATAGATCATTCACTTATTTGTCGTTATTTCGTCTAAGTTATTTTTTACTGCGCATAAAGCAAGCATTTTGGCCTATGTTACGGATTCCCTCGCTTGTCTTCCTTTGCATGGCTTCCTTTCCTCTGGGAACTGTAGCTGTGGTCAATCATGGAAGTCACGTAATGTGCCGATCAATGCGAAGTTTTAACATTCCCCCGCGCCACCCACGGGCAGATGGCCGTCATCCGTAGGGGTAGGGAATTTGAACCTTGCCTGGCTGGGGTGGGGAATTTAGACAAGAGGTGTTCAATGTCAGCGAAATAAGAATATGAAGGTGCGTAAGGTTAAAAGTTCACTTTCGCGAGCGAGTGGCTCAGAAGAAAAGGTCTGCAAGACCCAAGTCTTAAGGCTTGCACAATGTGTAGAAAGTCGCGGTCGTTGATTTTGCCATTCACAAAAAAAATTGGTTAGGGCATTTGACACAATTTCTGAGGGGGGGATGTTGGAACTTCGAATAAGAGCTATATTCCGTAGAGAGTGGTGTTCCGCTAATGCCTTGTATCATTTGTTAACCGAATTTCTTTTAAAAATCTGGTCTTAGATGGTCACAATGATCCGTATCCATTCGACGGTCCTGGCAACAGTTATGCGCATGCTTTCTATCCTCCTCATGGTGAGGTCCACTTTGACGCTGACGAGAAATGGGATATCCCTTATACCCACTGCGCAGCATTCTTTAACAAAACCATCTCACCCGTCCAACCTGGCTGTAAAAGTTTATTTCGTGCCGCAGTTCATGAGATAGGACATAGTCTGGGTTTGAAGCATTCTTCTGTTTCGACTTCCATTATGTATCCAACCATAAGCCTGGACACAACAGACGTGTGTCTCGATGATGACGATATCGCGGGTATTCAGCATCTTGCAGGTATTACTTTATACGTTCATTACTTACCATAAAATACATCGGTGGAATGTTATTCTTTTGTTGCACCTTGTTGGTCTAATTTGTTAAACTCTGTACTCTATTTGTCTTCCCTAATATAAAATACAATGTGTGCTATTTCATCGGTTTTATGGGTTTTAAACTGCTATCGGTTTCTTACACGTCGCCAAACAACGCCTAGAATAGATTGTTTTGAAACTTAGGTCAATTTTATTTTTCTATGCATTTTTGAGATTGGCGGCCATTATCTTCGTCATGTACGAGAGGCATTATTATGCGAAGAATAGATTCATGAGATAGAATACGTTTAATCTACTATTAGTCTCGTACTCAGTCCTTCCACAGTTAAACGGTAGAAAGTACATTTCAGTTACGCGGTAGGATCTAGGTGTGGGATTAACACACCATTTTAACCACGAATCAAGGCTACACAGGTTGTGATATCATCTTTACGTATACAACATATCTATTTTCGTTTGCTGCTTTATGGTGCGAATTGATTGTAGCATACGAGTCACGCATGCCATGTTCTACAACTGTGTTTCGAGCATACAATGTACATAGCGCGTATATATGACAGTAGTTAAAGAAATGATGGTGATGATAAAAATGGCGGCAACTATAAAAATGATAATGATGTCGAAAATTACAGTGCAGGAAGTATGAATACCAATGTCTTTAATTCTGTTCTGTCATGTCATAATTGGTCTAAGTTAAGCGTTACATTCTCTCTCTAAGGTAAATGTGTCCCCAGAGTGAAAAGTATTTTTAGCTGGCGTAAACATCAGAATGGTGTTTGGGCGACTTACGTCATGAAAGGAACAAATTACTGGAAACTTGACGCAGAAACTACCGTTTCTATGCCAACCTATCCGCTGGGTATAGTCAATGGATGGGTTTCTTTCCCAATGGACCCCGATGAAGTTTTTGATTATAGCACTGGGGACGTCACGTACATTTTCAAAGGTTCAAAGTATTGGAAATACGACAATTATGGAGACGTGATGTACAGAGGCTATCCCCTAAGTATAGCCGGTTATTGGCCAGGGATACCAGACAATATCGATGCTGCCTTTTCTACTCTTAATCATTATACCTACTTTTTTAAAGGTAACAAAGTTTATAAATTTAATCAAAGATTAGATACTACAAGCACAGGGTACCCGAAAAGTACTTCAGAAGAATGGTCCGGTGTTCCTAACGATCTAGATAGTGCTTTCGTCGATAGGAAAACGAATACGATCTACTTTTTTCATCAAGATTATTATTACACGTGGAACACAACCACACAAAGTACAAACCCAGGGGGCCTAATCGGTCATACTAGATTTTTTGAAATATGCGATATATAGATATAGTTTAACCCTGTTCCTCAGGGCTAGCAATTAATTTTCTCATGGCAAAAGATGTTAAAGAGTCCCTAATCCCTGTGTATAGTTGTAGATTACCTTTCAAGCGTTTGACAATAAGCAGCTAAATATTGAGTTTAGTATGCCTTGCTTTGGTACTGAAAGTTGTTACAAATTTAAAATGTCCATAGTCTGTGTTAAAGGAGTCGAAACAACCGCAACGGCAATAGTGGATACGAATATCATGGTTGAGAAAAAGGTTTCATAGGCAATTCAAAACTGGTAACTCTAGCAAAGATTTATGATCATTAAAGTTTTAATTTAAACATAATTCTAATTTCCCTCGACCTTATCCAAACGAAGTGGTCGTTTTGGTTGTTTAGACTTCTCTTAATTTCAAGTGATATATAATATTGTGACGACGCAACAATATCGTTGCGCATCGACGCTGTTTCTAACAAGTGTTTTCTAATACGCTGCAAGAAACATAGAGACGCTTACGACAGTCAGTTTAACGACAAGAGGCTAATATTTCCAAACACAGAACGCCTCGCTAAGGAATCGACCCTACTTGGCAAAAACTACATTGTCAAAATACCCGACGAACGCCTATCTTGCGTAAGAATTTTTTTAAATGACGATGGGCATTTTCAAGAACGTACGGAAAAGCCCTGATATGTGTCAATGATTATAAGGACTGTTTCATCAACTCAGGTATGTTAGTGTACATATCAAATGACGAGCACATTTCCCCATGACATGTGTGATATAGTGCACTTCATTTCAAATCATCTTGAGCTCGTCTCAAGCTTAGCTCGTGATGAGAGTGATCAAGATAATTTTGTTGCTGTTTAGAAACTGGAAATAAATATTTCTTTCAGAAAAAGTTGTTCCGTTTTCGTGAAACTCGACCCCTGCTATGTATATTTCCTTAAGGTTCCGTTTCGTTAGCCCCTCGGAGTGAATAGTATCAAACTTCTCATAATATCACCCCTGAATCAAACATTAACGCCACAAGAATAAATAATGAAAATTGAACTCGGTGGAGTGCAGTTTGGTCAGAAAGTATACTCGAGGGCGAGTTTGATTTGAAACCACAGGTATGATTTCGAATTTCAACTAGTTCAATTACCACTGTATTACATCCATTTTGATATTACAAAATTCAGTCGCTCAAATGCAGGAGTTTTTAGTCTACAAATATTTTACTGATCCAGTACTCAGCTGGTTTTTAAAAAGTTGCAAAAGCTGTCTTTCATTTTTCTGCAATTTGATTGGTTAAGCAAGCCCTTGAATCTGATTAGTTTTGTGTTTTAGCGAAGCTTTCTCATTAGCTGGGAAAAAGATGCGATTAAGAAAAAAAAAGTGCGAATCGTGTATGAATCGCGTGTATAAATCAGGTAAACTTTATTGTGACATAACCAAAATCTTCGAGCCCCTTCCCCCCTTCGGTGATAAACTATGACCAGTCCGTTACGTTTTACAGTTTTCACTATTCAGGCACTTCTATTACTTCTGCCATTTACTTTATGAGGGCCTCGTTGAATAACACATCAGTGACGTTGGCTCCCTATCAAGATATCTTTATTATGACTTGTTTCAGAGCCACTTTATGTTGGAGGTCCCAAAGCGCAAATACTGTTAATCCCAATTTCATTGCTATTCATCAAGAACTAAAAAGCCAATGTTAACTATCGTTTTTGTTGATGTTTCAGGGCAACGAAAGGTTGGGATTTTTCTTATTTGAATCTGTTTACACAGAAATGCCTGTCAGTTGCACTGCAATGGCATTTTTACATCGTCCAGCAAACTAGTGTCAAAATGCCAAACGCTGAGTGGTCGAAACCATTCAGAGCCCCTTTAAATTACACATAATATGACGATAAGAGTAGCTGGTAGTTGTGAGTTTAATGGAATCAGTGCATGATCGTTTAAGCAGCCCATAATAGTCTGTCTGTCACATGGTCCTCGTTGGCTTTGTGGTCAAACAATAGGGACAGTGTAAGTAGAATGAGACGAATGGATGATATCCAGCGGAAATTCCTCTGCCGTAGCATCATTTAGTTGGCATTCTCCCTCGCCATCCGCGTGCTGTGATTTATAATTGATTGATTTGCATGTTGGATTATTCATGCAAAGAAAAGCACAATGAATGGCGGATGACGTTAATTCTTCGTAAATCACATGATTAATGAGAGCATTCCACTCGTTGCTGATGAAGGATTGTTCCTTCTTTATTGCGCTCTTGTCTGTGGTGAAATGAAAAAAAGTGTGTTGTTTCAGGTGTTTATAGGAAGTTGTGTGATGTCGTTCAGGGGTGTGACATCGCTTAATAAGATATGCATACTCTTTGGACTGAGGCCATGAGGGTCCTTTTCATTTCTACGGAAAAACCATATCTTGTAAGAAAAAAGAGGAAAAGGTCTTTTCCACAAGAGGAAGGTATAAATTAAGAAGTATTCCTCTCCTCGAGTTTTAACCGGAATAACTGGTAAATCACTGCATTTTTTTCTATTCCTCCCATCAGCCAATTACTCCATACTACATTAAGTTGAAACTTAGGCAGCCATCGTTTCTGTTAAATTGATTATTAGGGTTCGCGCCAGCCGTTAATTAGCAACTTCAAATGTGCGTGCAACTAAAAATAACTACTAAATTTGACACAGCCCTTAGTGAAAGTCAGTAATATACAACCTTCCGAATTTGGATGGCGCTTGTGACTAACAGCATGGTAATTAAATATAAGAATAAAATTAATGTAATTTGCAAACTATAATAATATTGTCTCAAACTTTGAACACCTGTTAAATTTTTGTTTGTTTGTTTGTTCATTGGCTTGAATCCTTTTCATTTTGTGACCAACATGAAATAACTGACGCAATAAAAGGGTGATTGATGTTTAAGTTTAAGGTAGTGAAAACTAAGTCATTAAACCAGGGGTTTACCGCAATTATTCAATTTACCCCCTCCCCCCCTAAAATTTGATGTTGTTTGTTAAAAACTGCCCCTATTTTCTAGGCGCTCCATTGAGTAACCACCCTTTTTCTTATAACTGCACCTATTCTGTTTCAGCGATAGCATTATTCGCAACGGATGTAGAGCAATTTTGTCAATTCAACTACTCTCTGCAAGTCACAAATCAGCTCACCTTTCCCATCGAAGGGCTGGGCGTGTGTAAGTTTACACACATATTTATACCACATAATACACGGTGTGTCATTCCATTTTCCACGGGACGACGACCCATCCAGAATTACACAATCGCTCATGTTAAAGCCATCATTAGGTTCATTATCTTCCCAGTTCTCATATGTAACAGTGCTGCCATCGCTCCAAACGAACACTCCTTCAGTTTTGTTGTCGTTAAGACCAATGAAAACGTTTTTGCCTCCGGCCAAAGTTCGCACAACTTCGTTTTCTTCTGGGCTATGAATTGACACCAGATTTGCTTGGTCCTTTTTACAAGCAGCAGAAGCGGCTGAGAAAGAGGCTTGGGAAGGAACAAACTTAAAGCAAGCTTTATTCCATTCTTTCCATCCCGAGTGACACTGAGCTGCCTTAGAACACCAAAAGAATCCACAAACTAAAAAAGAAAAAAAAGAAAAATAACGAAAAAAAAAGGTATTATGACTCCATGTGTCGTCGGCTATAGACTACAATAAGCCCTTGCTTTTTAGTGAAATCCGTCGCACGGGTCACAAAAGAAATCAGTCCAAAAAAGAAAAGGTCAGTGCGCAGTGCAGAACTCTGGGAGTGAGGCACAAGGCACTAATATCATTTGTTTGTTTGTTTGTATTTTTCACTGATTTGTTTTCACTTGTACGACAGACTTCACAGAAAAAGAGGTTGCTGGTAGTCGACGTCAGTTATGCGAAAGTTTAATACTCATGACCTTGTTCTGAAATGGTGCGAAAATAGAGGCAAGGTCTACAATATGGGAAATAATTGTGGGAAATTGTAGCAAATGATGTTGGAAAGTGCTCAATACACATGAGTGTAGAGCGAAATACAGTTCAAAATGACTGAAATGAAACAGGCATGATTCCCTGTAACTCTGAGTTTTGTGCTTACACGCTCGTCCGACAGATTTAATGAAAAACATTCTTGTAGGCTAATTTATATAAATAAAGAAAGGTAGCTGCTGATTACAATAGGTTGTTGTTATATAATAGGTGAGAAAAACTTACTGAATAAAAGATCTGAACTTATATCCGAATGCCGTCACGAAAACAAGTTTTATCTAAAGAACATCTGACGCTTTCCCGCTACAATAGACTTTTGTCAATATATTTACACCTACTGCCTCATTGTCCTTCATTGATACATCCACACCCATTGTAATTTTGGCTTTTTCTCACCTACTATATAACAACAACCTATTGTAATCAGCAGCTACCTTTTATATATAGATTTAATTAAACTACGAGAATGTTTTTCATTAAATCTGTTTGAAGAGTGCGTAAGCACGAAACTCAAAGTTACAGGGAATCATGCGTGTTTCATTTTAGTCATTCTGAACAATATGGGAAATATATATTTTTAGAACACTTCAACGGCAGTGCCGGTCATTTTGAGGAAAACGAACCGTAAAATATTTTCTGTAATCTAAAAATCATTTTAAATTATCAAGGTTACCCTTCCGACGACACGATTTTATCTAATTTCCTGAAATATTTATGGTGTGTAATGAAATCAATAAAAATGGCTAAGGCAACTTAAACTATATGAGAAATTTGCATTCAAAGACATTTTCCGCTCTTTTCACCGTCGTGTTTTATAGGGTCGAACTGTTTTAACTGTTTTTGGATCTAACTCATTTACGCCAACACTGAAAAAATCAGTAATGTCGTGGTTCTGATCAAGGTACACTTTCAGGTTGGAATTCTGCATCACTGAATTATTTCAAAATATAGCTAAATTTTCAATGCGTATTTGTTAAATAAAAATCAGAATTTCCATTTTCTGTAACAGGTGAAAGCTTTTTATAGAAACAATTTAATATGTCCGGTCAAATAGAAGAGAAAAAAACCATTTGAAGGTAACAATCGTCACCTTTCGGGATCTTTAAAACCTAAGAACGATCCAAATGTGTCATTGCCGGCTGTGTAATTACACTGAATGGATCCATAACACTAAATCTGTAACTCATTTACTTTTATGTTCATTACATTTTTAAAATCAAAACCTTTGAAAGACCATCAAGGCCTGTAGAGTAATTAAGAGCCGTATGAAACAGGAATATACCCAGGCAGAAAAGGAGGCACCGACATCGAGTAAAAAGGTCTTGTTTTTATATAAGTGCTCTAAGTTTGCGAAACTTAAGTTTTTATGCCTGCCACAACAAAACATAACAAAAAATAAACGACATCAACAACAAACGGATCAAAATAAAAAAAACGATCTCGGAATCAATTTTCAATTCTTTAACTCAGGTTTAACATCCTTGTTTGAAAGCTAAATTTCATTAAGAAGATGGTATAACTATTTCCTGATTAAGATCTGCATTCGGGCGATTGCAGGTAGACATTACCAAAGGAAAGAGACAGTAACATATTTCGCCTTACGAAGGCGAGTCAACTAATGCTATCTCACTTCAGCTTCAAAGCCTGCGGTAACTCATCGGTTCTTGATAAAAAAAAAATTATTTCGTTCGGTTGTTAGAAAAACATTTTCACTGTCTCTCATAGCTTCGTTTGGGCGTTTTCGGCAAATGTTTAGCTAAGAAAACTTGACATCTGCAAATTTGTAGCATCTGTCATTAAGTGTGCTTTTCTTGAATTTCCTCTGCGTTTGCCGCCATCATTTAATTTTTTTCACCAAAAAACCCACCATTACATGTTCGATGTTTTGATACGCCCTACTTGTCCCCCGTGAACCTGAAATCGACTTTGCTTGTTGCAATGTGTACAGCTTCCGTGAAAACAGTGAAATGAAAGCATTGCCCTTCCCTTAAGGATTTTTGCAGCTTTTCATAGCCGTGTAATTGTTTTTCTCTAAGGTCAATTTTTTCGTATGACCCGATTCACTTAAATGCATTTCTTAACTCGCAACGTTCTAGATTGGATAGCAAGTGGAGAATGTTTAAAAGTGGAATAAAATTCAAAATGCCATAGAAAAGAGCCTTACTTGTAAACGCAACACCAACTGCTGCAATCCATCTTTGTCGGTTCATGCTTCTTTGGAAATGACAGTTAAAAACTTACTACCCTATTTCAAATTAAAAAATATTACCTCTCTTATGATTTGAAATTTATTCACAAAGGCGCCGCTCATGTTCGATGAAATGTCCTAGTAGATTCCGAAGTATCCGCCGTCAGGAACATTTACAGCATCAAAATTAAAAACACTTAAAATCGGTGACGTCAATGACAACACTTCTGGTTCCTTTCGCATCATCTCATTGTGTTCCAATTTAAGATCTTCCAAGGGATTAGAAATCGGAAAATGCTCCTTTTTTCCAGGTAAAATTTCCTTGTATTGTAAACTACCACAGAAGCATATTTGATGTGGATGAAAAGTGAACCAGATGTGATAAAAGGTAAATAATTATTGTTATCACTTTTTTGGACATTTGTGGTGCATTTTGCGATATTAGAGCCCGATGAAATAAACCAATGAAAAGCGAGAATGAAACATCGTTCGGTTTAGGCAGATAATAAATGTCACAAATCCATTCATTTCGACCACTCATGGAATCATTTAGAAATAATGTGCTTAGAATCAAAGGAACGTTGACAGAGAGTTTGCATTTCTTTGCAAGATAAATTCATGACGGAGAGAAAACTGAAAACAAAAGTTTTGAAGGGGTCCAAATCTGCGAGAGGTGGTCCACATCCGCTAGCGGATATGGAACGGAGTTCTAAATGCGCGGGGGGTCCAAATCCGCTGAGACACTGGTAGCAGAGACCCCTCTGAAAGGAAGACGCATTTGGCAGGAGTTGCCTGCTTTACCGTGGGAGATCTGGGTAGAAGACATACCTGTGCAAAGTATGTAGAAAATTGGAAAACATACTAAGATGACTCAGCTGACCAGTTATACCGATTTCTCATAAATAATGATGGCGACGAAATTTGGCTGGAAGAGAAAATTGCCTCAAAATTTAGTTGAGGAAAGGGCTGCTGTATTCGATGAAACCAACGAAAATTCAGCTGATGGCGTAGAGGAACCATTTGAATTGGACTGGCGAGTCCTTTTAGTGAAAAAAGGTGTGAAAAGCATTGAAGATAGCGTCACTAAAAGCAAGCGGCTCGAAGAAGAAGGAGTTTCTCTCGCAGAGCAACAGAGGTGGTACTTTTATAAATTGTTGTTACTTTGATTAGTTATATCTAAAGTAGAATAGTTTCTTCCCGTGGAGTAGCGTGTATATCACTTCATAGGCTCAGCGCCTCTCTGCGTACTTGGGCCTCCTCTAAATTGCTGTAAATGTTTTATTGCCTTGTAGCTTTTGCTTGCTTCTTCCTAACCCTTTAAAACCAAAGAGTGGCCGGAGATACTGATAATAGGCTATAACGGGTTTAGAGGTTCTTACTTAATCTTATTTGTCCTAACTTTGATATTTATGCATCTTTATTTTCAATTGATGTTGTGACAGGTACTGGGAAGCACTTGGAAAATGGAACGAAGCGGTATTGTTGACTCCAAACAATGCAAAGCTTTATGAAATGAAATCACAGGTAATGGTACTTTTCTCCTCTCACCCTAGAACTTAAAAATTCCAGGGCTTAGGCTAGGATTTTAAGCCTTGGCTTATCTGTCATATGAGTTGTTATTCATATTAGCTTTTTTTTTCATGTGTAATATAGATATTACTAGAACTACATGAGTTATTCCCTGCTATACAAGCAGCAGAAAAAGCAGTTTCTTTGAACCCTTGTTGGTATGTAGCCTATCAAACTCTTGGTCGTGCACAGATGGGGTATGGTGATGTTGAGATGGTAGGTACCAAGGGTATCCCATTTTATTATATAGATACTGATGAAAAACCAGGATTTTTCTTTTTACTGAAGAATCATATCTTCATCGCACGCAGTGAAGATACTATTTTATCTTTCATGTGTGAGGATATTGGTATTGCCATGGTTACTAACATGATAAGTCAATTACAAGAGAGCTTCCTGCTCAGGCATGCAGCCAGTTCTTTTGACATTTCATCAGTATAAACAAAATAAACAGAACATTACATGGCCGCTTGGGAATACGGATTTTATCTTCTTGTGCTGTGAGAGATACTTTCAGCATTTGAAGATAAAATTTGTACCCCCGTGCAGCCATGTAATATCCTCTACTTTTTGCTAAATCTGCTAAATATGTCAATTGATTGTTGTATATAAACATTATCAAGAAATTGATAAATAAATTAATAGTAAACCATTTAGATAGCTTGTAAAGTGGTAGCCAGTGTCTCAATTCAAAGCTCTCCATAATTTATCACAGAAAATCTGGGAGGAGTGTCTCTATGGGACAAAGCTAGGTATTTGGAATGCTGGGAATTTATTCTGGTGATCCTGAATCAACTCCGCCTAACCTTTTTTTTATTAGAACACAGAGCAATTATCACGCTAATCTGACCCTACATGTTTGAAGACAGATCCCTAGACACTTGACCACAAATTCTTAAGAAAACTCTTTACCAATTTTTTTATGAAATGTTATTGCATACAAGAATTTTGACGTGGTTGTTGAGAAATCTTGTTTGAGGAATTTCTGGTAGATGTTCCTAGCTTTTAATTTTCCAGAACATTATCAACATGACATCTAAATCACTATGTCTTTTGACATGTGATGTCTGCAATGGTATTCAGAGGAAGTTTCTTATACTTTCAGTAAAACTGCTTGGTAAGTTAAGCAGTTTGGCAATGTATCTCAATTTTCTTACTTTTTAAGACCAGATTTGTATAGAAAGCTCAACATTTCTAAATGTTTTGGCTCAAAACAATGTTATAAACAAATTTATAACTGACAATATTTCATGTGAGTACAACAAAATATTTGAAATGCTTTGTTCCATAGGGGGTGAAAAGCTTCTCAAAAGCTATTCTGTTACAACCTGATGAATCAGAGGTAAGGAAATAATTGATCTTATTTTCTCTCTCAGCTATTATGTGCACGATCATTGGTCAATTTAATGGGAAGCATTTCACTGTACAGCAAACTAAATTCAAAAATTTATTTTGAGCAATTGAAATCCTCCCCCTCTACTTGAACCAAGAGATGCAATGACTATCTTACTAACCTCATTTCTCAGCTTGCTTTTTCTGCTCCGTTTTATGACCTACACTCTTTATGCTTGGGCCATAGATCTGAGAGGAATAAACTTGGACAATAACTTAAAGTATGCACCTCAAACTTGGTTAGTAAGAGGTATAAAGTGTTTGATGGGGCATTTTTCACAATATTAGATAGATGCACAATAGAATAACATTTCCTTATTTGCATCAATGCATTTTGTTACCCTGCTCAATTATAAATTCTTTTGGAGATGTGGTCAGAGGATTTGCACTGGGCCTGGAAACTGAGAGAACAGAAAAGGAAACAAGATGAGATCAAGAATAGTACAAATCCTTCTGTCCTAGAAAGCAAAGAACTCTTCGAGCTATATGCCACAGACTTGGGACAGGAAATAGAGATGGAACAGACACCACTGAATTTAATAACCAAGGAAAAGTGAAATATTAATATAGAAAGAATGTATGTGGAGAAAAAAATATTTGTGGTCAGGCAGTGAATATCTATTGACCTGCCAATCAGTAGCTCATAGAATGCAAAATGTCCTGGATGGTCGTTCCTGTAACTGATCAGTAGCCTTGTCAGTGTCACTCAAAACTTGTTTGGATGTAATGCACATCACCTTTGGGAGTCAAGTTACTTATAGTCATCAGTTGTGATAAGGAATGTACAGTGATAGTTTGAGGTCATGGAGCTGAATGGTTATAAAGAACATCGGGTTTACTTGCTATATTTCTTTAGCATTTAGGACCTGAAAGTGGATAACTTTTGAAAGCACTTAAATAATTTTTAACTGAAAGAACAGTGTAAAATTCCTATTCATTTATGCAGTCACAGTGTGAGCACCAAAACATAAGAAAGCCTTGGTTAACTCTTTGTTCTTCACAATGATAAGATTCTACTTTAAATATTCCTCCTACATATTTTTCTGCTTCAAATCAGTGAAATTGAACTTGTTCATTCTTAAAGAGATTTCCAATCTGTAATACTTTTTGGATATTTTGTTTGTCTAAGCCAGGATAGCATTACTGAACATTTCCTTTTTCAGAAAAATCCTAGGTAGCCTTTTCTTCACTAGGTAAGGTAAGGTAACCCTTAAGTGATTTACAAAAATAGTTTATGGCAGTCAGCTGACTTGGTCTTGAAATAACTAGTTTAATTTATAGATGGCATAGGCAATATTAGTGTCAAAAGTAAACACAAATTAGTATTTTCCTTAACATGCTATCTATTACAGCTTACAGAAAAATCCAAACTAAACCAAGACTGAACTTGCTCAGTCCTTTATTCCCCAAGAGTGACTGGCTTCTAATTTCTTCTTGCAGTATCACTATTGAATCAAATATAAAGGGCATGAGAATAAAGAGAATGATCACCAGTTTAAGAAGCTCCCGATAGTCAAACAAATTCTCCTAGTCAGTACCATAGGAAATGTTATGGCAACAGAATGGAGAATATCAATATTCATGTTAGAGTGCAAAAAAAAAAAGAAGTATACCCTGGAAACCAATATCTTTCCTTCAATGTCATGTTAGGGTTTATCTTTCACAAATCCCTTTTGGCAAAGTTTGAGGATTGCTGAGAGTATCAACTTGTTAGAAAGTCTTCAAGTGTGCTAAAAGTTTAAGACAACAGTCAGCACCTAAGGCATCTCAACAGTGCAGAGATCAAACTGTTGCAGCTGTACTCATCACAAAAAATTAATCAGATTCACAGCCAGGTTGCTAAGCAAGGGTGAAAATGGTGCTTTCAGGGATCAATTTTCAACCGGATTTAAAGACAATTTGGGAAAGGTTAGATACTTTGGAATCTCAAAAGGCAATGATTGACACAATTTCTTGTGATTGTGTAAATAACAACTATCTTGTTTCAGAAGTAAAGTTCTCTTTAAACTTAACCTCATCACCTTGAGGGTGTCTTAGTTGAAATTAATTACAACTTCACCACTTGGCCTTTATAATGCTCTTTATTCATCACGTAAAACCATTACATCATTTAAATTCTTTTTTTCTAGTTTCCATAACAACATTAAAGATAAATCCTACTCTAAAACTTGCAGTTAAGAGCTAGAGTGCTGACTTTGAGAAAATGATAAATTAGTAAATAGAACTATGCAGTAAGACGACCCTTGTACTACTTCCCTGATGCAAGATTTCATTAGACATTTCAAATTACTCCTTAAGGAGTAGCTACTGAATCGACATTGGGTGACTTAACATTAAATTTAAAAATTGAAGATAAAGTCTCTTACTTTAACCCAGGACTGATTTGCCATCAGAACACACAATACATTTGATAATTCTGTTGACTAAATATTTACCGCTAAAAGAAGCAACATTGCCTCAGCCTCCCAAATGCTTTTGATGGAATCAAACCTGGAGACAGAATGCAGACTTTGGTGTCTGAAGAGAGCCTATGATGTAATGGTATTGAATACTACAAAGAGAGAGAGATGGAGAAAACAAAGCTAAGCAATCAGAATTCAGTTACCACTCAAGGTTGAAAATATGCCATTTTCTACTCTATGTAGTGGACAACAGTGGTCCACCAAAGCATAATCCTTCTGGAGTACCATATGGCTCCAGAGTTTATCACAATCAACAGATGTCAGAAATACTCTCACCCAGACTTAAGGTGAAAGGTGCAAGTTCACAATAATCATTATTTCACAAAAGAGAACTGCTGAAAAGTGTTTCTTGGAAAAAAATGTCTAGCCTAAATAGCATATCAATACTGTTGGGTCACTTACCAACAAAACAAAACAAACAAAATCAAACTATAAAAATGAACCAAAGATAAGGCTGATCAAAAAGTAATTTACAAGAACCTGAGTGGTAAGCCAAGGATCACTAAACAATTTTTCTTAATTTCCAATCTATTTTCCTGTGACATATGATGGTCACAAACCACATGTACATTTTGCAACTGGAAGTTTTGCTAAGCACACCAAAATCCTAAAATCCATGTCAGTAACAGACTGTTTCATCCTTAAGAAAACAAAAAAGTCAAAAATTCTGCAACCTTGTATGTTGTATGCAGGGATCTCCTTTAGTTCCATAATGTAATTATGTCAATTTTAGTTAATCTTGCAAAGAGTAATTTTTCAACATCTCTAACAGTACTAGGTTAGAAAACTTAGCATAACACTGTGACCTCCCTTTATCAACATCACTTCATTTTAACATTCAATCTGATGAAAACAAACATGAACATTTTGATTTGAATTCTTGAGAAAAAGGAACCAAAGTTTGGTCTACAAGTGTAAAATCAAATAATTAAAACCATACATGAATAAAATAAACCTATGTCTAAAAAAAAAATTGAGTTAAACAATGTCAAAAACTCTAAGGTAATATTCTATGCCCACAAATAAAATATTGGACAAAGAAAAAATTCATTTGAGCTGACCAAACACATTTGAGGGGAAGCTTTGTTCACACAGTTTAAATGTAAAAATTATTATAACTATTGGATACCATGGTTTGTATGTTCAAAAATGTTTATCACTGTCTTAAAAAGAAAATAAAACTAATTTCTTCATCATCCTGCATTCCACATAAGATATTTAGACTTCCTCTCTTTGTAGGCCTATATCACAACAATAAAGCTGGGCTTCTTAATTTCTGATCTCACTTCAGGGGTTACAATCCCCACTCGAAGATTTTGTTTAACTTTATACATTTGACAACAAACTGATTTATTTGTTCTTGAAATTTCCTATTTTAAAGGAATTCCAACATTACGTCAATTGCAAATAAAACTTGGCCTGTTGTAAAGCTTGAATCACTGCACACTATTCCACTTTCTCTGCATCACTCTTTTCATACTTTGCTGGCCGTTCACCCTTCTTGCTGAACTTTTTCACCAAAGCATCTTTAAAGCTCTTCTTCTTCTTCACCTTTGTTCCCTTCTTTTTTGCTGGGCTCTCGGGCTCTGGTGAATCAGCACCTGGAACCAACATGTCACCATCTGGACCATCCTCATCTCCAACCTCAGAAGTCTTATCATCACCTGCTTCACCATTCACTTCTGTTGTGATTACGACTGTCTTGTGTGTGTACTCTTGTCTGATTTCCTTTGTCTCATCACCGTTGATTCCCTTCTCATGAGGCACTGACTCTGTGATCACAACTTTTGATGTTTTTACTGTCACTTCATTGTTCTCAGGGGCCTGTTGCAAGAGAGAGAACTCAAATGATGGCACAACATACAGCCCTTCAACTCCCAAGATAAAATGATTTATACTCCCCTCTAGAAGCTACATATTTATTTGTAAATTAGGTACAAGAATTTGGAAAACAACTCCTAGCTGATGAGTTTGGGTATTCTCATAATCTGTTTGCTGGATAAATATATGGATGCTATGAAGGTGAACTAGCATGTTAATCACTCTGAGAGTGTAAGGGTTTAACTTAATTTCTAACCAAATGATGTTGCAAAAAGATTTAACTAACTTCTAACCATCACAGAATAACATTAAAGATTTTTGTTTCTTAACTGTTATTGACAGGAATATCAAATGCAACAAATTTCTCAAAGTTTTTGCATGTCAGACAATCTTAGTGTTCAATCAAAGTTTGAAGTATTTCAAATACATACTGTTAGGCTTTCACTAGACAACTTGATATGCTACAGGAACACTTATTTCTCTACCTGCTCCAAGTCCTTGTCAACTCTTTCTGGTAAAAGATCCTTAATTGTCACGGGCTCGTCACTCTCCAACTCAACTTTCTCCTTGTCCTTCTTGTACTCTGTAGACTTCACTGGGGTGTTCAGCCATTTGACACGGTTTCTGTAAGTGTTTGCACGCCCTGTAGAATGGGATCTTTTAATTTGTCCTCGTTCAATCTCGGGTGTATAGTACATCTTTGCTCGTGTGGATGACACAGTAGATGGGGTGGTCACCTCTCTTTCTGCAGGTTTCTCACCATGGAACACTTCAGGATTTCTATACACATAGCCTGTCTTGTAACCCTATGAATGAAAAAACAAACCACCCCTTACACAATCAATCTGTTTGTTGGTATTGGATGAATATTAAATCTTTTCAAAACATTTCTTGATGCTAAATTGCAAAATTTGTTGAGCTAAACTACAATATGGATTGGATACAAAAAATGTGATTTTTCCTAGCACTACAGCACCAATACTACAGTCAATCAATTGAATTTTGTAGAACTTCAGGAAACTGTTATCTGCTACTTAGTATCTTGGCAACTTGATTAATGCTTTGAATTTTACTGCTATACTTTCATCCAATCCTGATTTTCATCACTCACTTGTCAAACTCGAACCTTAACTGCTATGGGAATTTTTTAGAAAGTTCTATTCGAGAACACGATTTTCTGGAAAATATTTGGATAAATTTTCATCCAAATTTTCTGGTAATTAATTTTGCAATCCTTTGAGCAATATACTATTTGAAGGGTATGCTGTTTTTAACATATTTCATATGAGGTACACTGCCCCATCCCAAGCATTGATTGCATTAAACAACTTTAATACCCAACAGTTATAGCACTAAGTAGAGTCTGAAAATGCGTGAATCAAGTATAAATATCTTGTAATATGGTATGGATTTTTGGACAACAGCTGGTTATTTTAAGAACTCTATAAAACCTATCCACAGCAATTTTTATGCAGGACCTATCACAAACAGCTTCTTTACTTATACCAAATGTACATGAAATAGAGCAGCTGGATGATAAATTACTTATTAGACATTTTGTTTTGTATAATTCTTACTTTTGGTTTTAATTTTGACATGACCTGCAGCCTTGTCGGAATATGGCACAACTTGTAAAAATACTCCCTGACACTAAAAAGAGATATATATCCTATGAATTGCCACATTACCATTGAGTCCAGTAAACGCATCATTGCTTCAAACTCCATTTCTCCTCGCTTCCACTTTATGTCACCAGAGTTAACACCACCTCCTCCTTCTTGGGCTGTCTCAACCACTTGCTCTTGGGCAAAATCTTCACACTTGATGAGGTTATCAATTCCAACACCTACAGCTTTTATCTGCAAATATAAAAATGTCATGATTGTAAATAAATAGTCAATAATATAAATTATGACTCGTAGAGCTACTGATGTATTATGCTTGTATTCATACTGTGTGAATGACAATAAGTGTTCATGTATTCCTGGAATATGTACATGTTCTGTTTCATAGGCAGCCTGGAACTAGCACAGGTAAATGATAATGCACAATGGATGTAATGACCACATTCCAATACTTCATGTCAGTCAAGATTTCATTTGAACTAGACCTCCATAAGCCATTACCAAAGTAAATTTAAGACTGCTGTTCACATTGTAAATCACTTTAATAAACAGGAGTCAAAAGGAATATTTCACCTGGTTGATGCAAGCCTTCACAGCATTATGTGCCAGGTAAAATGCTTCTTCAATGGTCTCTCCACAAACGACAATACCATGGTTTCTGAGTACCATTACCTTACGAGAGAAAGCGGGTTGTATTTATGTCAGTTTTAGTGGTTTTCACCGTGGCGTGTTTGTGAGTAAGACAAAAAAAATCTGAATTCTGAATCCTTCCTTTGTAAATTGTGGTTGTTAAACTGCCAACAATAGTTACAAACTAAATCACTGTTGCCACAGGTCAGGAAAAAGTCAGGGAGAAATAAATTTCTTCAATGTCAGGGACAAGTCAGGGAATTTACCTGGAGTCAGAGAAAAAGTGAAATTTTGAGTTAATAGGGGGTCACTCATCTTGTTGTGACCCCTTTCATAATGAAAGATGGTGACATTCCTTTTTGCTTGAATTTGATGTCACTTTTAGTACATTGCAAGCACATGCCATTAAATTCTGTGGTAGTATACCTTGCTTTCTTCACCAATGTCCTTTACTATTGACTCCTTTTCTTCTTCATTTGAAAAAATCCCTCTAAAATCATGGTAAGCTACTTCACCCAACTGTAAACAAAACAATTAAAAAAGTGTAAATCTCTCTCTAAACTGCTGTTGGTAAAAGGAGTTGTTTAGTTTTTTCCCCCCCTACATGAATTCAAAGTAGCTATCTTTTAAAAACAAGCTATGTGCATGAACATTGCCAATGACACTTTGTATTTTATAAGCATCAATATGTGATGTGAAATTAATCCAAATGCAGGACAAATAAAATGGTATTCACTCTTTAACTCCCATGGGTGACCAAGACAGAATTTCTCCTTACAGTAAAAATACAATATCAAGCAGACAAGTGATGAGAATAAAGAAATATCAATTAGGGGATCATAAGTTGATCCGATACCAAATTCTCCAAACTAATATCACAAGAACTGTATAGCAGACTGTAAGGAGAGTCACTTACGAGATCTTGGGAGTTAAAGGATTAAGAAAACAAACCCTGTATTAACAAGTGTCATCCAGCCAGGTGTTGATTCAGACAAGAAAATGTAATCAATTGTTCTAACTTTCAAAGATGAAAGGGAGTTGGTATGGTTAGTGTTGTATATACATTGTATCCTAATCATACAGTTATCTGAAAATAATGATAGATTCAGACTGTTTTTGCTGCAATAATGTGAAAGAACTAGCATCAATTTTCATAGCACATACCACTTGGACCTTACAAATTTTGCCAAAGAGAATGTTTTCCTTCGGACATATTCTCCATTCAATCACCAATTTACATGGGAGGGGTCTAAAACTTAGTCTAGGTGAATAATACCCCACAACACCAGACATGTGACACTTTTTTGTCAGAAATTCAAGAAACAGTAGCACCTCCCCTTCAACACCAAAGCAGAATTGTGTGAAACCCACATCACTTTGATTCAGCCTCAACCTGTTCCCTCAGCATATTCTAAAATACTTATCAACATACAAAGATGCAAAGCTGAAACTAGAATGGAATGCAAAATAAAAGCAAGGACTCACTATTAGAGCTTCTATGGAAATGGGCAGAAGTCCACACTTCATTGCTGATACCTGGAAAGAAGAGAGTATGTCAAATGAACACTTAAAGAGTTTCTGCATCAAAAAATGATCTTTTTCACTGATTTATGTCCACCAAGAAGCAAGTAGGATAGACATATTTGTGGGCTAATGTAAAACAACAGCCACTCATTGACATGCAACCATTAACACATCTTTATTTAAAGTGCATCATATGCAACACCCTGAAATGCACATGTATTCCTCTCCTAGCTACATTATAAGTGAAGCTGTACTTTTGATATCTCTTACAATAAACAGTGTCTACATCACTTTTATGAAGCAATGCTCAGATTAAAAATTGACAAATATTACACTAGTCTCAATGGATTACTATCACATGAAAGTTGGAACAGTTCATTGAAATAACAAAATATTCAGTCTCTAGTGGCTTGGAAAATATAGCAAATACAGTAGAATGGATCAAAACACAGCATTACAAGAGCAAAGCATCTTATCATGCATGACAAAGTGGATCAACAGTTTTTTTTTTGGAAAGAATAAAACAGGATCATAAAATCTCCAAGAGTAAATTTTTTTAACAAGAGGAGAACATCTACTGGTTGTGCTTAAATAGTGGCACAATACTCATTATTATAGGATAAACAGGGTGAAGCAATTTCTGATGACATTTTGGTTAACTTTCTCCAAAGTTAATGCCAGAGCTGGTTTTAATAAGTCAAGAATACACCCAAAACCAAGAAAACAAAGTAGGCGTGCATTAGAAAAACCATCAAATAGTGATCTCAATATTTTCTTAATAGTTTATGAGAAATGTACACCAAATAAATCAGGCAAAACAGTCCAGCAACATATTGCTCTCGACTCATTTATATATATGAACAAATGCTCAAAGACAAGTGTCAAATTAAAGAAGGATAGAACGTGTTGAGAAAGTTCTAGAAAATTCATGATCTGACCGTCAAGTGGGAAAGTCACGATTATCAACGTAAAGCCAAATGTATTTCACAACAACAATTTAACAAAAATTATGAAAGGAGATTTCTAGAAGCAATCGAGTTAAGAAAACCTAATAGAACTTGGATATCCGAAAATTACTCTCGGCACGATCAACGAAGATGTTTAATTTATAGTCTTTTCCAAAACATGAATAGAAGATTTATTCAAATCGAACAACCCTGGTCTGGCTCGAGCAGGTGCTAAACGGCAAACACGAGGAACTAGGCTGGAACCAGAGAAACTTGACCCAACGACTCAGTTTTAAATGGGCACTTGTGCTCTAGTCAATACTACAACTGTCGTTAAATATATATTTTAAAGAATATGGAATGATGACGAGCTACGCCAGTGTTACATTTCCTTATCAATATAATCCAACCGCAGTAAGTCTTCAACAAAGCCTCGATTCAACTGCATTCTGTTATCATTAAAATTTCATTTTTAGTAAGCTTAACTTTACATTTGATTCCACCTTTTTCGTGTCACCGAACATAGATATCACTGTTTCAGGGAAAAATAATGCTCGCTTCAATATCGACTAGACGAAATTCAACCCAAAATTCGATAGTAATCTGATGACAGGAAAATGTACTATTTTCTCAACGGAGTCTTCCGCCCAACTAGCTTCCAATATCTTTAATTTTTTTCCCCAACGTCGGCTTCATCAAAAAGTTAAATACAGATTTTTAATCTTCTGGGCAAGGGAAAACTCCAGTGAGCGATTACTATAGTTTATTTTTTTGGCACGGGAAGTACAGTAATGGTAAAATTTGACATTTGGCGACGAGCGCGCAGGATTCGAAACCTCGAACGGTTGTCAACTGTCTCAAACCTGCAGAAATGGTAGACCCCTGCAGTTGAAATGACAAAAGTCACGCGAAAAAGACAGTTCAACCGTTTTTACTTCATTACGGTTAAGTTAAATCTATCAGCAATGTAAACTGACAAAATGGACAACACTAATTTCACGACCAAGTGCAGTATCGACGGAGAAAATATGCAGCGCATACCGAAATGACGTATCAAAATTGAGGCCAGTTCGTCAGAACCTAGCAGTGCAAATTTACCCAAATGTACAGTAGTTACAGGAAATAAAACCAATTTTTATTCCTGTATAAGCAAGAACACTTACGGCTACAACGTCCGCTTGGTGAAGATGTATAATCGCCCTGGCATCTTTTCTGGCACCATGGAGGGAAGAATGCAACAACATACCAGCTTTATTCACACCGAGATTGGTGCTGCCTTGATCAACCACACTTCCATCCGGATTGACTTTAACCAGACTGGACGCAGTCACTTCACTGTACATGAGTCCAAATGGATGGATCAGGAAACTCTCTTGGTCCGCCGAGGGGCGAATCTGTCAAAATAGAAATCCACATCAACAATTGTAACAAACAAGTATTTGTATCAGTGATTCACTACTCCATACAGCCAAACTATCTACCAGAAGTGCGCCACTGCATTCACCAGCCAATACAACCACCAGAACAAATGAGTTTTCGAATTCGTACACCGCTCTAAAATTCTGGGGGCCTAAGAATATGGAGTAACAACTTAAACCAAGGTAGTCACGTATGCGTCCGTGGCCATGAAGGCCATTGAAAACAAACTCGCGCGCGAGTCAACCAACACAAAACAAATACTGCCGTACAGTTCACTAGAAGACATGAATTTTACGAGTACTCACCGTTATGAAGCTATACAAACCATTGTTCCATCCAAAAAGATCGACTAAGCGGTATGTAGCGGCCAGTTTACAACGTAATAACCTCTCCTGTTTGGAATAATTCAAAGTATCGGAACCTCTTATGTCTGCTATTGGAGTGACTACAGCAGACATGCCTCCTCCATAGTACGTGCTGGAGGGAATCAAAAAATCTTGATAGGTGCGGACGCCTTCTCCGCCACTTTTGGGACCATTCTGAACGTAGTTTTGAACAAGATCTTCCAGTTCATCGCGAAGAACCTTGTCATTCAGAACAAGAGAAACACGCTGTCGAAGCTTGAGACCACGAACGTCGCGAACGACATCTTCAGGCCTTCGCACTGCTCTCCCTCTCGAAGGGGCGCTAAATCTCCTCGCTTTACCGTCCATTAGCGGTTTGTTAGCCTTCCCTGTCGACATGTTGGCCACTTCGGCTTAGGTTGTGAGGCCAAACCGAGAAAGAAATGTTTTCTAAATGGCGATCACACCTTCGTGAAACGCCCAAACCACGCGCAGAAAACTCAGTAATAGACAATGCTCATGCGTTACGCTCGAAAAAATGTAATGTAAACTTTTATCTCATTGGTTAGGAGGAGATCACGTGGTAGTGATTATTGATCGCGCGTAAGAAAAACACGCACGAAGACTTGTAAAAAATTTTCATTCAGGTGATGTTTGCTGAAGAAATCACGTTTTAAGAGCATAACGAGATTACCCTCGCAGTTTCTAAGGACCGATCTGAAGAAGATTAAAAAAGAACTCGACGGAAGAGAATCATTTTATTTTGGAACATGGCCTTGCTCTGTATCTGTGGAATTGCAACCAGATGCGTTGCTAGCAAGGTTCAAATGTTTGAAAATCGATCCTGTGACAGATTTGATATTTTTATTTTTTTTCACCATTTCATGACATCGTTCGTAAGTATCCTTTCCGCTTTTCTTTTTTTTCAGTCATCAATGTCACGGCCGTCGTTCAATGTGTAAGTCCTTTTCGCACGCGAAAAAAAGTGAAGTAATGATGTGGTCTTAGGCAATTTGGCCTTCGTGTCGGATGTTTTTTGATCGTGCATTTTTAGAAGGTAGCAAAGTAGATATCGATCTGATTGGACACTTGTTCTTTTTTTAGCGCGCATGCATTATTTACCACAATTGAAGTAAAGTAGCCAGGAAATTTTTCGTTGACAATGCGTCGTGGTGCGGCGATTGAGAATATCAAGGTAAGCGATACCTGTCACCTTATCAGACACGCCTTCTACTTTGAAATCGGGTGGCAATCAATATGCTCTTACGTTGCCTAATAGCCGAGTTTGTCAAATTCCACACCCTAATTTGATTTTCATGTCAACCCTTTCAAAAAGTCCGAGTTTAAATTTTCATCGGGGAACATGATCGTATACCAGTGCTACGGAACAAAACAGATGCCTTAGGCCCCTGTCGCTTAGAGTAAACAAAGCGTAATAACATTTTTTTCTCGAAACACTGCCATTTGCGGTCAATGTTTATTTATTAACTGAAGTACTTTCGAATTTATCAGCATAAAAAGGAGGCTTGCTATCTATTGCTACAGAATTATACGCCTCAAGAAACTGGAGTATTCGTTATCGTTTCGCGAAAGATCGCGAACAATAAAAGGGTCAAGAGGTAGTTGATGACCTTTTACCATGTGCGCGAAGCGCGTCCGTCACGTTTAGGGAACAGGATATTTAGTGTGAAATCACTTGGTTATCAACAGAAATGGTTGTTTATGAAGCTTCTTTCGGTATTTTCTGTGACAGTATAGAGGTATTTAAAGGCAGCCCTTAAAGAAATAAAGAAATGTTTGTTTGCCACTTTCCTAGCATTTTTCAAACAATCTTCTAAACATGCGGTCATCATTCTTGAGACGCTGATAACAGATGGATCCAAAATGTTTTTAGAGTCAGCGACAGGATGTAAATGAAAAGCTAGGAAAACAGAGCGTTCTTTTACTCTGAGTAAAAATTTCTTTTAAAGTCATTGTCTCCTTTAATTGAAGCTCTTACAGAATCGTCTGTAATTGAAGGAAGTTAAAAGAAAAAAAATCAAGACAAAGAGGGCGATCAAGCGGAGATAAATATTCCGTGACTGTGGGTAATCCAATGTCGCTCGCAAGATTTTTTTCATCTAGGGACGAGTCCCTTGGGCCGATTTAAAAATATACAGAAGCTAACAATAAGGAAGGCGGTTTTACTTGAGTATTCAGCATTGCACGAGAGAAAGGAGAGGACGATTAGAAGTATTTACAGTTTTCCGTAATTATAAGCTGAGGTTGAACCATCTAGAAGTTGCAGTTAAGAAGTTACAGTCGAGTTATCTCGCGATAATTATCTTCTTTAGAATTATTTCACGATTGTTGGATTGAAATAGAAAAGAGGTTGAGAGTGTCAATTTAGTTTAAGTATCAATTTAGTCTTACAAGAAAGTTAAGCTATTCTATCCCTTTGACCTCCTTAGCCGGTCTCCAAAAGAAACTAATTGAGAGCTAATTGCTTCCCAATCATCCCTTTGTTTGACCTTACTTTAACGCTGAAATCCTCGAAGTAAACCGCTATTTACCAGAACCGCTGATAATCGCTTCATCGTTTACTGTTGTTGGCATAGTTGCTAGTTCAGCTCACAGCATGACGCCGACGATATGTCTCAGTGCCAGCAAACAGAAAGAACTTCATCATGCAAAAAATGTCGTCAGCGGGGAAAATAGACATTCTCATGGTGACCTACTGTGGGAGATTATCCAGGCCTAGAGATTATCTGAATAGAGTGTACAATATAAAATCAGAGAGTAGGGTTGGGGGGAGAAGGGAGTGTAGCGAGGATGTCCTGCTTTCCGCACTCTGCTCTTCGGCTTATCGTATCTAATCCGAACCTTTGAATCTCGTCTCTTGCTGCTGACCTTTTTGCAAAACACCACAGATTGATGATTAAAGAATGTTTGTCATATTTCGTTTTTCTCTCCTATGAGTTCCAACTTCTTTCCTTCCGTACCCTTCTCAACTCTGTGTCACCCTTTACCAATGCTATCTTTCGAAAGCAAAGACGAAAGTCCTCTTTTTCCTGGCTGGTGATTTATTTAAAATTTTTACAATGATGTTGGCCGGATGCATAATTTGTGATTGGCCCCAGGACTTTTCTGATCCTTGGCCGCACCCATTCCTTCAGGTGGTTCCTAGAGCCTGATACACATAAGACTGTCATGAACCCACATGCGCCATCTATCCTCAAACAGCTTCCAACAGTTTTTACCCTGAGAGCCACCGGCTAACCGTGCACTTGGTCAGCACGTGCACGAACAATACTAAACATAGACAAACATTGAAGTAATTCTAAGGGATTCTGATCCCGTGGGAGTAACATGGTAGTATGATGCCTACTCCGCTACTTTGGAAGCACTCGTCAGATTTTTTAACCCTGAACATCTGCCGGAGACTTGGAGAATTGCGAAACATGATTGTTATGTGCAGCGACTAACGCGACTCGTACTTTCATCTCTTCAGTTGGTTTGACTGGCGCTTCGACTTTCCCTTCCACATTTAACTCAATTTGAGTAATGTGAATGCTTATTATACTACAGCCCGAATATTGTTCACCGCGTGCACAAATTAATACGGGCCGGCATCTTTACACAAGATTAGATTGTTACAATCTTACTTCTCCAATCTTGATTTCATCCGGCTTTATCTTTATCGTGCTTCTCAACAGGCAAGCAACCTGGTTTTATCATTGTTAACTTTGAGACTTTTCTATCTCAACCACACGCACACAGATGTTTGAACAGTTTGATCATTGTCCATATCATGCAGACTCCTGGATGCATAATCGGGGAAACAAGGGCCTTTGCGTTAAACATTCAAAGACAATTAGGAGGAAAGACCAAACTTTACATTTACTCCAGCCCATTATAACACCAGATAAATCTACACAGATTGAGTTTTTTGTAAGTACTAAAACATGGAACCACCTAAAACCACCTAAAACCACCTACAACCACTTACAACCACCTACAACCATCTACAACCACCTCAAAAATTTCAACAACCACCTACAACTACCTCAAAAACATCTACAGCCACTCGCAAACTGTCTAGAACCATTTCGTGAGATGGTTGATTATAGAGTAAGATTTCAGGGGGAGGTGGAGGTTTCGTTCGATTCTCGTATTTCGTGTACGTGACATATTGTCGTTTCGCCTTATTTTGGACATTTATGCCTTGTTTTAGATGGTTTTAGATAGTTTGCGAGTGGCTGTAGATGTTTTGAGATAGTTGTAGGTGGTTGCTGAAATTTTTGAGGTGGTTATAGATGGTTGTAGGTGGTTGTAGGTGTTTTTAGGTCGTTCCATGTTTTAGTACTTACGTTGAGTGGTATTTTCCGAAAAAAGGTCGAAAGTTTGAGAATTGAAGGAGTAACACACGAGAACCCACGCTCGCAACTGAAAGACCTCTCTTTACTCGCGTGACAATCACGAAAAGCGCGCGACTCTTCTAGAATCCCGACTCTTTTTTTTTCCTCTGTGATTCCGATGCCGCCCGTAGAGATTAGGTAAAACTTAAGGCATAAGAATGATAATATGTTTGCGGTCATTGCAAGGGAGACTCAAGAAATAATCCTCTTACATGAATCCAGATCTGCCCAAATCGAATTTCTCCTTGTTCCTCGGTCCATTAGGCGCCAGGATAGTGAAGCAGACGCACCGAAAAATTGGAATCGTTTCGTCAGCCGTTTCGAAAAAGGGCCAAATGAGTGGATCTTGAAACATTTCGCACCCTTAGTGTCATAACTTCGAAAAAAGTCTGTGGAAACAATAGTGCCGTGGATTAACTTGCTGGCAGATGGAGAAATTTCATATTACAATTCGACAATCTGGTTCTAGTGATGCCAGCAGAAGACACGAAACAGGCGAAACACAGTTTGAAGGTAGCTGGCTTTTATCGATCTCTTTCTCGGAACTTACTTTGCAGATCACCAATTCTAAAAAGTTGGAATAAAACTGGCTTGACTGGAACTTTGGTGATCTGTGTCAGCTGTGTGGGTGGGAAATATGTTTTAATTGCCTTGGAAAGAAATATTTTTTTGTTTTAATTAAAATTCTAAACTTAGTATTGATTTCCTTTGCCCGTCAAAACCTGGCCACCTTATAAAAATAAAAATAAAAATTCAGAAACTTCGGTCTGTTTAATGTGCACAATAAGCGATCACTCATTTTCAAGCTACCATTTTGTAGCGTTCCTCTACAATGTACAAGTTGTTGGCTCTAGTCCATAAATTTTCACTCCAGTTTTCTATTTTACCATACCACTTGGCCTGTATTGACCATTTGTTTATGTCATTTTTGTCAAAGATTATTTCAAAGGCGCCGGTTAGCCGCTCACGTCGTCCGGACCCACCTGCAAATTCTGGGTCCAAATGTCGGTATCATTCCGAGATCATGAATCGTTCGCTCTGCAACTGATCCTGGAGTCCAGCAACAAATGAATCTCAAGATAATTACACAGTATGACGAGGAAAAAATTTTGGCGAATTACGTCTCATCGTTGATTAATTACATCGAGCATCAGGGATAAGCTTCCCATGGTTCTCCATATTTGTGGCGAATTAAAAAGTCATTTTTCTAAAATTTGATCTCGTTCTTATTTTGTCTCATGTTCTGTTTAAGGAGGGAGGGGGGGAAGGGAGGGAGGAGTCAAGCCGGCCCCCTGACCCTCACTCCTATTCCTAAGTGTAAACTCGTTCCCCACACGGCTGCTTGGTATTGAGCCAACGTGACCGGATAGGAACGAATTTCATGAGCATGAAAAACATAACAAAAATCATGAGAGAGATGGAGGGGGAGGGGGGGGGGAGAAAGGGAGAGAGAGAGAAAGGCCCCCTTAATAAATTTACCTTTTTCTCTCCTTTACTCAAGTTAATGCGGAGTCAGTAATAGAGAGCTTTGGTTGGGAAATCTCAAGAGTACATTGCAAAGAAAATCATTTCAATTTTTTTATTTACTGCGAAAGGTATAAACCCTTAGTTTGCCTAGCGACAAAATGTCAATTGATTTATCACTTGTGAAATCTTTGCTTTGGATATTGAAGTATTTACAAATAAGATTTCGTTAATTTTTGTCTTTTTTCTTCTCCTTTTCTTTGCTGGAGTCTTCATCCATAGGCTCTTCCTGGTCCTTAGTCTCGTCAGTGTCCTGTTGAGCCAGGGTCCCTATCACCTTCTGTATAGCTTCGCTGCTAGGATCCACGCCAGGTAACGTACTGAGGACGTTCTTGATGAAGTCCGGGTCAGACATGACGCCAGTAATGTCTTGGGCGTCATCTCCCTGTCATAAAACAAGGTTGACACAAACCATTCACATAATCCAATACAGTCCATTTTGATTTAGGAGAGCAAAGTACCTACATTCCCGGCTCAATCGGATAATTTTGAAAATGCTGCATTCCCAGCGTTTTCCTCTCGCAATTTCAAATCTCCTGGTTTGCTTATCAAGTTTTCAATGGTTGGTTTCATTCCCCCCTCTCCACCTTCAAATCACAAGTGTTGTTTTTTCGTTCTCCGTGAAACTCGTAGCCACTCCATTCCTAAGATAACTAAAATTACCACTGGAAAACGAACTTAGAAATTCTGTAACAGCATTTCTCCGTCGATTACCGTTGAGTGGTTAGCATAATTCAGGGATATTGCATATTTCAAGAATGTCAAAATTTTAGTCGTATTGGTAAATTTCGTTTCCGGTTTCGAGCTTGACAGTACCTCTCTAGTTGCTAGTCGCGTTTACCGCAATAAATTGAGAAGATCAAACGCCATTCCTAACAAGACTACCGGCAAAAGGTATTAATAAAATAAGGTTTTCATTCAATGTTGGGCAGATACTTCACATTCTATGGAAAAAGAAAAATATAACAACCTGTCCATCTGTCTCCATTGCACTGGCTCCAGCTCGTTCTTCCTTCTCAGCCGGCTGTTCTGCCGTATCTTTGTCACCACCTGCTTCTGCGTCTGCCTCCATGTTTTGCAGCGACAGCCTCATGGCGTACTCAATCTGCTGTTCCTCGGTCATGGCACTGAAGTCAAATACTGGGGTTTGCGGAGTAGACATGGACAAAGCCTGCTGAAGCATTGCCTCCTCGCTGTCAGCGATGGGTGCTTCAGCGGTGGGAACCTCCTCTCCACTAGCTGCCGTGGCTCTGCGCGCCTCTTCCTCCTGCCGCTGTCGCTGTTCTTCCATGGATACACGAAGAGCCTAGAAAAAATATTTTCGCCTGGTTAACATAGAGTTTCTCTAACTTCCTGGTACATTTAGAGGGTTTAGTCAAGGAAAAGTTGCATTCAGTCTTTGAGGTTCCTGAGGAGACCAGGTAAAGGAAAACAGTTCGTTAATATCCTCTTTGACTAAGAACAATAGATACCTAACGTTAGCGATCAATTATTTTACCTATCTATTATTTTCCTACATTGCAAACCCTTGTTGACCATCAAGTTGATTTCTTTGAAACAAATATCTAAGACGAACATCTAGTTAGTGGCAATGAACAAAAGTTTACAGTTGTATCTCACCATGATGAAATTTCACGTCAGTAGACAACTTCATGACAGGAGTTTAAATCCGAAACCAAAGCACCCAAATAAACTTGATGTTATTCCATAACAATCTGGTATATTGTTGAAAATTATGTATTGCTTACAACAAATCAATTGATCAATCCGTCAATCTTTCTATCAATCACTCAGTTCATCAATTAAACCATCAATGCATAGCACCATCTTTTGATAGCAAACAAAAAAACTCCATTTACCAACTACAAACCAGCTAATCTTAAAACTGTTGTTAGCCCTCTTCACCCCAGTGGTAGGGCTGAAAATGCTTAGAAGAACCCTAATCACTAACCAATGCAAGTTCAGGATCAGAGTTAGGGTCAAAGCCATACTCTGAAGCGTACTCCATTCCAGCTGGGGCTCCATCTTCCCCTTGCAGAAGGGGGGACGAAATAAGCGCGTCTGAGAGCAGTGGGCCTGGTGGCACTGTGACCAAGTGACACAGGTTCCCATCCTTACCATTCAGTGTGTTTATGAATGATGTCAGTTTGTCAGAATTTGCAGTCTGAAAACAAAAAAAAAATGTCCTCTAAACAACTCTAACAGAAAAACTGATAAATAGGACAATTCATATTTGCATACTGAAACAAAGACAAGAAATAATTGGGATTGGAGGGTAGTTTGTTCATGGACATGGCTTCCTACTAACAAGATGAGTATGAAGGATCAAGTAAATTGACTTACCAGTACCTGAAATTTTCATATTCTTTTACAAAACATTACTACAGCAGTTGTTGTGGTAGTTTTATTTCATATTGCACAATTAAAAAACATAATGAACCAAAACCTGTCTCACTATGATGAACAAACTTCACAACAACATCAAAGTGTGCACCTGAGTGAGCAAGCCCTGTATTTGCATATCAGGAAGTGAGTATTTAAATATTCCTTTTTTGACCTTACTCCTTTCCAATCAGTTACAAAAATAATCCTTCATCCCAGATAGAGCTGAGACAAGGGAACGGTAGAATAGATTGGTGACACATGATCCTTGAACGTGATGGATAATAATAACAACAACTATACTAACAATAACAATACCTCTTCACCAAAGTTAACAATGTCCACATTCACTTTTTCTTTTTTCAGTTTCTTGGCAAGCTTCACAAGCTTGATGAAAAAAAATTAAATGAAAAAATGCAATTTAGGATCATCTACATGTATATTAGAGATAAAAATCAGAATCAGGCCATATTAAAAGGGTCTTTCATTTGTCGTGAATTCATTTAGACAGTGCCATACACCTTAGCTGTACCTACACTATACAGTAAGCCCTGGTATAACTTACAACTAACATTATGAAAACCAATACAACAGAAAAACCCTCCAGCCCAATAACTACAAAATGGCCGGAAAGGATGTACATTCTTTTCCAATTGGTGAACCCTGCTGAGGGAAAAGAAAAGTGTATTTATTTTTCTTGGAGGTTACTACCTCAGCCTTGAAATGTAGTTGAGTAGTTTCACTGGCACACTGCTTGCTCATTTAGTGAAAAGAACACAACACACAGCACTTACCTCTTTCTCATCAGTTTCCACAGGACTTCCAACAAACACAACAATCCTCATTTTGTGATTTTTACCTTGTCTATGTTTTAGAACCAACTAGTTGGGAAGAAGTTGGAAAAGTAGCATATGAAAAGTGCAGCCTGAACCATATAATCGTTAAGACTTTTGAGCAATTTTCCTGCCTCATAAATTAATAACCACAACACATCATAACTTGCTGATTCATCAAAACAAAATTATGACTCGGAATAGTAACTTGGTAATACTCACATGAGCTATTTTGACAGCTGTGAGGAATTTGATATCTCCTTTTGACTGAACTTTGTGCAGGGAGGCCAGGATTTTTCCAACATCTGTTGTTAATGTGACAAGCACCTCTAAGCTGTGAGTAACAAGAGAGAGCTATTTGATTAAACTTTGAACAAAATGGGAATAATTAACAAATGACAACTAACAAAGGGTTAAGTCTCTAAAGAAACTGTGGTGATGTGTCATAAGGTGGGTAGTACAAGACAATTTGGTTTTATTTACTGAATTGTTAACATAAACCAGCCACTGTAAAGAGTTTATAAAGCTGATGTTTTAAGTGTTGGCCCTTCAACAGAGCTTCAAGAAAACTATAAGAGCTTCATCTCAGCATGAATGCATAGTTAGGATGGACAGAATTCCCTGTAATTTAAGGAGTTTTTAGCCAAGGGCATTGAGAGGATGGCTTAAAACGTGAACCACCCAAACAGGAGTCTATTGGGATATTAGGAGGGAAAGGAAAGTGTGTGAGGGTATGCCCCTCTGGAAAGTTTTCTCATAGTTATGAGGCTCTGAAATGTTTTTCACATATTTTTTTTTAAGATACAGGGCATAAAATTAATTTTTTTCAGTGGCCACTTGGCTCCAAAATATCTAAAGGTTACAGCCAGATTAAAACATTGGTTGCCATTGTTCTCTTTCTATTTATACAATGGAACCTGTGTTTAGTGCTCACCCATGCTTATACATGTTTGACTGCATACAGAAAGATAAAGGTATGCTAATGTTGGGAACATGATGACCAGATTTTTTCACGTTACCATGTTCCCACAATATCACAGCTCCATCTGTCTGTTTACAAACTACACACACAATTCTTCTATTCACTCTGACGAAGCTAACACTCCAAACATCATCTACAGAGACTTTTTATAGGCGCCAACTGACACTACCAGTGCAATTGTTAAAACCCAATTATCTAGTAATACCCTCACCGACACAGGACCACAGTTTCTTTTGAAACTTAATCCTTTACTCGATGAAATCTAAGATTTCATGTGAGAATGCAATTTAAGTTTGTACTCGAGTATCTTTAAATGACTTAATGGGCATGAAATTTGTTTGCGATCAGTATGAGTTACATACTCACCTGGCTAAAGTCATGAGACCAACATTATTTTCTGGGTTTTGTCTAGTTTTCGAGTGACAAACCAAGCTCACAGCATCTTGTTGTGCTTGAAGTCTCGTGGGAAGAAAATCGCCATTTCTCATCCACTCACTGTTATCAACGCTGTACAAAAAAAGCAATTACAACCAAGTTTTTAAATATCATTCCATCAATATCATATCACATGGAAAACTGGTAAAGAATCTCACCATACAACCGTGGATTCCAAAACCATCTTGATTTATCAAACTTTGTATCACTTTTTTTCTCTGACTTGACTCGACAATTTTCTGCTAGATTTTCAGCTCATGCTCTCAGTGAGATGCTGCTGGCCGTTTGCCAACAAGATTGATTGGTCAGCGGCTTTTCATTTACTTTGTTTACTTACACAAGTTTTCAAAGCGTCTATGGAGCTTTCGCGTCTAAGGAATTGTTTATTCTCTCTTTCAAGGCAGACGAAGCAAACGTTTCAGTCATGGAAAAGCTCTTCGAAAAAATTGGAGATCATTTCAACAATCCAGAAATGTCTGATCGCATTTTAGTCGTGAAGATTCGAAAAGATGGTTGGGAAAAGCTCGAAGCAGCACGCCGGGTTCGAAGTATCACGAAAACGAATTCTCAAGAGGGAAACGATGCGATTTCAGGGACAAATTTTAATCAAAAAGAAAGGCTGCATGTATCTACAGACAAAGAATCGATTGTTAGCACGTCTGAGCCAAAATGTGACACCGAATCTGCAGGTCCTGATGACGACTCTGTAAACTCCGCTTCAGAATTAAGAACTGTTAGCAGCTTAAGCTGTGATTCCGGAATAAGCGACGTTACATTTTCTGAGACCAAAAAAACGGTTAAGAGTAAGAAAATAGAAGAATCCTCAATCAGGGGCGAGAAAGGACATAACCCAGTGAATCAAGATTCTGGAAATTGGCAAAATGCTGCAAATTCGAATGGAGACGCCGTCGTCTCTCCGACATCATCAGATGTAGATGTCACCATTAGCAAGTTGCTCATAGCAGACATTAGCTATACTCACAAAGCCGGTGCCGTAGGTTTAACCGCTTTAAATACTGGCGACGAAAGCCCTTCAGCATCTGCTCCTTTACAATCGTCCAAAACCGGAACTGCAGAGGCCAGCGTAGAATATTTGACATTTACTGACACTGTCATCCGGGAACAGCAGCTGTATGTTCACAGCTTCTGGCTGGCTTTGAATAGTTCTTACTTTAGAAGCCTTTTTTTTAGCTCAGGGATGAAGGAGACAAAAGTGAAAAAGGTATGATTCCTCTGACCTGACATATACATTTATTGGCTAATTTCCTGTTATTTCAACTGGCCTCAAGAGTGCCCAATGGCTTGACATTTTTTGTATACTTAGTAAAATTTGAACATACCTTTTTTCGTATGTACGTTTTTAAGAAACCTGAATTGAATTCATCGAAAACAAGTAATTTAATTAATTTTCAATTTAGAAAATATTTGCGTGGGTTGAATTAATTTTAAACTTTCATCTAAACAGGTTGAGATGAACATCAGCGAATCCTTGTCATCGATGTTCCTTCTGTTGATAGAATCACTGTATAAGCCTGAAGTTGTGATGCCAGAAAGTGTGGAAAATCTTCTTGTTCTTATGAGACTTGCTCATGTTTATGATGCAGAGAGCACACTCAAGGCTTGCCAGAAGTAAGATTTTAATTTCTCTGTTGTTGATTGACAGCCAACTTCTCCTTAAAAAAAAAACTCCCTATTTATTCCTTTGACATCCAACATTGACTAGCTTCTAAATTCTCCTCACAATATCACCCCTGAATTAACCATAAAGGTCCAAGAATAAAGAAAATGATCAACAATCAATACCTCAGGAATTGTAAAGAGAACAGTGTGGAGAATATACACACTGATGTTAGGGTGTAAAGGGTTGACCAAGCAAACTGCTGATGAGAATGTGTAATATTTTCACATCAATGAAGTCCGTGTTGTAACTATTGAGACAAAACAGATGAGCTTCAGGCTGTTTTACTTGTTTGTAATTTCAGTTCACAGCAACTTCTTAATTTCCTTAGTTTCAAAAGGGGGTTGTGATTAGTATGGTTTTTCTTCCAAGTAAAGTTGTATGGTTTGGTATGGTTTTTCTTCCAAGTGTAAGTCTTCTCTTTGATACCATGAAAGAGTAATTACTTGAAATATTTAATAGAATTCTTTATTGTGTCCTTATTCTTTAGACTTCTTGGTTCAGCGGAATTGACAGTTGAGATCTGTGACAAATCCTTGAATATGCAAGAGCATGAAAGGTAATTCAAAGCTAAAGAAAAAGAAAATTTTAGGAACAACAGTTGCACAATTAGCTTTACAATGGCTTCTTTGTCTTTCATTTTGTAGCAATTTAGTTAGTTACTTCAAACAAGCTTTGAAAATTGAATGGTTCTTCTTTAGTTTTAGCATTGACTTATTATTGGCTGGGAAAAAAGATGTGATTATAGTGAAAAACTAGTGTAATTGGGCATTTAAATGCTCTGCTGAGAGCCGATCAGGTTAGAAGGATTACCAGCAATTGCAAATTGGATATGATAAATTGATTTAGGAGAGAAATCTGGGTGGGATGAAAGTTTTAGTTTTAGAGTGAAAAATAAGTAGCCCACTTCCTTTTCCGGACCCTTCATCAGAATTATTTGATTTGTACTCTATCTTTTTAAACAAAGCGCATGTTAATGACTTTATGATCCAAATTAGTGACGTAAACACTTAGTAACCTTTTGGCCCCTGAGAGTGACTAGCATCTAATTTCTCCTTACCCTATCACTCCTGAATTAAGTATTAATGTCAAAAGAATAAAGGAAATAATCACCAACTGAAGGAAATGGTGATTGTTAAACAAATTCTTCTGTCAATACCTTAGAAAATGTATAAAGGAAAGTATGGAGAATATGCTTACTGATGTTAGGGTGTAAAGGGTTAAATTCAACACAACTTCTCAATTGTTACTCTCAGACTCCCTGAGATGGCAGAATTTATCAGGCGATGTGAAGAATTCCTGGTTGAGGAATTCAGTCCATTAGACTCTCAATGGTCGAATGAAGACTTTCTGTCTCTGAGTTCCAACGGTCTACAGAAAGGTACGTCAATAGCATGTTTGCTGTTTGTACAGGGGTTTATTCATGACAGCTCTGTCACTAATGAGTTGCAAGAGTGCCAGAAAGAATACCAAAGAAAGCAACAATTTTTCAAAGGCAAACATAACACAAGATAGAGAAAAAACAATTGTTAGCAATGTAGTTAGTGATTAAATGCATTGCCAAAAGTAGCCTGTGAGCAAGCTTTCATTATTAGCTCTTTGGCACAAGCATTTATTTTTGCCCACAGGAAAGCATGAAGCCTTAAGCAACCCAAGCAGGGGAGACCCCCAGCCAACCTCTCCCTGACTTGTTTTACACCTATGGGCGGGGGGGGGGTGGAAAAAGGTGTGTCTCTCAGGGCTAACAATGAGGGACTGCTCTCTGGCTATGCCAAAAGTGTATAACAGTGTCTAATACAGAGGATCACCAAAAAGTTTTTGAAATTTTGGAATGATTGAGGGTAGGATTTTGGTGGGAATGAAAACATCTTGAAAGAATGGTTAGAATGGGAAATGATAACATCTGTTTTTTCATTGTTAGATGAAAAAAAGAGAATGACAAATATAGATGGATTTCAGACTGAATAGATCATCTGAGTTTTCTGATATGTTTCATTGTTGTCTGAAGCATAGTTTATCAACTGATTGCTGTGAGACTAGTTATGTCTAATTTTCATTGAATTCTTTAGTTCTTTCCAGCAATGAGTTGTGTGTATCCTCAGAAAATACTGTGTTCCTTGCACTGATGAAATGGGCAGAGGTGAATGAAGTGTTTGATGATCAGCTTGAGCCCCTGTTGGAATTGGTTCGCTTCAAAGCCATGACCATTAATTACCTACATGATGTTGTTACCAGTGATCACCCAATTGCTTCTACAGTTGCTAAGTTTCAACTGATGTTTGAAGAGGCTGTTTTTTACCATGCATTTTCTAAGGTATGTGACACGATAAACTGAATTATTTATTGCCTTTAAATAATGAATTACTTTTGATCTATCAACCAACATTTGGAAAGCTTTCCTTAACCCTTTACACCCTAACATCAGTATGCATATTCTCCATACTGTTCTCCATACATTTCCTAAGGTGCTGATAAGGAGAATTTGTTTAACAATCAAGAGCTTCTTAAGTTGGGGATCATTTTCTTAATTCTTGTGACTGAAATGTGTAATTCAGGGGTGGTATAGTAAGGAGAAATTAGATGCTAATCATTTTAATCGTTTTCAGGGTATTTGTTAACCTGTTTCGTTTCAATATTTTAATCGTTAGGTTAACCTGTTCGTTTCATCTTTCATTGTATGTTACTAAACGCGGCTGCAATGCGTTCAGACTTGAAAACATAAATGTTCTGCCAATATATTTTGTCAGGAGAGACAGTGTGAGGAGGGAGAGCCTGTTGGCAGGAAAGCTCATGATGATCCAGTGGTGTTTAACTGGACAGTGGACATTGGAGAAGATATTGAAGTAGAGAAGAAAAAGAAGATCATCAAATCACCGCATTTCTGGGTCAGCGGATACGAAATGTAAGCTGTCTACCGGCTTTTGGGGAAAATGATGCTTTGATTGGTAGTACAGTACCAACAAGTGGGCGGTAGATGTTCTAGAGCGGGAGAGAAACAAAGTGTTAGGAGAATGGAAATAGTCTGGAAAGAACGGTTTTGAGAGCTTTCTCAGTTATCTCCAAATAGTATTTAAATTTGTTTCTATAGTAGCTTTGCTGAGATGTAATTGCCTTTTCAGGTTCCTTGAACTGAAGCTGAGGACTTCCGGGTGTCAAGGCCTATATCTGACAATAAGCACACGTGACTTCCGCCACAGTAGCAAAGGATTCGTCAAACTTGCTTATTCTCTGACATCCAACTTTCCAAAGGCTACACGAGTAATCAACGAAGCGGACGTGTTTGATAGAGAAGGATCTGGCTGGGGATACGAAGAATTCTTTCCTTTAAGCTGGACTGAATTCAAAGATCAGTTGAAAAGAACTCCTCTTATAATAACATCTCAAGTCAGTCTTCTGGAATAGTGTAGAATTTGATCCAATTCAATTTATTTCGATGTTGTTTCACCTTGTTCGCTTTTTCCAATCTTCATATTGTGAGGCAACTATTCTCTCTGAGTCGAACAGTGTGTTTCTGAGAAATGTGTTTTAAAGTATTTTGAAAATGGGATGAAACTGATGCGGGAGAGTGATAAGTCGAAAGGAAACTTCCAGAGAAGATTTGAGAAGACCCAGAAGTATTTTTGTTTTTTAAAGCCTTTCATAGCTTTTGCAACACCCTTACACATCTTGCAACCTTTGTTTCTTTGATTTTATATTTATTTATTTATTTATGTAGAATTGTTGTTTATTTATGGTTATTTGTTTATAGATTTTTTTGGCGTCTTTGGAAGAGTCGTAGAGATTAAGATCAAACGATCTGTGATATATGAACCCACGAAATGTAGAAACACAGATTTTGTGTTGTCATTCGAAATGACAGTGCCACTGATCCAGATTTTTCGGCGAAGGAAATGTAGATCATTACCAACGGTTTTCTTTGTCAGGATTTCACGTCGAGCGACCGAGTAAAGGTGTCGTGCAATCACGCGGCACTGAGTATTTCGTCTTCGCGCGCTTTTTATCCCACTAGACATAAAAAGGAGATAAGAACTTTTCGTACATGCAATGTTAAAGAAATGAACTGTGTGGACAATACTTTGTTAGTGAATGTTCTTGCATGAAGAACATTTGACATTGATCCAACAGCAGAAGCAAGATGAAGCAAAAACGAGAAACTATAGCGCAGAAAGGATGAGAAAAACGCAAAAGAAATGTTAGTATTGTTGGAAAGTTAGAGCTGAAGTTTCGCGAACGATAGTATAAGAAGCTTTGTGATAATTATTGGGAGTCCGCACATTCACTCCAAGAGGTCTCAACAAGATTATAGCGCCGCTTTGCTTTGAGCCATTACATATTTGAAAATACTGACCTGTGCAATAAAACCTTTGATTGTGTCAGTGTTAGTAATAATTCACTACGATCAGTTACAAGATCTACATTTCAGAAATATTTAGCTAGTCTTTGGTGGTTTCTTGTACTTAACGCTACAGCAAAGCCCGATAGAAACGCTAACTCCACTCGAGCTGCCAAATGATTTAGGTAATATTTTTATTCAGCCGAAGCTTCAGAAGTCGTTTGTGCCTTAAATCACTCTGAATTTAATTACTCATTTCTCTATTTATTTTAAACTTTCCTCTAGAAATTCTCAGACTTCCACCATCACCCACATAATTCTTGACTCCATTATTCCCTCTCAATCTTTATTTCTTTTTTTTTTTTAAGTAAACCTCTGATGGCGTTCTCGTCAAATCATCGAGTTATTGTGTTCAGGCGTGTTCTTGTCAAATCTTTGTCAGAATGATTCCTATTACTGCTTTAATGTTCCATAGATAATTCGGTTTTATCAGCTAAGTTGATAATGTAAATTGTTCACCGCGAATAGCTTCTAAAGCTGACTTTTCGAACGTTAGCCCTTCGTTGGGGCGAAAATTATGTTTCCATAGCCTGTTTTTCTTTCTGCCCCCATTCAGCCATTCTAAGTGTTCTTGTGGGATTTTGCTTGATGTAAATTGTGAAGTAACATGCTAACCGTGGCTTCCTATGTTAGCCGGACGAAGAAATTGAGGCAAGATTCACTCTAATCGAGGGGTACAGTGTACTCATTACGAGCGAAAAGCAATGATTCCATTCATTCATCTTTGCCAGTCACTTCTTAGGTTCAAAGCAAACAAAGACGAAAAACAACATGGAATTGGTTGAGCTTGTTTCTTGTAATCGGATTGGTCAGTTTTGGAGTTCAGTTCTGAATGGCTTGAATCATAACCATTAAAATTTCCACGCGAATGACTGGTGCATTAGCCGCTAAGTTTTTTACTGAGCACTCTGTGCAGTTGTAATCGGACAGTTGGTTGTAATCGTACACCTGTAAATCGGACAGTAGAAGCAGCCAATCATACTGAGTCTACTCAGCTAAATCTATCAATCACAGAATTGATCACGTTAACCACAGGAACATCCACTTATCCTGGGAAAAAATTAACATTGGGGAAATTCCAAAATGGAGGAGTTTTCTTCTTTAGACGTTGTCTTTATCAGAGAAGTTTGTCCTAAATGTATTTTTTCTTTCGGAAATTGTAACGGTTATGAAGAATTGGTAACAGGACTTCGTGTCTTCCAATTCTGCCTGTAATCATACTCGTGATTGACAAATCGGAATTCCGCCTCGCAGCCGTCCGATTTTGCTGATTACTCGTACGATTACAGGCCGAATTGGACTCCATTCACTCCTATTGCCATTATAAATCGACATTCCGTAGTGACTACCTCTAGCGACGGACTGTCTTATTATATTACTTGGAATCCAACCATCAGGTTTGCGATAGCCCAGGTTTTTCGCACTTGGTTTATCCAAGTGTGGGAAGTTGGAAGGGGACTTCGGTTTTATTGTAAGTTGCTTCGATTTATTCAAGGACACGAGGGAAACTGAACTTCTCAGTTTTCTAAAAAAAATCATATTCAATAAATTTGAACACAAAATAAATAAGATTTACAAAGTAAAACTTGAATATCAAGCACATCTTGAGTTTGAAATCGAGCAAATCACACCACTTAATCTTGTTTCGCGTTTGAAACAGGAGTCTTCTTGAAACATTAGGTATCTGATGATCACACAATGATGAGTCCATTTTTAAATCGCATTGTAGGCTGGCACGCAGATCTAAATAACTAAAAACCACGTAAAGGCAACATCAATTACTGTTAATACCATATCGGTCTGTATGAATATGCCCATTTGTTGGGGGTCAGAAACGGTTCTTGAGTTATCGCCAGTACGTGCAGAGGTGTTTTGTACGGAACGTCTGGTTGCTTAAACCACTTGGTGGTTGTGGTTTCTGATGGGGCAGAACCAGGTTTTCCTTCAAGATGAACGCGCGGAAACCGTCTATACCGGCTGTTATCATCTCCCTGGAGACCTTGGTAAGACGCCATATAGCACGAGCTAGGGTCATTATTTGTTTCCCATGTGATCAGATTGTTAGAGTAGTGCTGACATCTGTCGGGAAATGTTCGACGTCCAAGTCCCTGAAAGAAAATGAAGGTTTAAGGAACCAAACAACCAAAAAAACGGATTAACAACAACAACAAAAAAAAATGCACTATATTATTTTTTTACATGGCGGTGCCACATCGATTAAAATACTAAACCGTTTCGGTGTCTTAGTACAATATCATGGAGTTGAGCTAATAAAGTTGATCAAGAGCGCTCTTTTTGACAGGTTGGATTCATGAGCGATCTTTTAGCGCATGGGTACCAAATTTGACCGAAGTATGCCGTTTAAGTGTCGTATCTGTCCTTCTTAAGTCACGGTGTCTCTCTGGGAAAGAATCGTTGCATGCGTGCGCATTTGGGGAGCGCGAGAAAATGCGTTTACGCACGCGCAGAAGTTGCTTGCTCCTTTATTGTATACCGTACTATAAATATGGAGAACGATTTTACGAAGTAAAAGCTCTTTTTAAACCTGACTTTCCTATGAATATGATCGAAAAGTGATCGCGACTGCCTTACGTTTCCAAAGTACTCTCCCTGGTCTTGGAATGTATGTCTGTTATCGTGTGTTGAAAAAGCAAATCTTCTGAACGGGACCTATTGAAACGGAACCAAAACAAAAACAAAATCATCAAACAGCGTTCACTCCTGCATTACACCATCTTGAACTTTCATCAGATTTCATACACAAAATGTTTGATAATAGTACAATTAATCATTGATTTGAAGGTCGAAGAAGTGTTAAAGATATAAATAGTTAATCTTAAAATTACCTCGTGTTTGCTGTTAAATCTCGTGGGAGGGGATGCCACCCTTCGTTCTTGTGGTTTAGTGACATCGAGCGTCCTAGGCCAGCCCCGCGTAGAAAACTGGGACAAAACATTAGAAAAAAAAACAACAGTGCAAGGTAAGTTTACATTAAAGCACCATTGGGAAAACTGGAGAAAAAAAGAGTCGGTTGCGTTGTGTCGTCCATGGTGAGACGTCAAATTGTGATGTTCTAGCGAAATCTAACATCTGTCGCATTCACATCTCCTCGAGATTTAGCGCCTCTGTCGCGATCTATTTAGTATGAATCACTCGTTTTTCATCACCGGGTTATAGTAGCTTTTTATACCAAACACGCTCTCAGTCAATAGACGCGAGAAAAGGAGCGGGCAATTGATAAAGGGCGTTTGTATTTGTCATAGAAACGCCTGCCCCTCCACTTTTCAGTGCGTCCTTTTTTGCCCCTTTGAGCTAACCGAAAGCCTGGCATATGCTTGATAAAGATATTTTTATCGTAAAATTTGAGCCTAAGGTCCAGGGACATCGGAGAAAGATGTCTTTTTGGCTGAAATTAGTAATAACGATCTCCCTCTGGGGAGAAAGTCCCCATGCTTACCTCTCTAGTGATTGCTTTCCAGATCCCACCCTCTCAGTTTAATATTTTTCCGTCATGTCGTTGTAAGTGAGCACTATCCTCGTCTGGCGCGAGGTTGCCAGCTTTCGGAGGTTTCGACAGTTTATGACTAGAGCTATTGAAAAGTTTTTCGTCTTTTTCACAATTCTCTAGTTTGCAAAATATCTAGTTAGCCAGACCTAGTGTGGCTTTGCATAGTTTGACAATAATTGACAAATTCATTCAGCTGCTATTTTGACGACGAATCATGTTTATTTTTAAACATGAGGCCACAAAGAGGCCACAAATTTCCATAAATACAAAACCTTGTCACTTTCGTTTGTTTAAATAATTTGAGGCCTAAGTGAGTTTTTGTGTATATAATGACCTTCATTTAATTGCAAAACAACTTCTTGGCAGAAGATGACTTCTAAGTGAAGTGTGTCTACCTAGCGAGCCTTCTTTCGTTGATTGACTCGAATGCATAAATATTAACTTTTACATTCGGTGAAACCAGCCTATGAATAACAGATATAAAGAGCAGCGGCTTTCCTGACAAGGCCTTGTTTTCATCATAGTTTGCATGTTTCTTTGACTCTTGCGTGTGAAAACAAATCGGCAGATAGTAGTTTGTGATTTACACCCATATTCTCGAGTTATAACGTGCGTAAATTCGACAAATTTATACGATCTTCGTATTATTTTTTCTTGAGCTGTATTAAACAAATAAGTAACAAAGGACTCTCTCCCAGCGGTTTATGTCAATTCAGTTTTGCACGGCGATCTACTAAAGGATTTTCACTTTACTCGACTCACCCAGTTTCCTTCTTTCTCCTTCGATGGAGCGAATGTTCGACCTTTTGCCATGTCCTCTTTTCATTCAATTTGAAAGCAATCTATCTTTTCATCTCTGAATCCCTCCCGCGGTTAGGAGGTTGACTATGGAGCATCTGTCAAGTAGATTGTTTTGAGTGAGTATCAATTCCTAAGTCGCTACGATGCCTTAGCAACCAGCCCGCTGACTACAAGTGATCGTCGTGACTTCTGACTAACCTTCAATGGCGGCCAAAACCACAAAATCTGCGCATGTATGAAGCGGTTCGGAATTTTGTCTATGGAAGGAGTTGGAAGTGCTCTTCGGAGTGTTATTTCTCGAGTAAAAGAGGCAACAGCAAAGCGGTCGAGTGTAAGGGTCGTGTTTAATGTTCAGTGTAATATCAGAAAATTAGCCATTTGAGGGAAAACTTATGTTTAATTGAATTCAAATGACTTTCTCTTCTCAGGAGCTTCCTAAAACAGCTCCTCGTCTGGTTGCAGTCAGCAAGTTAAAGTCATTAGACTATGTTATTGAAGCTTATGACAATGGACAACGACATTTCGGCGAAAACTACGTGAGTGGATTTAGGAGGTTTAATTTATGGCTGGGGGGTGGGGGTGGGGGTGGGTTAGGCCTGGTTACGTTATATTTAATAACAATCACTCGTCAAATTTCGTTGAGCCTAGGGAGAATTAATGTCTTGATGGTTGTTTGCCAAATTGAAAACTAATACTTCAGTATTATTAATAGCCACCTTGCTCAGAGTGATCTCAGACAAATGTTACATAATCATCAACCAATAAAGCAATAGCATTTCTTGAGTCAGCTGAGCAATTTTACCAATATATAACATTGATCAGGCTTACTCAACATTTTATTTGGTATAAAAATTTCGCATACCTTTTGAAACTCAGCTATTCAAATTAGTTGTGCAAGTGCATCACCTTTGCAATATTTGGATGTTCAGAATTAGAATTGCTTGGTAATTACCTTATTTATTTTGTAACCTAACTTATTAAGGAAGTGACCTTAGTACCCAAGAAAATGGCAAGAGAGACATGTCCATATTTCATGCTTCTTCCTACTCTTTGCACTTTTATTACTTCCTGCAAGCTTTTACGCCAAAACATAGCACCTCAATGAGTTTCTCAAAAATGTTTAATTTTTCAAGATGTTATTTTCATAGGTTAAAGAACTGATAGAAAAGTCAAAAGATGTAAAGGTATCATGCAAGTTTATACTTGTTATGGTTTACTTAGTGTTCTCCCTTATTTTAAGCACAACAGGTCAACAGAATTTCAAACTAGTAAAGTAATTTTTTTACCTGGTGATTTTTCAAGAATTCGAAGCAATTTAAGGCAGTAATAAGAGTTACTAGAGGCAGCAAATTTTACCTGTTACTACCTGTAGAGGAGAAATTGTTAATTTTCCTATCTATAACCAATATCTCCATCTGTTTTTACCTTTGGTACATACTTCTGGTAGTATCACTGCTATGGTATTTGTAACATTTGGTATTCTTTTCTAGGCATAGGACAATTATGCTAGTCCTGGTCATATGGTGTTAAGGGGAATCTGAAATGTTTTCAGTGAAGTCTGACTTGGAACCATTGATGTATTTTACACAGAGTTACAATGATTTACACAATGATAAACAAACCCTTTCATAAATCATCTCACAAAATGACTTTCTTATTTTCCCTTCATGTGTATAACAGATTCAGCCACTTAATGACATAAGATGGCATTTTATTGGCCATTTGCAGAGTAACAAGTGCAATAACCTTGTTGGTAAGGATTGAAATATTTTCCAACTATTTTAGTGTTACTGCAAATGGTCTGAAGCTGGGGGATCATTTGATCTTCTAGTTGGATAAAAACTGACTAATTACGACTGACTTACTCTGCTTGAAACTTATAGCCAATAACTTCGAGGTTAAACTGACCAATCAGTTTACACAAACCAGATTTATAACACTCAACTGACAACAACTCCTCACTTGACGCTGATGGTTACAACAAGTTTTCAAAGTATCAGTCACCACTAACAGTGACAGTGTTTCTTAACACTACCCTCATCCTGATGTTCAGACTACACGATCATATCTTAAAGTTTATTAATGTTCTGAATATTCACTTTTGGGAAACAATTGCCATGATTATCTACATTGGCTCTAGTTGTTGTCCATTTACTGTATATTATTATCAACCTTTTCACTTCCGAGATCTTATTATGACATGAATCTCATTATAACATGAATATCATAATATTATAGTTACCAATATTTCATTAACATGTAATTCTCCTCATTATCTGTTGTGCATGTGTATTTTCTATGTTGTTAACTTTTAGTATTTAATCAGTTTGTGTCCCCTAGTTGAGATGTGTTCTTTGTTTTCATCACCAGTCAGCATGATGTGTATTGATATTGTATGGAGAATTTTATTTATCTGTTCATCCTGGGATTAAAAGACTTGCATGAAGTCAATTCAAACTATTTATTGGGACCATTTTGGCTTTCTCTAATATAGGAGCGCCAAACCTTTTCATGGTGGAGACTGTGGACAGTGTGAAGCTTGCCAATTCTCTTAATGTTTCCTGGGGAAAACTAAACAAACCCAGTCCTCTTAATGTTATGGTACAAGTTAACACAAGCAAAGAAGAAAGTAAGTGCTACTGTTTCTCAGCCTAAGATGAAGATCAATTGTTGTGTTTCTACTTGCAAGTTTGCAAACTCAGTACTACTCACTAACACTTTTAAGAAGCCAAGCTAGTTAGATATTTAATGTATATTTAATGTTCAAACTTTTGAATTTAGCAGGCAGTATAGTGAAATAAATGGGCCAATCATTGTGAACATTCTTACTGAGAGATATGATAGTTATGTTTATCTCCACTGGTGTAGTATATAACGAAAACTTATTGGCTGAAAAAGTACGCCAACAATTAAAAAAATGAAAACTTAAGGATGGCATTTTACATTTGCCCTGTTATGAAATGGCAGTACAGTTGAATAATATGGTAACTTCTCTTCAGGTAAGAGTGGATGTCTACGTGATCAATGTGCAGAACTTGTGGAACACATTATCACCCACTGTGCGCATTTAAAGTTTTCAGGACTAATGACCATTGGGGAAATGAATCATGACTGGAGTCAAGGTCCCAATCCTGATTTCACTGTAAGCAGATTGTGAAACTGTCTTTCTTTTATTTTTATTGATCAATAAGTGAGAAAGGGTGCAAAACATGTACTGGTTAATGTAATGGGGCATTTTTGTTTGTTTGTTTGTTTTTTTTTTTTTCCTCGATGAAATGTATTACAACATACATAACAATTTTGTTTGATGCAATAAACACATTTTTCTCTGTTGATGCAATAATTGTGAGATGTAGAAATGGAGTCTACTTTAATCAATGATACAACATTGTAAAACAACATGCAACACATAATTGTTAGGAAAGTTACACCAGATAATTGGGTGAACAGTTTTTTGTCCATAAAGTGTTGAAATAAAACTGGTTATAACCCTACCTTCAATCTAAACACAATGAGGCCTCAATATCCTTGTTTAATGATTAAGCTGGCTGTACTAAACAAGTTCTTAGATCAATAGTATGACTGGTCAAGCTCTTAAGGTGGAGTTCTAAATAGTCCTGTAGATTGAAATTACAGAGGATAACTGAATGCAGTTATAATGCATAATTATAAGAATAACCAAATAGAGTTATGTTGCATGCTCAAGGTAAGTCTCCTTAACTTCAGTATATTGATTTCTTTTCAGACTTTGGTTGACTGTCGCAAGGATATTTGTGAGAAACTAAGTCTTAGCCTTGAGAATGTTGAATTGAGTATGGGAATGTCAAGTGATTTTGAGGAAGCTGTAAGTGAAGGCATATTTTATCTCATCTAGCATGAGATGTTTATTGCGTCATGATTCATTGGTTAACCCTTAACATGCTTAACACCTTAACATCAGTATGCATATTCTCCATACTGTTTTCAATACATTTCCCATGGTGCAGACAAGGGATTTTGTTTAACATTCAATTAGAGCTTCTTTAGTTGTTGATGATATCCTTTATTCTTGTGATCTTTGTTTGATTCAGGGGTGATACTGTGAGGAGAAATTAGATGCTAGGCACTCTTATGGGTTAGAGGGTTAAATTGAAGTGGTTTCCTTATGTAAACTTTCTCTTTTAATTTGTCAGATTTTAATGGGAAGTACAAATGTTCGAGTGGGTAGTACCATATTTGGTGCAAGGCAACCCAAACAGGCAAGCAATGTTTCTTCAATGCAGGGAAGCACTCAGCTTACCTCACAGGAGGCAAATTTATCTGATGCATCACAACAGAATGTTACCAAGGATGGCTTACCAAACCTGGCCGCATTGAACACAGACAATTCAACTGATAGAGATTCACACACTGCACTCAACAGTACTACATAACAACACCACCGTTTTCATCTTTTTTGATCTTCTTCAACCTTGAACATTAGACGAGTTTCCCTCAATTGGAAGATCGATATTTTGTTGAGATATTTAAAAAATGTTTGAATCGGAAGCAAACTCAGTGGTTGGAGGTGAATTCTTCCTGTGTTCGTGTCAACATTCAATATCTATATCCTGATGTTGAAATTCTGTGAGAAGAAAATTCCAAATTCAATTTGTAGCACAGATTGATTCCTTAACATTTGCTTATATTAAACTTGAAGCTATACTAGCTTATATAATACTGAAGACATATCATCATGAGTAACTTATTTAAGAATTGCCATGAAAAGGAGGTCGAAGGGACTTACTTATTTTTATGTTGACTTTGCCTTCTATGTGTACGTATAAAGATGGGGAAATGGGTTTTAGCTGGTTATAAGAAATTCATTTTCAACTACTTGCCGACCTTTTCTTGCCACTAATGGTTTCGATGCCGGTTTAAAAATGGGAGAAAGAAGTTTTAAGTTTTTGTCTCGTTATATTAACGTATTTTCGCCGAAGCACTGAGAAAAGTAAAATTATAACTATACACGGCTTTCAGTGGTTTGTTAATAAATGATTACGGAGTCACCAATTCATCCTCAAAGGTTTTCTTTCAAAACTATGTCCCACGTGTTATTTATTACTTACGTAAAAACAGCCTTTGTTTGTTAATGAACAGAGGTTTGCGAAAAATTTCTCCAAAATTACCCAGGCTTTCTAAGAATACGTAAATTACAATATCCTTTTAGACAATACTTGGTGTCGTGAAAGTCGCCGAAGTTACTCACGACGTGGAAATATGCTTTTAAAATCTTGATTTTCCCGTATTCTTCCGTATCTCGCTCACAAATTATCCTCTTACAAACCTAGATTGCATTCAAAAAGCTGGTTACGATGGGCGCCGAAGGTTCAGAAGGTTCATTCATATTTTTGCTTTTCTTGGGACAAACCGGAAGCTTTTAGTTAATTATGCATGAAAGACAAAAGGGAAAAAACCCTTTTCCCGGAAGCAAACATTCGGTTTCCCCGAATGACCAACTATCATTTCATTGGATAACGGTCCATATATGAATGCAATCAAACTGGTTTTTCTCGGAAAACTCAGTGTGTTTCGATTAGATCAGTTTTATTTCGAAGGTTTATGATGTTCGTGTTTTCGCATTGATACTGTTTGAAACAACTGTGGTCTTTACATCTGGCTGGGAGCTCTTAGTCCTTGCTTGAAACTGGTATCATCAAGGAACGAAAGGTAATTTTTATTGAACTCGATTGACTCGGATCACATTGTAAACATTTACCTGTCTTTGATTCGATTCGGCGCGCATACGAGACTTAAAACAAAAAGAAAGGTATTGTGTGATGTCTCGGGGAAACGGCCGTAGCAGTGAAAAAAGGGCAAATTCTAATTTATTTGTCGCCTATGAAGAAACGAACGGGGTCGTTAGAAGCACGATTGCTTACACGGAAGTCAAAAGGAAAGCTGATGAAGCATTATTCAATACCATGCGGTTGAAATTTTCGAGATTTATCGATGGTTTGAGATTTTTCGATGGTTTTGTGAACGAGATTATGATTCTTCAGCGACCTGAAAGCGATTGTGTGTATATTTTGCTTTCTATTTTCTCCGGTAGTGATTCTGTACGTTGTTCCCAAGCAAACCCCCTCAGTTGCGGAAATGCAAAGCAGGGGAGAGAGAAATCCTTTAAGAAAGGATGCTAGATTTGGCGTTAGGTCTGTCTACAGGCGAATAGTTTCGCTTGAGTCTTTATTTGACTGCATTAGTTCGCTTCTCTTCAAGCGAGTGAAATTCATAACGATTCGATTGCATAATGTCTCCTTCTCGGGTGAGAATGGCAGTTGTCACGATAACGTGCGTATGCCAGAGACGGGTCTGTAGCTGCAGGTTGCTGGCTCTATACCTCTAGTTACATACTCCGCAGATTTGTTCTCACTTTTTCACTTTCTTGACCAAATGTTATGTTGTTTCTAATATGTCGAATGTCACGCGACGTTGCAATTCCAGGAAAATCGCAAAACTCGTCAAAAAATGCCAAATTCAAGAAAATAAGATCAATAATTCTAATTTAAATTAATCATTCACAAATTCAACGTCACTTTAAGGTAAGTAACCTAAAAAAAAGTATTTCAAGACTTTGAAAGCTTTGATAGCGGTTGTGCAGCCATTTTGAGTGTTCCAGAGACATGAAAGCTGTACAGTCAGCGATCAACTTTACGTAGTATCACTCAGTGTTCTTATTTGCATTTCTATTTTCGTCAGTCACTGTCACGGGACAAAGTCTAGGGGAATTAACCTCCCTAAAATAGACTTTGAACAACCTCTGAAGCATTTTCTGTGAATATGGTATAGTTTACGTAATTTATCGCACATTGCCCCACTTTATATCGCATATGTCATTCTGCTCTGGATCAGTCACATTTGCCTTTACACCTCTCCGTTTTATTACACAGCCTAAAATTACTTCAGGCAACTGGTATAACGCATGGAGATGGGATCAACTAAAATTATTTTAAAAGACAAGTGAAACCATGTGTCGCTAGGTGATGCTTCTTGTTTTCTTTTTTACCAATACATACTGCTGATAAGGATGTGATGAAGTTATCTACTGACTTCATGTACAGCTGGTCAGTGTAATTTCATGAACTGAAGTGAAGGCGATTTAATTTAATCTTAAAGGTTAATGTTTTAAATTCTCATTTAAAATCTGAATCATTTGTTCCAAGAGTTTTACATTAACCTTTTCTTTTACTAATGTTAAATCACATGGTCAAAGTAATTCATGAAGCATAATAATGTTCAAGATACTTATCTGCTCTACTCATTTTCAGCTAAACATGGTCAAGTAAAAAAAGTGCTGGCTTCAAAAGGTTCTGAAATATCCTTAACTGACTGAGGAAATCGAGACACTCCATGGAAGACTTTGTGGGGAACCGGAGTTATAGAAGTGGTGGTGGCAGAGGAGCTAGAGGTGGAAGAGGACGTCCTTGGAGAGGCGGTAGAGGGGGTGCAAGGGGAGGGGGCAGAGGAGGGGGCAGAGGAGGGCGTGGTGCTTATGGTGATACGGAAACACGCCGTCCGATAAGGCTTGGATTCAAAGCACTAAAAGACTTACAGAGCAAGACTCCAGATGAAATTGTCCTCGATTTGACATCAAGTCGATGCTTCCCGGCCTCTGAATTTTTATTGAAAGAGCAGTCTCCAATGACAGATGACGTTATTGTCTTGATTGTGAGCATTCTCAGCAAAGCATGCGATTGCAGCTCGAAGGAGTACCTTATTAAGCTGCTTAACCTACTGCCAGGGTCTTTATTTCTCAACTTAAATTTAAGACAACATCTCAACAGCTTGTCCGCAAGCAGAAGGTCACCTTCTGACTTAGCAGAGTTCTTAAAAAATGTGATAAAAGTAATGAATGAACTGTTACGAAGATTCCCAAATGCATACGCCGATTTACCAATACCCGATCTGTACTGTGGAGCTATGGTATTGTCCGAAAAAGGAAATTTGGAAGACGCAAACCTGATGAATGAAGTAGGTGAACTGATGAAATTGAAAACAGAGAAGGCTTCCGAACTGAAAAGAAAGGATGAAGAGAGGCGACAAGGCAGAGGAAGAGTACGGAGAAATGGTGAGAGATGCGTAGTTTAATCGCAAAAGAGTAAAATATTCTTTATGCTGATTGTCATTTTTTTTAATTTCTAGCCGGTGAGAACGATGACTTAAACCCGCCCGATGATTTCCGACATCTCAGTGTTATTCCGACTCAAGAAGACATTTTGACTGGAGAGAGACCCTTCCTCAGAAGGAACAAAGTCGACGGGAGCTATCACGATGCGGAACATTATTTGGATGTGCAATTTCGGCTCCTTCGTGAAGACTTCGTGAGACCCCTTCGTGAAGGGATTGCCAAGTTATTGGAACGTATTGGCTCCGCTAAGATTGGTGCTCTACAGGACATACGGGTGTATAAAGACGTCCAGTTGCTGTACCCCGTATGTACCTCGAACGGACTCCAGTACAAAGTAAAGTTTGACAACACAAATCTAAGGAAAGTACGTTGGGAAAACAGCAAGCGGCTTATCTTTGGCTCACTGATGTGTCTATCTAAGGACAAGTTTGACAGTTTTGTGTTTGCAACCGTGGCCAATCGAGATCTCAAAGATTTAAAACAGGTGACTGAATTTAGTATCTCATGTTTGGTAGACATCAGATATCATGTAACTCAGCCCTCATCATCATCATCATCATCATCATCGTCTATCATAGTATATCAAATCTGATTGGTTCTCTCATCGAAGTCTATCAACATTCTGTTAATCTTTTATCCGGTAATAACTGCTTGTTTTTCTGTAGGGTATAGTAGATATTCAATTCATCAAACTATCTGATAATGTGAGACTTGAAGAGGGTGACGTGTATCAGATGGTAGAGAGTACTGTGTACTTTGAAGCATATCGTCACATCCTTGAGGGCTTAAAAGAAGTCCAGCCACATCAGCTGCCCTTACAGGTACCGTATGATCACATGATAAAATATCTTATTATCATTATGGTTTCTTACGCTGTAGTTCAGGATTTGATGTCAAACACGAAGATCAGAGGAAAGAAAATGAATTGATAATAAGTAGCACTGTCAGTTACCTTTTGCAATCCTTCTCATAAATCAGTCTATTTTTCAAGCATTTTTCCCCACACTCTGGGAATTCTTGTCATCTGTCGTTCATCAATTTCGCTACAAGAAAGTGTCCTAAAATCCTGTGATGTTGCTGCCTTCCCCTAACTGTCCCTCTCGTGCTTAAGCTACGTCAAAACAGCACTATGCTGAAAAATGCTTCTAAAGAAATGAATATAAACACGGTCCTTCACAATCTCGATACTTTGTTGTAATGTTCATAATAACGTCAACAAAAATGTTTCTTTTTCCTTTGCTTCAACGCAGAGATACATCGTTAATTGCCAAAAACATGTTGAGGCACCGGCTTACCTGAGAAACAGGTTAAGAGGACAAGTGACATTTGATCTGACGCCGATTATGAAGAAAGGAAGCAACAGTGGCAGCACTGGAAGGTATTATGTCAGACTGAGAAACAAGTTAGTGTTTATTAAAGTAAATTGATGAGGAGGGCCAACAAATGGACTGAATTGCGACTGGTGGTGCTTGTGAAGGGAAGATGACGAGTCTCAGGAGAGAGGTGCATTGTGGATATTGTCACTAATTGGCCAAGTTCTAAAGACCACATCGACGACCATTAAGAATAGGAGCTTTTAGAGCTTTTTTTCTACAGCCATCTTGATCGATTCTTGATGGCAAAACCTAGGTGGTAAAAGATCTGCTATGTGACATTGATGCAAAGTGAGGGAACACAGCGGACATTGCTAGTTTTGATGACCAATCGAGATTCTTTTACATATAAGAAAGTAGCTGGTAAAATTGATACATGCCCCTCTATTTGAAAAGTAAACTATACCGATTACTGTTTTTTTAAAGCAAGAATTCACTAAGTGAGATGAGGGCACGACTAACGCGCTTGAGTGTGAGGGATGACGTGCGTAGAGGTTAGTCTGCTGTTTCATACTGATGTACAAAAATAAGGCGTTATCATCTGTATGCTGTCCTTTGTATTCACTAACATTGGTATACAAACACAATTTACCATGAATTCCTTTATTTTGAATCGTAGGAACTGATGTGCCACTTCTGCACCTTGCTCACTGGCCATCCGCCGAAGATCTGGAACTAGATAACTCTCAGTACAGGGCTTTGCAGATGGCACTGACCAAAGAATTCGCGGTTATTCAAGGACCACCGGGCACTGGAAAGACGTATATCGGTCTGAAGGTAGAGTAATCCTTTTGAACTGTTGTCGAGTCCTCGACGGAATTTCCTATTTTTTTTCTTGTCATAAAGTTGTTCTTTAGCCGTGTGTGATTAACCATGAAAAGGGCAACTCTAGACATGACCAAAACCAAATCAATAACAACAACAACAACAACAACTGAACACAATAAAACTCTCCCTAGAGACCTCATTCATTTGGTCATACTTTAATCAAATTAATTTCTGCTTAAAAGAAAACAACAGTAAGTGCAAGCCATACCAACAACAATGAAGACTCAGAGAAAATATTCTTAGCCCGGGTTAGACGTCGCAATTTCAATTTTTCTATTTTTGGTTGAATAAGTAATATAAATATATTTATCAAGTGTAAAGTAAACTATACACTTCGGTTTTACTGTTATAACTTCCTAAAAATGATGCAAAAGTTGAGTTTCGGTCGGGCCTGCGTACCTTCTTGTATGACTAGCGGTTTGAACAGTGAAGCAGCCAGAGATGCCGCTGATGTCGAACAGCTTACTGGCACGCCCCATAAAGATCCGGTCGACTCACCTTTTGGCCGCAGAACATTTGAACCATTCATTGTTTGTCTCAAGTAATAGTGTTTGTGTGTCGGTTTGGTCAGTCCTGAGAGAGAGAGAGCAATTACAAATTTATTTTCATTTATCTTTTTCTTTCAATTGTTCATTTTAGATCGCTAATGTTTTGTTGCACAACAAGTTGAAGTGGGACACTGGTACTGAATTTCTTGATGACGAACGTGACGTTGCCCCTCTGCTGTCGGAGCGTCGCCCATTTCTTGTTGTCTGTTACACAAACCACGCACTGGACCAGTTTCTGGAAGGGATCCACAAGTTTCATTCTGAGGGGATTGTGCGGATTGGAGGTCGAAGTCAGAGTGAGATTATGAAGGCGTGTAGTCTGTCAGAGTTGAAACATCGCATGCATAAGGTGAAGATGCAACATATGGCGGAATTATGTGATTGGTTTTTCTTGTCTGCGTAGTTGTGGTGAAGTGAGCAGTGGTGCATCGTTTCCGATCGTTTGTTTATTCAGTCGCTTAGATGATATTCGTCACTTAGGATATGTAGGTGAACACTAACTTTACAAATGTGGATAACCCTACCAAGTATTTTTGCCGCTTACAAACCTGACGCAGTTACACTTACTGAACCCGAAATGCTTTCTTACTGCTTTGGAATAAAATGGAAACACTAACACCCTTATTTTTTTTTCTTTATTGTTTACCGGGCAGGATAAAAAAGCTCCCTTGCACATCAGAAGGGCTTACTATGATGCTCATCAAGAAATGGATCACACCACGACAAAGCTGCAAGGGGCTGCTGAAGATCTTAAGAAATGCTATGAAAACGTGCTGCACGAAGACGCTCTGCATCAACGCGTCCCCAGCATGACCAGTGCGCATTACGATTCTTTAAGACAAGTTTTTGTGGGTAGAGGCGGACACAAGGAAAGCGCCATGTTGTATTGGCTGCAGCTATCTCTTAACACGGCAGATCCTGGACAAGGAGGTAACGACATTTTGAGTTACTTTCGAGTTACTTTCGAGTTTGCATGTGGAAACAGAGCCCTTTTCGCTACCGCAACTGTAGCGACATTTAGAAAATGCTCACTTTTATCGTGTAAACATCGATGAACATGTAGTCGCTATTGTAAAGGTTTCATTGATAGGTTCAAGGATTGTATTCTATTAGGCTCACAATAATATGAATATGCGTCAGAAAGAATACCAACAGTAGTTAATTTTAGAGAGTAAAATGCCAAAATTAGCTTTAAAGATGCAGTGAAATTCAAATACTTTCAACATATGTTACTTTATTTCTATCCGCAGCTTTACAGCCTGTTGCTGTTCTTCCACTCAACAAGCAAAGCGCTGGACTGGAACTAGTTTCTCGAGCTAATTTAGCCATCCTAAATAACGTCACATGGTCCACGGGTGAGAAGGGTTCCTTGCAACTGTCAGGGGCACCTAACTCATTTGTGATGATTCCAAACCATCCCGGAAGTGATCTAGACACCAGAACGTCAATCACGATTCTGTTGGACGTGTTCCCAACCGGAATCAGAGGATCAATCCTGAGTTTTCACGAGGATGGCCTTGGGACTCAAATAAGTCAAGAAGGCGTAATTGATGGGAGAGGAATCCTCACAGCACGATTTGTACGGAGAGACATAACTCATCCGCCCGCTCTTGCGAAAGCTGTGTTAAATATGAATTCCTGGAACTTCATTGGAGCATCTTATGATCATGAGACCGGCATCGCACGCTTATGGCATGATGGAAACGAAGCGGAAGCTAAGTATCTTGGCAAGAAACAGGAACTTGCAACTCAGTTCTCTATCAGGATTGGAGCCTTAGAAAACGCTGGAAATGCACGATTCTTTCGAGGAAGAGTCGCGAATCTTCGCATATTTGCAGAACCCCTCGGAAAAGAAAGTATTGTGACTATTGGTGGAATTGTCGCGCAAGGTAAATTGGATTTGTTTTGAGTTCATTAGAACTAAGAGATACACCTTTAGGTTCTGAAATTCGACTTCCTTTTCCTAAAGCTTTCTATACTGGCTAAATAACCCATTTTGCTGGGGCGTATTCCGGTTCCGGTTCCATAGCTAGAGGTTTGGACTGATTGTTACTCTTCTTGGATGGGATGCTGTTACATCACTAGTTACCCCAAACATTTTTTCGTGTTTCCCAGACAGCTTATTGATATTTTAACTTTATATTTTTGGACGGGGGGAACCAAGTATCTTGCTGAAGTGCGCATAGTTACCTTTCCAGTGCTAAACCTGGCTTTTCAATTCGCATTCCGATGCGATAACAACAGACCATCTCTTAGCAAGTGTATTGATTAATACACAGAAATGTTAACTGGGTCTGCACTCTCAGAATCGCGCGTGTGGTCGCGGAGCTTGGTGGCGAAAGGCCAACCTTAAACACTTTTGTAAGACTAGGGGTATATTTTCCTTTTTGTTCTATGTTTAGATGGAGCAACAGCAGGAGCAGGAGCAGAAGCAGAAGCAGAGGAAGTAGAGGAGGAAGAAGAGGAAAATGAAAACACAGATGTGTTGTATGAAGCGGATGTTATGCAGGACCAGAGGGTCTTAGACATTGATGACATCAAAGTGTATGGTTCCAAAGTAATACCGGGAAGTGGACATTTGAAAGTTGTGGACCCTTTTGCTTTCAGCAAAGGAGCTGAAGGAGAATGGCAAATTCAGAATCCTGAAAAAATGAAAAAGAAATTAAAGAGGAATATGGTTCTCGAACTGAGCAAGAAAGATGTCATGCAAGCTGCGACAGCGAGAGCGGTGAGCATTTTCGTTCTCGATTAGTCTGAGTTTATATTCATCAGAGACCAAGAAGACGTGGTCATTGTTATAGCACTTTTTGATTGAGTGTCGTACAACCATATCCAAAGTAATTACAGCGGCCAATCAGGAGAAGGGAAAATACTCTGAAGAGCCAATGAGAGAACTCAAATTAAAAAACAGAAAACTACCCAAGCGCAGGAAAACGGGGGCTATCAACTCGTGATTGGTGTTAGTTTTGCGTCTGATTTGTTGATAGAATGGCGCGATTTTTTTGGGCCAATCTCAGAGCGAGGTAAAGGAAACCCGATGCACTCCCGAAACACTTTCGACACTCAAATGATTTCGTCGCCCTATGATTTAAATATGTGGCAAAGTCCAAATTAATATACCCAGTTAAGAGTGAATTGCTACATCAGCTTTGGCCTGCTCTCGAAGTTTGCTACTAAACTTTATCGATGAGAACTTCGATTGCTATGGATGCACTGATCTAAAAATAAAATTTTAACTTTTATTGAGCCTTTTCAGAGAGCTAAACAGTCAAGGGAACTTAGTAAATATAACATAACACTCATCAACCAGGTATAAAGAAATAACGAGGCTGAGTTGAAAAACTTATCTGTTGTTGATTAACCCAGGTTCAAAATGTCTGGAGTTTGCGGCCGAAAGATCGTTGGCGCCTGTATCGCCGATGGCTGACGGATCTGGCGGAGGGTTACCGTCGCACTATCTCAATGTTCCAAGAGAAATTTGAAGAAGGAGCCAAGCGACTGAAGGATGTAAGAAACATGGAAGATTTTGAGATACTCAAGAACGCTGATGTCGTGGGCATGACAACTACAGGTAAGTTGTATGGCTTTTGCTAGTAATTTATCCAGTGATACACAGTTGTGCTTAGAGAAAGACTGTGCAACAATAAGCAATTATTGGATGAAGTGGGCATGATATCATGAATTATCAATGCCGAAGTTTGAGTTATCTGCCGAATCCGATGGCTTTATTTGTGATATCACACGAAAACCGAATACAATGATTGTTTTATTATACATTTTTAAACAATCTGCAAAAGAAAAAAGACACTTCCCTCTGAATTTGCAGTAGTTTGAGAACACTATACGGATAAGGGGCTTAGAAAATAGGCAGACATTGAACTCGACATGAAAACCCAATATCTGCTGCAGAAATTGGGTTATCATGCCAACTTCACACGCTATTGTATATTGACTATATGCTCTTGACCAATCAGAGTTTTCATAGTAAGTCTAGTGCATAATTATTTCAGATGCAAGTAAACGACTTCGTCGAATACTTTGTGTCTGTGGTTTCGTTACTGAGCATTATATATATATATATATATATATAATATGTATGAATTACGAATGCCAGAAGAAGAAAGAAAAAAGCATCAAAATTATTCAATACCAGTAATTTTCCAAGGACATTGACTTTTTGCTAAGGTTGCAGTAACATTTTGAATAGGTGAAGGTAACGTTAGCATCTATGGAGCAGATTTTTAGGCTAATTATAGCCATACAAAAATAGTGTATATGTAGTAAATCATATTGCGAATAAGGTGACAAGTGACGAATGGATCTTCACTGGTTAACAGCTATCTTCTGAAGTCAGTGCATTTCCATTTCCTATGTATTAATGAACGTTTGCTGTGTCTGGGAAAATTTGTAATACTTCCACAAGATTTTTCCCAGCATTCCCTAAGTAAGCCTTACTTACTCGCAGCAGTTTTCAAAGGTCACCAGTATACGAGGGTGACGTTATGATAAGTTTAGATTATTGTGAATATCATGTAGACATTTACTAATGGTGTGACCTTGTATTTTAGGCGCTGCAAAGTATCGTAAACTTTTGCAAAGACTGCGTCCACGTATAACTATTGTAGAAGAAGCCGCTGAAGTACTGGAGTCACACATTGTCACATCGCTAACTCCCGGATGCCAGCACTTGATTCTGATTGGTGATCATCAGCAGCTCCGCCCCAACCCTACAGTTTACGAACTCGCCAAGGATTACAATTTGGACGTGTCACTCTTCGAGAGAATGGTGAAGAATGGAATGCCCTATGAACGATTGCGATTACAGCATCGAATGAGACCTGAAATTTCTAAAATGCTGGAGCATATCTACTTCAGTCCAAAATTGGAGAACCATGAATCAGTTATGAATTTTGAGAATATCAAGGGGGTGGCCCGCAACATGTATTTTGTTGACCACGCTGAGAGTGAGGTGAGTGAGCGATTTTTTATATGAGCTCTGTTAGGTTAACAGTTACGCTAATAAAAAAAAATTATTTTGAGCGTGTGACTAAGGAAACATATGCTAAAAACAATGATGTCAAAATATTGAGAGGAATTGGAGCACTATTATAAATATGTAAATGGTAGCATCTTAAATGGGATTTAAATTGAATACTTTATTTGTACAGGTGTAAATGCCTCATCAGAAAAATTAAAAACAGCGTTTCGCGGGATTTAACCCCTTTAGTAAATTTGACAACGAAGATATATCTCTCAGGCATCTGAGGCCGGCGTCATGTCATAGTTCCATCTCATTGTCTTACTGCTGGAGAATCAAGGTTCATTAAGTGCCTGAAGGGAGCATTTGACATACTGATTTTTTATTGTTATTCAACGTTCAGCCATCCTTTTCTTTTTACGCAGGATTTTTTGGAGGAGGGAAGGAGCAGGTCAAATGAACACGAAGCCAAATTCCTTGCTGCCCTTTGCCGCTATTTTATTCTTCAAGGCTACCAAAGAGAGCAGATCACAGTCCTTACAGCCTACACTGGGCAGCTAATACAGCTCAAAAAAGAAATGCCCAAAGATTTTTTCCGTGGAGTTCGAGTCTGCGCAGTGGATAACTTCCAAGGAGAAGAAAACGACATCATTCTTCTATCTCTGGTTCGAAGCAACGAAGAAGGTAAAATTGGTTTCCTGCAGACGGAAAACAGAGTTTGTGTGGCGCTCTCACGAGCAAAGAAAGGGTTTTTCTGCATCGGTAACATCAGTCTTTTAGAAACAAAGAGTCAATTATGGAAAAAAATAATGAACGACATGCGTCAGCGCGGCAATGTGGGAGATGCTTTGCTACTTACGTGCCAGAACCATCCCCTAAACGTGATACAAGCATCACGCGCTGAGGACTTCAAGAAAGCACCAGAGGGAGGCTGCACTGTTCCATGCTCGGCAAGACTCGAGTGTGGTCACGTGTGCGAGATGGTGTGTCATCCAACAGACCCAGAGCACAAGGAATACCAGTGTAAAAAGCCATGTGCTAAGACTATCTGTAGTCGGAATCACAAGTGTCGCAGGAGATGCTATCAAGATTGCGGGCCTTGCATGGAGCTTGTGATGAAACGCCTACCATGCGGTCACACCCAGAACGTACCTTGCTCTAAAAATCGTTCTGAGGCTCAGTGCCAGTCACCTTGTTCCAAGATTCTGCGCTGTGGCCATGATTGCGCCAATAAGTGCTGTGAAGAGTGTACTGAGAAGTGCACCGCTGCTACTAAGAAAAAATGGGCGTGTGGACATGAAAACAGTGTCGAGTGCCATGTGAATCCACGGTACAGTCCATGTAAGGCACCTTGTGGTGTGACTTTAAAGTGCGATCACCCCTGTGGTGGTAAGTGTGAGTTCTACGTACTTTTATACCCATTGGGAAAGCGGGTATTTTTTAAAGTCAAGTCAGAATTAAGAGGTTTCATTTTCAAGTCTTTCTGAAACATGGCCTAAATATTTTGAATACCTATGCTGATGAAAGTTACTAAAAAGAAAACGTTTAAGGGTAAAATTTAAATGTTTATTTCTATTTTTTCGGACTTGGAATTGAAAAGAAATAAAATGATTACTGAGGGAGTTAAAACGGATTTAAGACTGATGAAAGAATATAGAAAATTATGAAACAATTTGAAATGGAGAATTTATTTTATATGCTTGGTCCCGGTAACAATCCTCTACTTTGAAATTTGTAGACAGAAGTATTGTTTTAATTCTTACTCAATGTTTTCACATTATATGCAGGTAGTTGCAGTGATTGTTTACGCGGTCGAGTTCACCAACCTTGTAAGGCAGTGTGTGGCCGCACACTGTTTTGCGGACATAACTGCTCTGAACCCTGTACTAAGAATTGTCCGCCATGCAAGGAAAAGTGTGGTAACTACTGCAAGCACAGCAACTGCAAGAAGAAATGTGGCGACCCTTGCGAACCATGTAACGAGAGGTGTGTTTGGCAGTGCCCTCATTACAGGTGCAAAAAATTATGTGGTGAGTTATGTGATCGCCCTCGATGCAATGAGCCATGTCCAAGGCTCCTTCGATGCCGTCATCCTTGCATTGGTCTCTGTGGGGAACCATGTCCAAGGAAGTGCCGAGAGTGTCATAAGGACGAAGTCACAGAAATCTTTTTCGGTACCGAAGACGAACCAGACGCTCGATTCGTTGAATTGGCGGACTGTGGTCACGTGTTTGAAGTGAAAATGATGGATCAGTGGATGGATCAGGCCGAAGTCGCGCAGAATGGGAAGCCTGTTGATGTTCAACTTAAGCTCTGCCCAAAGTGCAGGGTTCCGATTCGTACCAGTTTAAGATACGGCAATATTGTCAAGAAGATGCTCGCGGACTTCGAAAAAATAAAACGGAAAATTTTACTCAGTAAACGGCAGCGGGAACTTAAAGTATCGATTCCTTGTGCAAATGTGCAGAAGATTCACGAGTTCCCTGAAGACCGGGACAAAATTGCAAAATACCTCGACTCTAAGAATCTGACGGATGAACAAGTGAATGTGTGTGAGAATCAGATCAACTTGTTAATTTTCCTACAGACTCTTAAAGATAACATCGAAAAAGGAAGAGAGGCGGAAGAGGGGAGAGCGAACAGATTTTCCGCTAGATATTCCTTCTTGGAAACGAAGGAAGAATTAGACGGTGTCATCGATAAGCTCCGAAACCGCGTGATGAAGATTCGGGTTCGCTTCAGCGATCAAGAACTGGAAGAGCTCAAAGAAGAAATGTACAGGACACAGCTTCTTATCGACTTCAAAATGCTTAAAATGCAACTCAACAACCGGGGCAAAACTTTAGAACTAATTGAGACCGTAGTGTTAGATCGTGTTGAAAGAGCATTGGATTCTGAAAAGAAAATCGGTAAGGACACAGAAAGAGAACTAAAATTTGGAACGATTTCATGTCTCTTTGAAATCTCAAACCTTTTACTTTTTTTCGTATACCGCAATTTGCGAAAGATGATAGAAGAGTAAAGCATTATCTTGAATGATAGACTAGCCTTTCAAGTTTTTAGAGCAACGTATAATAGCCTTATACTGTTTCAAACAAACTTGTTAACCTGGCTGGAAAACTTTACTCTCTGCGCATTTCTCCTTCCTAAACTCGGTAAAATACTGACTGGACGCTGCTCATGGGACAACAGAGAAAAGAGGAAATGGGGTAGCCACGGAAGTGTGATTTGTAGTTTGAGTGACTTAATTACCCATTTAACCACAGTTGTACTTTCCCAGAAACTTTAGCGAGATGAGTTTTCTTTCCATTCGTTTCTTTTCTTACATAACACGAAAACTGTTACTAAGTTTTTGTTCAAATACGGTAATGGGAGTGGATGAAAAGTGGAAAAATTAAAAGATGTCTGCTCAACTGACCTTTTCAGAACGAAAGCATCGAGAGGAATACATGTCTCGAATCAAACGGATCAGACGCCGCCAAAATCTCGAAGTTTACTACCAGACGGTTACAAGAGAAGAAAAAGATCTGATCGTGAAGGCCATGGGAATGACACAGGGACACTGGTTCAAGTGTCCAAATGGTGAGTTTGAATGACACAATTTTAGCCCTATGAACTTTCCTTGAAATTTTCTTAATCTTCCTGGAAAACCTTAATAGGAGAAATGGAAGAATTTCTCAGGTTGTTTCTTTCGATCACAGCTAAATTTTGAACAGAGGAAGGGCTGCAAAGAAGTGAACATAAAATCATTCCTTCTTAATTTCCTTGCATGGGCTGATTGATAGATGAAAAAGGCTTGGCCATGGATTTGTTCTGTAAGGAACCGAATGGTGACCAAGCTTCTAAAGGGAGACGTCATCAGTGCATCAAGCGCGTAAGGCGTCCAATCGGTTTCTTCAGATCACAAGATACTGAAACTCGTAACATCTAAAATACTTTCCTTTAAACGCCTCTTTTTGTTTCGCTTATTCTTTAAGGTCACATTTACTGCATTACAGAATGTGGTGGAGCAATGGAAGAGGGCAAGTGTCCAGAATGCGGCTCGAGAATCGGAGGCCTTAATCATCAGCTGCGATCTGACAATCAGTTAGCTAGGGACATGGATGGGGCACGATATGCAGCCTTCTCTAACATGGCTAACATTCAAAACTTTGATCCTCGCGACTTTATGTAGATTAGAACTTTTAAGTGTTATTTTTGCGGATTAATTTAACCCTTCTTTTAAAGGTTATTTTCCTTCGTTATTGACGGATATTTAAGTGAGGGATAGTAAAATTTGCTAAACTACGGGTGAAATTGAACCATAATCCCAACATAGCGTTTGAAAAAGGAAATAATCTAATGCGCCAAAATGGTTACAACTCAAATTTGTGGGAATCTTGCAGTCAGGTACCATGAAGATGGATAGAGTCTTTACCTTCGACCCTCATATAGTCAGGCAGTAAATCGAAAAGTTTGTTGTTCTAGGTTTTCATCAGTTTCTACGAAGAGTTTATCATTGTTCTTAACGAATAAGTCACCATGAGTTTAAGACGAAAAGAAAAACAAAGAATTAATTGAAATAGTTTCTGCCCAAGTGAAAGCTCCATAATGTCGGATTTCCAATTTGGTTTATTGCCTGAGACACATTGTATCAAATAATGCGTTAACAAGTCCGGGCTTTGATTGCTCTCAATGAAAGGGATTTGATTTTACATAGGCCGAGGGCGGTACTCAAGACACAGGGCACAATTTTTTCCAATACGGACTGACCTAGGCTGGTAAATAACATTTTCAGTTTTTTCCATAAACTTTACGAAATTCTTTCCAAAAGAACCCGAATGATTTAGGGCTGTAATTGCGGCAAGATATTCTATAAACTTAACAATTTTTGACCGAGTAAATGGTACTTGAAATAGAGGTTATGCAAATTAAAGAGAGAAGCTTCACCAAAACATTTTCATTTGCGTAGTGATAAAGGTGATTTAAAAGGCTTCCAAACAAACTTTAAACATTATTTTTACAAGTATCTGTCACAAACTGACACCTGTCCATTTGAGAGCGCGTAAGAATAAAAAGTGCATGTGCATTTTTAGAAAAACAACGGAACTAGTTCAGTAAGGATTGTCAAGACAATGTTTTCTTCAAAAACTGTCAATGATCCCACGGAAAGTATTATTAACTCTCATCGACGATTAACTAATGTGCGAAGATTTACCTCTGATCAGTAAGTAAATGGCGAAGAATGTAATTGTAAGTAAAGTCAAATTATTTAGTTTGAAGTTGTGAGAGTTTGCTCTTTTTTTTGCTGCAATGGCGTGTGTAAATTTGGTCTTTCCTCCACAAAAACTTAATTCGAATGAGACATTTCAACTAGACACAAGAGAATTTAATGCGTCTTTTTCTCGTTGAATTCATTCAGTTTCTGCTGTACAATTTGCGGTACAAATGTTCAAATTGAGTAGACTTGGAAAGACTTACCAAAAGCGTATTTGAAGTAGAACTGAAAACTTCGCTCGGCCTTTTCACTACAAACAAATTTTTTGAGAGAATTCAGATACTTAATGAATGAATGTTCCATCTATTAACTCAATTGTAACCAAATACCTCACGCTTTAACTTTCTATGTTCTTTTTGTGAAGGATTGAAATTACTGAACTACAGACGGTTTTTAGGCCAATTTAATGACACTTTTGCTTATCCACATTCATTTTGAAACCAGTATTTTTCTGTCGACCAAAGTGATTTGAGAGAGAAAAAAAGAGAGGATTAACAAGTTATTTATCGGCTCGAGGTGGTGACCGACGTCTTTGCTTAAAAATACTGCTGGACCAGCCGGAAAAACGAGATAAATTTATGAAAAATGGCAGCGAAGGTAAGGATATATTTGGCGACTCACGAAAGCGTTGCCGTGCCGTGGGCCGAGACCACGCTAAGAACCGGACCGCGCTAAGAACCGATAACATTGTAGGATTCGTTACCGTGCCCACTGAGAAAAAATAAACTATTTTATCGAGGAGAAAAACTGATTTACAGAACTACGTATAATGCGGCAGATTCAAGTTGTACATACCACAACACGGAAAAACCTGTTCTCTGATCGGAACAATTTTTGTTAGAAGCAAACATTGAGGCTGTAGTCACAGAGACATATATTCGACGTAAGGTAACTATGTTTATTCAATTTCCTGTCTATACACCGTAATCAGAGCAATTTTCAAAACGCCGATTATATTAAAATATTTATAACCTGAATTAGGCCTGGCTGAACGTGGAAATATTTGGCTATTGGTTATAGCGCATGGACCTCACCACGCTCGGTGCGTACGTCATGAACTTGAGCCAAGTATTTTCCTGTCCGGCTCTACCACTCAGATATTGAGTCAATTTCCTTTTCGCTTTCCCCCTTTCCTTATTAGTGTCTACCTAATATGTAGTGTTTGTCTATTGAAAACCTCTAAAACAGGTTCATAATTGCACACGGTATCGTATTTGGCCGAATTCCATCCATTTAATCTGTCGTGTCTCATCTCCATTTCTCCACGGCGTTGCTGTAACTGGTCTGCAAACATAATCAAGTGGCTACCACTCCTGAAATAGCATTGGAACTCCCGTTTTATTTCAACATTGAAACCCTTCAGAGTCAAAGTTTAACTAAAAGCTCGGTTCAGGCTCTCTGTCAGCGGAAGTAACCTCATAATTTCCTATTTCCCGGAAGAAAGCTTTCGCTTTCTAAGAAATTTTGCTGCATTTTAATTGGCTCTCGTTTAGTCGCTCCTATAGCGATAGTTCTACATCTGTGCTCTGGAAAAATCGTATGAGGAGGTTTATCATGCAACAGTGATATGTGACGATTGAACAAAAACCAAGCTGTCGTGTAATCCTTCACAAAAGTCGTGGCTTGCCTATGTTTGTTGGCTTCGTCTAGCATTTGAGGTAATGCGGAGCTAAAACGTATGCGCAAATATTCAAGTATCCGAATGTAATATTGCAATCAAAATATCTAGAGTATCTGAGCCGGCATTACGAAATTCATTACATAGTTTATATCTAGATCTCACTTCGCTAACTTGAACCTTATCTATCAGTGCCGAATCAGAGTGTAAAGAGTAGAGAGAGAGTTATACATACAATAGAAGTTATCGGCAATCTCAAACTTAGCTACCACTATCTCGCAGGGGATCAATTGCATAGAAATTCAAGACTTAGTTTGCATAGACTGTTAGCAAAGCGCTACCTGTGCCACCTCTAGCAAACACATACAATGTGCAGCACCTTTTATCCGATAGAGAGTGGAAATAGGTCGGCGAAATAATCAGTTTGCCATTGCTGTAAAGAGCTTTAGGTTGGCCTTCGTGCATATTTAATTATATTCTTTAGAGTAACAATGTGTATGATGTGTATGACGGATTTAAAATATATGAAATGTATGACTTGTGACCAAATTTTCGAAAGTTAACAAGTTAGCTCGAATCTTGAAAATTGGAATGGCTTGACGTCAGGCCGGTCATGATGATGAGAACACTCCATCCAAGCCGGAAATAAAGAAATATGCAAAACATCTTGTTATGATCTTCTCGAAGTGAGCGTCAAATTTGCTCGAAATTTGTAAACTGATCCTAAGAGTGAATATCTGCGGGATAACCCGGTTTTATGAGCTAAGATCAGGAACTGTCATCAGGAATCGACATCAGGAATCGACATCAGGAACTGTCCGGAACAGTTTCGCTGACAAATCGTCGAACGAAATCCCATTTTTATTTAATTATTTTTATACAAAAGTTAATATGGCGCGTGTCCAATCGAGTGGTTGAGTGAAATTTTGCTAACCGTCGCTTAAGGATTCGTTCTTAGAACGGAATACGGATATCTCATGATGTGGGTGTCCATTTTCAACATGTAAATATCTGACACGTGGCAGTAGTCACATACGTTGTTGATAATCCAGAATGCTTTTGTACTGATCTGGTTTTAATCCTTTAACTCCTATGAGTGACTAAGACAGAATTTCTCTTCACAATATCACTCTAAAATCAACCAAATAACTTATGAGATTAAAGAAAAATATCAATTTGAGGATAACTAGTTGATGCAATACTAAATTATCTGAACGAACGTTATAAGAATTTTATGGTTGATAGTGAGGAGAATTACACAATTGATCTGGGAGTTAAAGGGTTAAAGCAATGACTTTCGTGCGTTCTGTTGTAAACATTATAACTGATTACCATGGCTTTTATGCGTAGCTTGTAGAGTTCTACAGGATCATAGATCAGAAAATGTCTCTTTATTTACGCAATCAATACATAAAAGACTCTTGATGCATATTGATGCCCGGTATCTTTTATTTGTTCATGGTAGGAGTATTTTTAACTGAACAAAGAATCTCCACATTTTTTGAACAGTGCTTGCCTTGTTAATCTTATTCCCAATCCTTCTTTATTGTATTTATACCTACATAAAATGAAGTTGCTAAAAAGCCTGAATTGTCTGTGATCAGAACTGATACAAACTTCTACCTTGTTACAAGCACATGCGCGAATGGGAGGGTAAATGCCGATCAACGCTATGGTATTTACTCGCCAGAATTCAGAACGTTTTTGTGTTAGATATGGATAGCTGTTCTTTGATACCAAGTGAATGACATACTTTTTTTTAATGAGAGGGGTCATTCACCCTCCTAACCCTTATGCATTTATTTTCTAAGTACTGCATAAAAGTTTTCAAATTAAAATTTCAACAGTGATATTATTTGCCCGTTGTTATGGCTTGATTTGTCCTTTGCATGTAGGACTATTATCGTCGGTCTTTCGGAATTTTTGGTTGTCGAATAAGGAGAGATTTAAAAGTTCCGCAAAAGGTTTGGTAGCAGAGACCTTCTGATTTCATAGTTGGAAGGCATATGTGAAATTCACTTTTTAACTGAGTGATCTTCCTCTTATTTTTGTCAGAAACATCCTAATGGAGCAAACCAGAGAAATTTGGAAAGGACGAGAAGATCATAGAGGGAGACGAAATGGAGGTTGGAGAGGTGGTTGGCGTGGCAGTGGTAGAGGTGGTGGCAGGGGCGCTAGAGGAAAAGTTGGTGGAGCCATCGGAAATAGCATAGGGCCGGAAGGTACATTGGATGTTAAAAGAGAAGCTGAAGAGGTGACTGGTAGTAGTTTGCCCGCTGGGAAGGGAAGAGGGAGTTGGAAAGGCTGTAAGCGGGGTAGTCGGGCAGGTTTTGGAAGGGGCGGAGGAGGAAGAGGAAGTTGGAGAGGTGGTTGGAAGAGTAGTGCTACAAATGGTGAAAGGGGTGATGGAAGAAGGGCTGGAGGAGACACTGGAAGTATTCAGTCTGAGGGACAATTAAAATTCAAGGACCTTCAGAATCTGAAGAACAAAAGCCCAGACGAGATTGTTCTCCATTTGACATCAGAAAGTTGCTTTCGTTCTATCGAATACTTAGTCAAAGAGCAGTCAACAATCACAGACGACAGCGTTGTTTTATTAATAAACATTTTCACGAAAGCCTGCACTAGCAGAAGCAGGGATGATCTGTACAAACTGCTAAGTCAATTACCGGGGTCTTTGTTTCTCAATTTGCACCTGAGGCGCAACCTGAACAGGCTCTTTGTGGATCAAATCCCGCCTTTTGATGTGGTTGCGTATCTAAGGAACGTTAAGCAAATGATGAACGAATTGCTTCAAAGATTTCCAAACTCTCACTCTGATCTTCCTTTGTCAGACTTGTATTGTGCGATCAGGTTGGCGTTCGATTCGGGGCAATTGGAAGATGAAGCACTCGTGAAAGGGGTGGATGAAATGATGCAAATGCGAATCGAAAAAGCTGAGGAGTTGAAGAGGAAAGAGGAAGAGAAAAAGCAAAGGAAAATGAAACCACGGAGAATTGGTAAGAATCCTACATTCTTTTTAAGATTCATTTTGCCCTTTATAATTGTACGTTTTTGTTATCAAACAAATCTTTCTCTCTCTCATAGCCGAAGACAACGATGACGTCAGTCCACCCGAAAATTTCCGATGTCTTAGTGTTGTTCCTACTCAGGAGGACATCTTGAGAGAAGGAAGGCCTTTCATCAGAAAAAACAAAGTTGGTGGTGCTTACAAAGACGTGGAACACTATTTAGACGTACAGTTTCGACTCTTACGAGAGGATTTCCAGCGGCCTCTTCGTGAGGGGATCACAAAGTTGTTAGAGTGCTCTTGCTCCCACAAGATTGGTACCTTACAGGACATACACGTTTACAATGGTGTTCGCTTACTCTACCCTGTATGCACGTCCCATGGTATCCGTTACAAGGTTGAGTTTGACAACTCTAAGCTCAAAAAAGTACGGTGGGAAAACAGTAAACGGCTTATCTTCGGCTCTTTGTTGTGTTTGTCCTCAGATCAGTTTGAAAGCATTGTGTTTGCAACGGTGGCCAACAGGAAGCTCTCCGAGATAAGAGAAGTAAGTTGAACATAGTGGATGAAAAATAAATGAACATTACGTGGTATTTTTCCAGTCTTTTCTCTGTTTTTTGTTCGTCCGCGAACATTTCTGTTGTTTCCCTCCGTTGCTCTGGAACGGCTTCTCTACTTATTCAAATATTTCTCCTCCTTTTGGTTACAAATTCTGTTGAAGCCATCGAGAAGGTTTCAGAGATCTTTTCAATTTTCATCAGGCAATATTATCTGGACACGATCCACTAAGATTAGTTGCCAGTCTTAATGAGCAAGCTGAATGGGCACTTTCTCCTCCTTTGCTCAAGTAATTTTCGTCCGACATTTGGCCATTTTGGCACAAGTTTGGGCGAATTTTAGGCTTCTCAACATAAGTATGCATCCTGCCCACAAGTATACAAACTTATTAATGGGAGACATTCGTTCAAGATGCATTTGTTAACAAACATATTTTTTGTCTGTGTGCTTTTCTCTTCAAGGGTACGGTGGACATACAATTCATCAAACCATCTGATAATGTGAGACTTGAAGAAGGTGACGTGTATCAGATGGTAGAAAGCACTTCCTACTTTGAGGCGTACCGTCACGTGCTGAAGGGAATGCAAGACATCCATCCAACTATGTTACCTTTTCAGGCATGAGTGATTCCTCACGTGTAAATTCGTTAACTGTAGTTCTAATGTATATTGATTTTAGATAGAAACTCGGAATTGCGAAATTCTACATTTTTAGCTTGACCGCATAACTCAGATGATCAAACTTTTTAAGATGGAATGTAGTTTCCCAAGTTTGTGCACTTTTCCAGTGTAAAAACTGGTAGTTTCTCTTAATAACGCATATTCAACTTTGACATCCTATTGTTTACCTACAGAAGTACATTGTAAATTGCCAAGAAAATGTCGAGCCCCCTGCTTATTTGTTGAGTGAACTGCACGAAGAAGTAACTTTTGACTTTACACCTATAATGAAGAACGTTAGCCAGGATACTACTGATACTACTGAGAGGTACGAGAGGAAAAACTTCATGTGTCCTCGTCGGGGGGAGGGGTGGGGGTGAAACACTCTGAATCATCGATTGTTAACTTAACCAAATATATATTTATAACATAACCCGTGGGCGAGACCCAGCTAATCCCTAAAAAGCCACAAGCTGTGTATACACACCTTATTCGATTTATTAACATGTAGTGCGTGCAGATATTTTGCAAGTTGCGTAGTATTTTTCCAAACCCGGGCCCGTAGGGACGAAGAAAAAGACGAGAGGTGAATAGTATGTCCGCTGGTATCTGTAAATGTAAAACCATCGAACAAAGGATTTATTATTCCGCTATAATTTCATTTTCAAGTATTTTGGCCTCTAGTTTTCAAAGTACATCCTACCGGCGACCTTAACTGAGCATCGTATCGATCGCATGTGCCGTGTGCGAAAGACTAAAACAACACAAGCTTAAAGGTTCGTTGCTTTAAAAGTCAGACATAAGAAAAGTGGATTAAAACCGAAACTACGTGGAATCGTTCATTGCGGCCTTTCGTTGTTTAAAATCGTGGTGCGTTTGTGGGTTACGATGCCCTAATATGGTAAAAGGGCGTAAATGTGCAATAAGCCTCTTGTCATATTATGACGTGTGTAGTTTCACCTCAGTTCTCGTCCAGATTAGCCGCAAGATTTCAAAACTTTCATGATTGTTTTTCTGATTTACTACGATCGAGATAGACCTGGTGGAGCTCAAAATGAAAACTAAAAATGCTGCATGATACTTGGTGGGTAAAACAATGAACGTTTGACTTTTCCAAACGACGTAATTAGCTTTGGAGTCAACGAAATTCATTCACAAACGCGATACGAATAATGGCTGGAAAAAGAAAACTTTGTTGAACTTTCGGACTCTTCTTTATTTGGAACGGTAAATATTACTTTTAAGTGTCAACATGTCCTTAGAGTATTGTTCAATAGAAGATTTGTTTTTCAGAAATTTCAAAAGAAAGCTCCGCAATCTTTGGCCGTGAATTATAGTAAACAACGATTCAAGGATGGTGAATCTATCACGCAGGTCTCGTACATGCAGGAGACTCGTACGTTTTTCACTTCAAGGAAGCAAATTTAGCATTTCTTTGAATAAAACTTTCCTCTCGAATCATGTCTTGGTCGTTTCTGCCTTGCCTTCTATTCACAGTTTTTGTGTGGTATGCAATTACAAGGTAAACTCGACACACTTGTGATAAAACCCTTTCTTCTTTCAAGCTTTCCGTGTGCATTCATATCTCGATATACGCAAGATTGGCATGAACCATCATCATATTCACTCAATATAAAAAACAAAAAACAAAAAATTATTCAGTCAATTAATTCTATGAATTACTTTAGACTAGTTTATTTTGATACCATTTTATAATGATATCATTGTTATGGCGATAAAGTACGCCGTACCTGTAAGACTTCTTTTATTTTCATCAACAGTTCAGGTACTCTTAAGGAAAACTTGAAACTTCGGCGTGCGCGTTTGAAGGGTAAGTGTATAACTTGAATTGTGTGACATTACCTAACCATATGAAGATTAATCTCAGGAGCTTGCTTGCACTTTCAGGCTATTAGTCGGGTATATATCCCTATTTCTGTGTATGCTCTAATGACCTACAGTAAGTTTCTTAAGAAAATAATTCACGTAGCATAAAATTAGCAGTTTATTCAGAATCTGGTAACTCGTTTAACTCTTGGCCCGGTTGTTCAAAGGGTGGATAATTCTATCCATTAAATAAATCTCTATCCGGTGGATAGCGCTGTACGTTTTGATAACTCCTATCGGCTGGATAGTAATTTATCCGTCGGATAGCGTTATTCGTCCTTTGAACAATGGATAGATATGACCAACCCATATGACCAACCCGCAGGTATTTATGTTTGGGAATCAACAGCAGCGAATACAGAGCCGCTAGGTACAATTTATGCTATGAGTACCCAAGGAAGGTGGGGGGGGGGGGGGAAGAGTTACATAGAGTACCCAAGGAGTGTAGTCACGCATTTAATAAATTCACCCATTACGTAAGCTTTAAACGCCATTTCATGCGTCACAAATTTTAAAGGAAAACTTCAAATCTCTTTTTTCTTGTGGACGAGGTTTCGGGGAAATCTCGAGGCTTTCACAAAATGAAAGAAATTATTCGCTGGTGACGTATGTTTCAGGGGACAAATCACACTTGCCATTCTGTAAAATATACGCGTCACATATTAATTTTGGCCTTAATCAAGCGTCAAGTATAAACCATTTGCCACCCTCTCTTACAAAACTTGTCTCAGTTGGAACTGTTTTTGCGATTTTGTTTTAAAGGAACTTCCGTACCACTTCTCGAACTGTCCTCCTGGCCTTCCGCGGAACATCTGGATCTTGACGATTCTCAGTTCAGGGCGCTGCAGATGGCACTGACCAAAGAGTTTGCAATAATTCAAGGCCCACCTGGTACTGGAAAGACGTTTATTGGGTTGAAGGTAGGTTTGAAAGTATTACGATTGATGCTCCTTTCAAATGCACAAAAAGTTGGCAAGGTAGAGAACTGTCTACTTAAAGCAATGTGCTGGTCTGTCACATCCTGTATCACTTTATTTATGTCTTGCAGATTGCCAATGTTTTGTTGCATAACAAAAGTAAGTGGGACTTCAGTAGAAGGAGTCGAAGGAATATTTTTCCTCGATTTTTAGGGAATCATATGCATCCAATACTGATTGTCTGTTATACTAACCATGCGCTCGATCAGTTTCTGGAAGGAATCCATCAGTTTCATCCCGAGGGGATTGTGCGGATTGGAGGCCGAAGTCAGAGTGAAACTATGAAGGAGTGCAGTCTGTCAGAGTTGAAACACCGCATGCGCAAGGTGAGCAGCAGCAGATAATTGTTGAAAATATTTCGAGCCATGTTTATTGCCGGCAAAATTTACACTGAAGTCGTTTCCATTTTTCTTTATCCATCCATACATGGGATTAGGAGAAATGTTTCAAGTGAAACTAATATCCCCTTTCTTGCAAATATTTTCAAAATGATACGCAAACCTCTAAAAGACCGAGACGAAGGTTCAATTATTTCCCTCGCCGTTCGGGCAAACTGGGCTCAACATCCCTCTAACATTTGACCGAGAACGACGAAGAAAAAGTAGTTGAGTCAAACTGCGTTATCATATCGTTTTAAGCTGCGTTATCATATCTCTTAAGATATAAACTTAATGAATGTAAAATATCATGAAAGATGGTTCAGTGTGTAGCTGGATGGTTGGTTACAACTGTTCTCGTCAGTTTTGCTGAAAATTTTAAGATAGGGGCTTCAACTGAAGCAAATAGATGGTATTCAAATTTTAACGTCTGATTGGTAGTAAGAAAATATAGTTTCTAGGGAATATTCATTTTACATGTGCTTTTAGCCTGTACATCATCATTTTTTTCTTTCGTTTGGTGCCAATAAATCCAAGTTTATCCTTTTGAGAGGTATGATCCGAATTGTAATGATTATTATTGCGAGTAAATCTTCGACGCACTCAATGTACTTAGTTTCACATTTTGGCGTGATTATAATACTGTTAATCTTTAACTGCTCTTTGGTTCACAGGCGAAGTTAGTTCCGAAAAGTATCAGAAAGGATTTATTTGAAGCTCATAAGAAAATTGAACGCGCTGAATCAAAACTACAAAAGGCAACCGATGGCCTACAGAAATGTCGTAAACATGTTTTTCACGAGGAAGCCCTTCATTATCGTGCCCAGAGCATGACAGAAGCCCATTACCGATCCTTGAAGCAACCTTCTGAGGAAAATGATGGTGTAAAACACAGTGCAATGCTACGCTGGTTAAAGCTCTTGGTTAACTCTGCAAATCTTAGTCAAGGAGATGTTTGTGAAATAGATGGTAGGTATAAGTAAACTGTCTTAGATCTCTTCTGATTTGATAGCTTTTAGATAAAAAGTTATTTGATCTATCGGTATTCGTGTTCTACGGACATAGTACACTGTTGGAAGAATTTTTTTTTGGTTGACAATTGTCGTTATTAACTGTCAACTTACATACAACAGTGCAGTACTAACACTACAAAAAAACACTTACAGTAATTACGATACTTACAGTGCTTACCTTACTCACAATACTATCCCTACTGCTATCTATACTTGTCGATACCAGGAGTCCATTACTTAATGGGCTTCCGTCGATACTCACAATAAAGGCCACTTAGAAAAAGATTTTTCTTTTAAATTAATTTACACTACAAATTATGTGATGTTTACACTACTTGCATTACGAATTTTAAATAAATATTAGCTTACTCTATACACTAAACGATCCTTACACTAGGTGAAGCTGATACAATTTATGAAATGTAGGCTGCAGCACATCCCAGACACAATGCAGATACTTTAATTACATTTCGGAGCTTAAGTTCGTTTACAACGAAAAACGATAAAGCAGATTTTGAATGAACCCAGCACATGTTCTCTCCGCGCGGTATCCAAAGAAAAATAATGAAAAAAAACAAATAGATAAATATGAAAAATATTATAATAGTGGTTCTCATCTTTTTCTTAAGTCTTAAAGCTTCTTATTTCCTGAGGCAATGAGCCATTCAGTCTTCTGCTTAGCTTCTACTTTGTGGAGAAGCAAATTAAACTTTGGGACTGGTTTCTTTCTTCTACAATCCCATATACATAGTTTACCCAGAATTATAAGATAGTTTAGTTGATCATTTTTATTTAAAATGCCAACCTCAACAGCTAGATTCTCTTCTTCATATGTGAAATCTTTGCAAATTAAGGTCATTTCGCAACAGGAGATGTAAAGATCTCGTGAATCATATATATATATTTGTCGATACATATCATGTATATGTTGCTGTCATTACGTTACCTTAAAAATTTCTCGAATGACGTTGAAATTCAGTACATTACGTTATACCGGCGTTCGAGAAAAACTAACATATTGAAATAGTAAAATTAAATCAATTTTAAAATTTTTTCGCGCATAGGTTAAGTCTAGCAGATAGTTGTATTTTGATTTGGAATCTTTAGAACGTAATTAAGTCAAGAACCAATCTAACCTACGCATGCTAAGGAGAGGGAAGGTGGAGTGGAGTTTTATGTTAAGGATGACACGATTGTCTTCTTTACGACGGTCGCAGTTTACAACTTGGCAATAATCATCATTTTATTTATCTTCTTGAGGCGGGGAATATACAGAAGAAGTGGAAGAAAAAGAACAGGATTACGATGAAGACGAAGATAGCGAAGATGAAGGGGATGTTTTGTACGAAGCGAATGTTATGGAAAACCAAAGATTGTTAGATGACGACGACGAAGTTTACCAGTCGAAACCCATGAGAAAACCTCAGGACCTCCTCCAAGTTGTGAATCCATTTATCGATCACGGTGAGGAACACGGTGATGAGTGGCAAATACAGAACGCGTATCGTCTGATGAGGAAACTTAAGAGGATCATGCATTTTGAACTGAGTAAAGACGATATCATGCCTGAGGAGATGGCGAAAATGGTTAGTGTTAAGATCACGGCTTAGTGTAGTTAAATTCATATCAGTTAATTGACGTACCAGGTAGTGTTTATGAGAACTACGTGTAACTCTGATATAGAAAATTAGGTTAAGAGCTCTGTCTCTGTCTGCTTTAGGCTGCCAATTTATAGCTTGCCTAACATTTCTTATCTGGTAATTAGGATATGTTTTGATATGTTGATTTTAGTGAGCATTTCAGATCCTTTTTATCGTCAAACTCTCTTAGACTTATCTTTTGCCTACAAAACCTATTCTTACAAAGCGTTTCCAACATTTTTCTTACGACTCTCAATTTTTCTTAATTCCTAAAGTTGGTGGATGTAAACCAGGTGCCGCGGTTCCAAAATGCTAACATTTCATATTATTGCGTTTACATAGATAGTTCTGTATCAAAGTCTTAGTATCGAATTTGGATAGTTACTGCAACCCAGAAGGTTGTAGCGTGCTAAAAGATGATCGTTCCTGATTTATTATAATAACATTAGTAAGTTTCTGTACTGTAGATCACAGATGTTTGGAATTTGAGCCTGGAAGACCGCTGGAGGTTGTATCGGCGTTGGGTAAAGGACGTACGAGAGCGTTGCCGCCAAGAGATGAGGTACTTCCTCTTTGACTTTGAGAGGGGTGTCAACAAACTAAAGCAGCAAACAGGTCAGCTGGACTTGTTCATTCTTAGGGGGGCAAATGTCATCGGAATGACCACAACAGGTGAGTATGGTTAAATAAAACTTATCTCTTTTATCAACCTTTACAACATAACTCAACATGGTATGCATGATCTGACTGGACTTCGCCACAGGTACGATCAATTTTCTTTCTTTTATCATTTTTGAAATACTTATTTAGGTGCGGCGAAGTACAGCAAACTTCTGGAAGAATTACAACCCCGAATAACCATTGTGGAAGAAGCCGCTGAAGTACTGGAGTCACACATTCTTACATCGTTAACTCCCGGATGCCAGCACTTGATTCTGATTGGCGATCATCAGCAGCTCCGCCCCAACCCTACAGTTTACGAACTCGCCAAGGATTACAATTTGGACGTGTCGCTCTTCGAGAGAATGGTGAAGAATGGAATGCCCTTTGAACGGTTGCTTCTACAGCATCGGATGAGACCTGAAATTTCCAAAATGTTGGAGCATATTTACTTCAATCCAAAACTGGAAAACCACAAATCAGTGCTGAATTTTGAGAACATTATGGGTGTGAATCGTAATGTGTTTTTTGTGGATCACGCCGAAAGTGAGGTGAGTGAAGACAGAAATATTACAAATTCTTTAAGTGATTCTCAGGTTTGCCTTGTAGCCAGGTTGGAGGGGACGATGTACATGGTTCCCAGTGAAAGATTTCGTCTACAAACTTATATTCAGATCTACCTTCTTACTTTAAGAGGGAGAAATAACTGTGCCGAGTTTCCTTTACGTGACTGAATATTTAGTTCATGGTTTCTACCTTTGCAATGAAAATAAAATTAGATATGCTCGACGCTACAGACAGAGATACTTCGGCTGTGCAAGACCTCAGCGAAGTGTTGTTAGCCGATATTGCTTACGGATAATGACACTTGTGAATCGGCCTGAAAGTAAACTGATGGAAGAAGAGCGGAAGATAATTTCCTGTCTTCTCGTATAACATTGTAGGTTAATAAGTCTTAGGACATATTAAAATGATGTTTTAATACTTACTTACAAACCATCTCTCACGTTAACTGATCTCCAATATAAAAGGTAAGATCGAAAGCACTGAGATAAAATGTCTTATCTGTAATATTCCGTGCAACTTTGAACTATTTTCGTTTGTTATGGATCGTACTCTAATGACGTCACGCTGTGATAATTGTCTACTCAAACAAAAGACGGCGGCCATGTTGGTGTAACAGGCTTGTCAAGAAATATACCTTTCCATATCTCCATATTATGAAAAGTTAAAACAGAAAAAGTTAAAAATAGAAATACAAAAGTTAAAACAGCAATAATAATGATGAGTATAAATTTTTTGTATTTTATAAACAACTTTGACTTGCCCTCTATCTCTACTTTTCTATGTACCTCTTTCGTCCGACTTAAAATAAGATCTGAAATAGGTAATATAGTTGTAAGACTGTTTCTTTCTTTTCATTACATGCAGGATTTTCTGGAAGAAGGAAGGAGTAGGTCAAATGAACACGAAGCCCAGTTCATAGCTGCTCTGTGTCGCTACTTCATTCTCCAAGGCTACGAAGCAGAAAAAATCACAGTGCTAACGGCTTATGTTGGGCAATTGACCCGATTCAAAAAAGAAATGGCAAACAAAATCTTTCGAGGTGTTAGAGTCTGTGCTGTGGATAACTTCCAGGGAGAGGAAAATGACATAATTTTGCTTTCGCTCGTTCGAAGCAACGAAGATGGCAAAATTGGTTTCCTGCAGATAGAAAACCGAGTTTGTGTAGCGCTGTCTCGAGCGAAGAAAGGTTTTTTCTGTATTGGTAATTTCTCCCTACTCGCGAAAAAGAGTTTGTTGTGGAACAAAATTATCAACGACATGAAAGACTCAGGAAATGTAGGAGATGCTTTGATACTCACTTGCCAAAACCATCCGCAAAACGTGATCCACGCTTCAGTTGCAGACGACTTCGAGAAAGCACCCGAAGGAGGCTGCACCCTACAATGTGCCTTTCGACTCCAGTGTGGTCACGTGTGTGATTTGATGTGCCACCCCATAGACCCTGATCACGAAGAATATCGGTGTAAAAAGCCTTGCACCAAAACACTTTGCGATCTGAATCACAAGTGCCCTAAGAGATGCTTCCAAATATGCGGGCCTTGTCGGGAACCCTTAGATAAGATCCTTCCTGGATGTGGTCACTTCCAGAAAGTTCCTTGTTACCTCTGCAATGATCTCACTCAAGTTGAATGCCAAACGCCCTGTAAAGTGATTTTAAAATGTGGACACGAATGTGCTGGTAAGTCTGTTAAAAACCATGGTTACCTATAGAAGCAATTCTAAAAGTTTCAAAACGTTTCTGTGCATAAAGGTGGTTAATTTGTTTCAGTCAAGTTGAAATAGGTTTTCATTTAATTTGCGGGAGATGCGTAGGACTTTTTAAACACCCGATAGCACCGATAAGGCTTCGAAGTCGTTTTTCACTGTTTTGAAATGACGAACTTGTTTCATTGGTTTGCTCTAAGCGACAAGTTTTCGAATTTAGCGCAATAGTTTCTTGTAACGGGAATACAATTTCTGGGGCTTAATGTATCAGGATGATTATGGGTCCTAGAGAGAATGTAAACAGTTCGGGATGATTGGATAGTGACAATTACAACTTCACACATTCACTGTGAACCCGCTGATTCCTATTTCTCTATGTTCACTAAGGTGATTGCAGTGGTTGTATAAGCAGTCCAGTCCACATACCTTGCACAAATGATTGTCGCCGATTACTATTCTGTGGGTACACATGCTCTAGGGCGTGCGCCAGGATCTGTCCACCATGCACGGTAAAGTGCAGCAACTATTGCGAACACAACGAATGCAGTAAGAAGTGCGGGGATCCTTGCGATCCATGTGAAAAGAAATGCGTTTGGCGATGCCAACATTATGAGTGCACAAGTCATGCAGCGAGCTTTGTGATCGCCCTCGTTGCAATGAACCTTGTACAAAGCCTCTTCCGTTGTGTGATCATCCTTGTTTTTAAATTCTTACCCAATGTTTTCACATTCTATGCAGGTAGTTGCAGTGATTGTTTACGTGGTCGAGTTCACCAACCTTGTAAGGCAGTGTGTGGCCGCATACTGTTTTGCGGACATAACTGCTCTGAACCCTGTACTAAGAATTGTTCGCCATGCAAGGAAAAGTGTGGTAACTACTGCAAGCACAGAAACTGCAAGAAGAAATGTGGCGACCCCTGCGAACCATGTAACGAGAGGTGTGTTTGGCAGTGCCCTCATTACAGGTGCAAAAACTTGTGCGGCGAGTTATGTGATCGCCCTCGATGCAACAGGCCATGTCCAAAGCGCCTTCCATGCCGTCATCCTTGCATTGGTCTCTGTGGGGAACCATGTCCAAAGAAGTGCCGAAAGTGTCATAAAGACGAGGTCACAGAAATCTTTTTCGATACCAAATACAAACCAGACGCTCGATTCGTTGAATTGGCGGACTGTGGTCACGTGTTCGAAGTGGAAATGATGGATCAGTGGATGGATCAGGCCGACTTAACGCAGGGTGGGAAGCCTGTTGATGTTCAACACAAGCTCTGCCCAAAGTGCGGGGTTCCGATTCGTACCAGCTTAAGATATGGCAACGTTGTCAAGAAGATCCTAGCGGACTTCGAGAATATTAAGGGGAATACTTCCTCCTTTGAAATACCTCGAGGTCAAGAAGTAGAGAGTCTGTTATTTGCACTGCAGGGAATTAAGGAGTTTCCCGAAGACCGAGATAGTATCGAGGTATTGCTAGGTCAGGCAAATCATGCGGCTGAAGCACTCGATGTGATAAGGAACCAGATCAGCCTTTTGTCTTTTCTCCAGACCCTTAAAGCCAACACGCACCGTCAATTTGAGAGAGAAGACCTTCCGCGGGAGATGAAGGAGAAATTCGATCGTAAAGTGGAACAACTCCGAGTTCGCGTCATGCAATTAAACTACCGAACGCTCAATTCTCAGCAATTAGAGGAGCTTAATGAGGAAATGCATAGAACGCAGCTTCTTTTTGATTTTAGATTGCTGATAATGCAACTGGAAATCAATGGAGTTGATCTGAGTATTATTGATGGCTTGATGAAAGAAGAACTGGACTCAGAAAGGAAGATTGGTAAGAATACAGTTATGTTTACAGTGCAGTATGATAATACGATTTCGAGCAGTTCTGTGAGATGAAACAGTTAAGAACATGCAAGGGTCGAAAGGAGGGGGAATGGACTGCTACAATTTTTCTGTAATGGTCTTTGCTCAACTTTTCTTCTCAAAATGTATGAATAAGCGTATATTTCCTTTAGATAGGAAAAGGTGAGTCATCGCAAACGGTGACTTGTCTACCATAAATTGTCATGGTATTGTGAAAAGCGTACTGTTCGCGGTACATTCGTTCTGTAACGTAATTAATCAAGTTTGAAAACGTAAGGGCTTTGTATTGGCAGATGAAAAATGATGTGTTAGTTATGATAGGTCGACCGTTGAGTGGCAACTGTTGGGTATCTAGGTGTGGCAAAGTAGTGTGCACTCCACCCTTACAATCGCACCATCCTTTTGTGATTTTTCGAAACAAAATTTTCCATTAAAAAGAAAAGGTTTTATAGACAGTTTGCAATTTATCAGATTCGTGCGAAAATGTGTTGACTAATGCTAAGGAAATTTTCAGGCAAAGCATTTCGAGGTCGATACACTGCTCGTATCCAACGTATAAGACGGGAACACAAACTTCAAGCTTTCAAACTGGCGGTTTTAAGGGACGAACAAAGTGTGATTGTTAATTCAAAGTGTCTGGCACAGCCTCGTTGGCACAAGTGTCCAAGAGGTAAGTTTTATTTATAATTATTTGTTTGGTAAAAGTCATTGAATTGTACTGGCCCCGAGATTAGGATTTAGACTCTCTTTTTTTACTTATTTATACCAAAGTTTTGTGTATTTTCTTAAGAACCCATTACTTACTGGAAAGTTATAACCAGCTCATCGTCCAAAGTAATAGCGGCAGGGCGGCATAGGAGCTGCCTAAGTAAAGAAAATTAACAATGGTTTTCAATCTTTTCTTTAAAAAATGTCTGAAGGGCTAACTTAACAATAACACCAGCCTTTTTACAAGTGAATCTCATTCATTTTTGAAATTATATTCTCACTTTGAGGGTCACATCTACTACATCACAGAGTGTGGCGTGGGGATAGACGAAAGTAAATGCCCGGATTGTGGAAAGAATCGTAAGGAACATCATGCAGATGTAACAATCACAGTGTAATCAATATAGTAACCCTGATTTGTGGATGAGGCTCCGCAACTTCAATTTTTATACAGCAAATTCAGATGTGAGCTGAGCATGAACCAGAGGGAGCTCTATTACTAGACCTCCTTATCGAGGATCTTTTCAACTCAAAATATGGTGTCAAACTAGCTTTTCAATTGAAGCATTGCAGCCATAGTTTCCAGGAATTAAGAAGAAGTTTTGAATCGAAACTGTAACCACAGTTGATTTCTTTGTGATACCTGGTCACCTGGCCATAAGGCTAGCTTAAAAATTCATTAATTATTTTGTATTGTAGCTAGTGGATGGTACTTCTATCAAAGAGTTTCAACTCAGCCTTAGGAGAACTGAAATTTTTAAGGGGATTGCCCAGCTCAGTTTCATATACAGAGATTTAACACAAGGTCATAGTATGTTTGGGGGGAGGGGGGATACCCCTTAGTAAAATCGTTTTATAGTGGAAAATTATTAATAACATAGCGGGCGTGCTTGCCTTATATAAGTCCTAGTGAGCCGCTGTCAACAAAATCTTTATTTACGTACGACCGTGGAAGAAACCAGCGAAGAACTGCCCAATTTTTCTATCGACATGGACCTTTTAGGTCCTGATCCAACAAGCAACAAAAATAAAGCCGAAAAAAACTCACAAGTTGCACGTTTCGCAAATTTGTCAAAACCCTGATAACTTCGGGTCTTTGACTTTTAAAAAAAATTTTTAGTGACACTTGAGTTCATTTGGCTTTGATTTTCTCCATTTTCCCCGTAATTTTTGAGCATTTCATTCACAGTTATCGGTTGACTGGATCAAATGCTCCCGCTCAAACCAAAGTATAAAATGTGGCGTGTTTTTGACCAGCGAATGGGAACGTTAAATAATAATAAAAGGCTTCTTCGCGCAGATCCTTATTGTCGCTCTGTTATGAAAGAATTTGCTCATGCTTTTAGCTGTGCGTATATCAAGTTATTGATGCACTTGGGAAGTTTGGAGAGCACTCAAAAAGCTAGAGAGGCTCCTACGCATTTCTCGTTCTCTCAAAACTCCCGCGTGCATCCATAACTCGATATACGCACGCTAAGCATGAAAAAATTCTTAATTTTAACTCCAAATGTGATGCTATGGTCATCAGACTAAATATATACGAATAAATATGGGCATAAAAATCGACTTGAGGAACGATATAGGGGAAAATCTGATGTAGTGAGAGTCCTGCATGATCTTCTTTAAGAAAATATGTAAATTATTGCTTCAGAATACAATACAAATCTTTAGATGGTTTTAAATTATAACTCTAGAGTGTGGATCTCCCTAACTAAATTTACTTTTCAGCGGAATATTTAAAAGATATGACATACTTGGGAAACTGTCATTGTCACCTTTGTATCAACAGCATGCCGATATACGGGACGCCTTTGTATTACTTCCAGTGTTCATCTCTCCCACAGCAAAGACGCAAACCTCAAACTCGCTCCTTAGTCGTTTTTTATTGTAGGAAAAATCATATGACGCACGTTGAATACACTAGAAAGCAGGAAGCAACCATAAACATCGTCAGGTGATATCCCCGTTTGTAGAACTTACTATGTAGTCTTCTAACGATTTTGAATTTGGAAACATTAATTATTTTTAAAAGCAAACTATTCGGATTGCAAAATACACTGCGCACTTTGCAAGAATTAAATTACATATTAAATGCAATATTAAATCATGCAGATGGTTTGGGACTAACAACTTCGATAACTCCAATGTGGCGTCGGTCGGAGAAGCTGTTATTGCGTGCCCATATTGCATTACTTCCCAGGCTTCTTTATGCGGAAGCACTGCAGATTGCAGGAGGCTGAGGCCTTGTTTAATCGAGTGTTCAGGATTTTTACGTTACCGCTGTGACATCCAGTGTTGGGGTGAAGATTCAATTTATCTGGATCATCAAAGTCGTCAACATAGTCAACCAGTTCGAGAGGCTAGCTGAAACATGCTGCTGGTTTGAGATAGCTGCATCCTTTTTTCACCCAACACACGTTTGTGCAATCCGAACCTGAAACATAAATAACGCCTTTCAAATCTCTTATTCGGCAGTGAGACAGTCTGATTTCCACGAGTTTTTACCACCGTAATCACCAAGAATTGCTAATGGCGCCCTGCTAATCAGGTTTCCCGTTATCTTTGTGGTTTTCGCTAAAAGTCTGTTCAGGTTGACTGCTTAAGACATAATATGTCCTACCGATATTCCAAAAAATTGTATGGTACCATAGTTTGACAAGGGAAAATCTTGCTATAAGGCACTTAGAGAAAAGTAGAGTTGGTTCGTGGTTGGTCAGGACAAGTCTTCCCGGAGATGTTCTCATATTTCAGTTATTTTCCTTTTTCTGCAAGATGTAACGATAATCATATCGCCAAGTAATAAGTCTTATAACTTGGAAATCACACCCTGTTCTCCTCATATCTTTTTTAACTTGTGCTGAGTGCCCACAGTGCATTAAGCATAAAGAAAACAAACACTTTATTATCGACAGGTGTGTCTTACCCGAGAATCAAACAACTTAGTTGCGTTACTAGAGTTTGTAGGAATACGTCAGACATGCAAGGCTTTAGAAGTACAGCCACGAAATATCCACAAATTAAACTGTATTTAATGGTCTGTTTAACACATACAAAATCGATCTGGGAGGTTTTGCAATTGTCTTGTAGAAGATGGCAAATTTTACACTAACCTTAAGGTGAAACTTCCGTAAAGTAGAGAAATTAATTTTTAGTGAGAGGGTCTAGCTGCAAAGCATGACAGCAAATATTGGTACAAATCTGGGAACCACCCTTCAACTCCCAGGAATAAATGACTAATATGTAACTTCTCCTTTCAATATCATTACATTATCCAACAAACAGGTTGTGAGACTAAAAACTCGTCAGCTTAACAAAGCTTAAGATTTTTTATCGTGATATGACACAAAATTCTCTCCAATGCATGGTTTCTGTTGATTTTAGAGCTCGTAGAGAGAATGACGAAAGGAACAAAACCAGAATGCCATGGAACAAACACTTCTGATGAAAACTATTCAATGCGCCAAACTTTTCAAATCTTCACGTGGAAGGGTGAATGAACCGAGGATTGTACTACACGCACTTAGCCCAGCTTTGATTTCGATGCGATGCAACACTTAAACTCAATTTAGAGACCAGGACCAGGTTGTTCAAGGTCGGGTTTAGATAACTCAGAATTAGTGTCAAATCTGATTTCAGTTGAGATAGCTTTAAGAGAAAATTCAGTGTATCTCTCTTTGTGTACAGTTTGATGATTGGGTGCCCTAAAGAAAACAGAAAATCATCCAACAAGGCTTTTGAATTTTGGAATAAAGAGACCCGGATTAAAAATTTAACCTTGGGTTAGCACCAATCGGCCTTCGAACAACTGGGCCCAGTTCCGCATTTAAATCAGAGAGCCCCGTCAATGTAATTATTTACATATCCACTAAAAATGTGGATTTCGAGCACAAACCCAATAATGTGACACGGTAATTCGATTGTTTACAATCTGGGTTTATTGGCTGATTGATCAATAGAGAATAATGCATGGGCGCGCGTAGATATGGAATTTCTCTTCGAGTGTTTAACTCGATGGCTCACGAGTGAGCGCAGCGAACGAGTGAGATGTCGAGTTGAACACGAGAAGATAAATTCCATATCTACAAGCAACCATGTATTATTTTGTTTATCATATAAACATAATAGCCCTTTACGGACGAGAAAAGCCGACTTCATTAATGAATAAAAATAAATGAATCGACAATCCCCAAATAACAATCGTAGAGTGCGTTGGCGCTAACTCTTAACATGAAAAAATGCGTCGAATCATGATTACAAAAAAACAATGATCGTAATTTTCAATTTACAAAATTCTTATTTATTGACTTTGTCCTTACCGACAGAAGAAGTCTAAATGGCCAAAATCGGCCTGTGGCAAATCTTCCAGTTGTCGGTTTTCATCCTCAGCCGCGAGAAGTACCAACTCTAAAGCCACTGAATACTTAACTTTCGGTTTTTCTTTTTGTATATTGGTTTTTTCCCCCTTCTAGGAAAGTTTGAACCTCACTGTCTGTCAGCAATACAGATATTTAAGTGTTTTGGCCGCCACAATCCGAGAAAGTTCCGATAAACTACCTTGTATTGAGAGTGATTGGCGCCGATTCGGGTCTTCTTGATCTAACCTCATGGTCAGTTTTGTTGCCATAATCCCGAGGTAATTTTAAATTTTCATTCTCCACGACGCTCTCCGGTACATATCTACACCATTCTTCTCCTCGCCGGAAGCCGCGTTTTCCTGCAAAGTCCCAATGAACTGGCCTTACAATGTTGTCGTACTTCCTCTTATACTCCAACTCAGCTAATGAAGGGGAACCATTCACAATATGCCTTCTTGTTTTAATTAACTAATGACATATTCTGCTTGTGGCATCCTCTTGCGAATTAACAACACTTTCTTGATGTGGTTTGTTCCTATTTCCTGGTTCAACGACGAGGGCCTTCTCTGTGTCAAGCTCCTCTCGCTACATTCCTACCTATGCCACCATTTCTCTCATTTTGCCTGAGAAGTTGGCCATATAGGCTCTCTATTCTGCCTTTCTATCCATTTGAATATTATAATCCTTATTATTACTACTTTTATTATCATCACCATCATTATTAGTACCCTTGTCATCATTATTATCATTTTTTATTATCCTATTATCACTGCTGTTATTATTGGGAAGCTAAACCTAGACTAGTATGCTTGATATATATGTATATAACACTGTTTTACTCCTCGTAACCACACGCAGGATTTTCTAGAGCAGAGAACGAGTAGGTCAAGTCAACACGAAGCCAAATTCATAGCTGCCCTACGCCGCTACTTCATTCTCCAAGACAACGAACAGATTGGTAACAGTACGTTGATATGTACAATGCTGAGCAGTAATGAGGCTAACAAGAGAGGCTTCTTTCTTATAAAAAATCCAAGTCTATTAAGCGGAACGAAAGGAGTACTACATCAGTATCCCTTAAATCTTTTTGGCTTCTTTATTGTTGGAAAATTTGAACATGATGAAGATTATTTGTTAACTTAAGGAGAAAATGAGTCATTTCCATTGAGAACCGTGACTGCATCCGAATGGTTATATGTTATCAATTAACAGCCTTTCTGTGACTTTAGGGATCACCTTTGAAATGAAAGGGCTATTTGTTAACAGATTAGAAGTGAATTGTTATGATATGCAGGCGTGTGCTTTGAAAGACGATTTGTCTCTTAATCGGACAATAATTTCCTACAAAACAGGTGTACTACTTAGTAAGTGTGAAAGGGATAGGTACAATCCCCACACCCTTGCCATAACAGCGTCTTATTTTGATTTTCGGGTCAAGTCTTACTTACAGTCTTATCATTCTTATTGACAGTCTTTGATTTAACAATTACACTTGGAAAATTTTCAGGCAACACATTTCGAAATCGATACACTGCTCGAATTCAACGTGTAAGACGGGAGCAGAACAGTCAAGTTTGCGACAAGACAGGTTAAAGTGACAACCAGAGTCATAGCGTTAATTCAAAGTGCCTTGCACAGGTTTATTGGCTCAAGTGTACAAGAGCTAAGTTTAACTTATGATCGTTTGTTTAGAAAAATTCCTTAAATAGCATTAACCCCTAGATCGGCATTTTAACTCCACTTATCCTCTTATTTTTGTTCTATAAACTGTTGTTTAAGTCTTTCTTTTTGTTTAGAGTGGTTCAAAGTAGTTTCGTAATTTTTAAACACGAGCTCTTTGGATTACTTAATGTGCTTCTCTTTTTCATTTGTTCCTTTTAAAAATGGCGAAATAATGACAGATTTTTCCTACCATTTTTTATGGCACACTAGTTTACTATAGCAACATTAATTTTTATAAAAAAAATAAACAAGTTTGGCGATTCTCATTCTAATCATTGAATTGCAATGAGCAAATCAGAGTCCATGTTTGTGCCAAGTTTGGCTCTGAGCAATGGGTTAACTCTGCAGGAGTACTGAAGTCAATTCTAATATATAGATTTAGCCAAGCCTAAAAGCGGAGCTCGCACTTTTTTTTTCCCGCACGTCTCAAGGGCACAACGCCTTGCTCCGGCCTGGACTAGAACCCGCGTCGTCCGACTTGGAGCCCAATGCACTGACCACTGGACTACTGAATAAAGCCCGCGGCGTTCCCGCGGTACAGTTGACCACGCATTTTAAAAGTAGCACCTTGTACGGTCGCACGGTCGTACGGTCGTACGGTCGTACATCCAATTTTTTTCGGCTTGATGAGTTACTACTATTTTGTATAATTATGGGCTTGCGCTATGAATAATTATAAGAAATGGGGCTCATTCAACTTGCCTTCAAGCTACAGGTGCGTGAAGCTAGAAATAAGAGTGCTTTTAAGAAGCTGCAGTTTTGCTATGGTAACCTAAGTTGCTAGATGAACTATCACAACTTGTTGATAAATAATGGCGTCATTTTTTATTCCAGTTTAAAAGAAAAAAACGAAAGTGCACGAGTTGTGATCCGTCGAAGAATTAGTGCTTAAAAACAGGCAGGAAACTAAGCAATCGTTTTCAATCGTTTAGTTCCTTTGAAAAAAATGTCTGAATGGCTACATAAAGGTAACAACAGCACCTGCTACGAGTGAATCTCTTTGCTCTTAGAAACTATATTCTTATTTTGAGGGTCACATCACAGAGTGAGGCGAGGTGATAGAGGAAAACAAATGCCAAGATTGTGAATGAGGATCGTTGGCCACAATCGTCAGAATATCAGATGTAACAATCACAAAATAATCAGTAATAACCCTTATATAAGGGTGAAGCTCAGCAACTCAAATTATAAAAGTATAAAACATTTAAAAGTCTGCAGAGGGAGCTCTATTAGTAAGTCTCCTTATCAAGATCGTTAGAAACTATCAAATTAGCTTTTTAATTGACGCATTGTAGTCATAGCTTCCAGCTTTTGAGAGAACGTTTTAAACCGAAACTACAACCTTTAACGATACCCGGTCACGTGACCATAAGGTTAGCTTACAGACTCATTGATTATTTTGTATTGCAGGGGTAGTTCTTTCTAATTGTTTCTTGCTTAGCCGTCGGGGAACTGAAACTTGCCTCAGTTTAATATACTGTGAGACAGATATTATCAGCAGGTCATGATATGTTCATCTTAAACTTTCCTAACGATCGTGCGAGGAGTAAAATCTACAAATTATTGCTTTGGAATCGAATCTTTAGATGGTCTGAAATTATAACTCTGGAGTTTGGATACCACTAACTAAAAGTTGCTTTATAGTGGAAGATTTTAAAGATATGACACACCAGGGGAGAAAACTGTCAGTGTCACCTTTGTATCAACAGCATGCCGATAGGGGCGACACCTTTGTATTAGCTCCAGTGTTCATCTCGCCCACAGAAAAGATGCAAACCTCGAAGATACTTTGTTACTTTATTTTACTGAAGAAAGAAAATCATACAACGCACACTGAATACACTTAAAACAGGTAGCACCCATAAACATCGTCAGGTCTTATTCCCTTCTATGGAGCTTATTAAGTAGACTTCTTACAAAAATTTTCCATTGGAGTCGACCTCTAGAAAATTTTGGAATTTGGACACATCAATTATTTTTAAGAGAAAGCTGTTCATATTGCAAAATACACTGCACACTTTGCAAGAATGAAATCACATCTTAAATGCAATGTTGAATCATGCAGATGGTTAGGGATTGACAACTTCGATAACTCCGATGTGGCGTCGGTTGGAGAAGTTGTTATTGCGTGTGCCCATGTAGCAGTACTTCCCAGGCTTCCTGATGCGGAAGCACGGAGGATTGCAGGAGGCTGGGGCATTGTTCAATTGATTCTGGAGCGCAGCGGCTCCGGTGTAGCATCCTTTGTTGAGGAAAAGATTCAACCCTTCAGGATCCTCGTAGTCGACAACCTGTTCAACCACTTCAGTAGGCAAGCTGGAACACGCCGCTGGTTTGAGAGAGCTGCATCCTTCTTTTACCCAACACACGTTTGTGCGATCCGAACCTGAAATATGAATGACAACTTTTCAATCTCGTATTCAGCGGTGTTACAGACTGGTTTTTCACGAGTTTTCGCCACCTTTAATCAATAAGAATCGCTGATGGCGCAGTCCTCATCCTCACGTTATCATCTTGACAATAATCGTATGATTTCGGCTATTTCACTTCTTTTCAGTAATGCCCACCGAAACATTTGATTACCTCATAACAAAGAATACTTCCCATACTTAGATGATAGCAAAAAATTTAAGTCATTCGCGTTTGCAATTTCTCACTATTACCCAAGAGATAGAAACATGTTCGCGCATGTGTAAAGACGAAAATTGAAAGGGCTATGGGGAACTCACCAAAGTATCGGCCTTAGGACATTCGGCCGTGTAGAACTCGAAATCTGGTCACCCTTGCATCACAGCACAAGACGGTTCAAGACAGTTGCTCTCGAGCTCCCTCTCTCAGAAGTGAAACTTTTAGTGTCATAATCAAGTTCAATAAATTCGGACATAAAAATCGAGAAAACCACAGCGTTATGAGCCCTAAGTAGCCTAATAGTTTTGGCTCAACGCCGGGGTATTGTGATATCATCTGAAGTTGTAACTTCAACAACCTATCACAAAACTTACAGCGTTGGGGAATACTGTTCCCTTATTTTCTAAGAATGACAGTCTTACCTGCTTGTCCGTTACCAGCGTTTCCGCCAGGATTGTTGTTTGAACCTATGAAAAATGAAGAAATGCTGTTGAAACTTAAATGCAAACGTGGAGGTATGTGAAAGAATTTTATAACAAAGGTCGAAAATGGCAACTTTTATTTAAAAAATGAGAGATTACAAAAACTAAATCTATGTTAAAGTCACACAACGTTACAGCAACTTTTTGTCAACCAAATAAAGATGTAATTCTACACGGAAAAGACGGGATTTCTTCCTACCCGACCACACAAAGCACACCACATCTTCTGTTGTAACTCTCTGTCGTTCAGGGAAGAAACGATACTCCATGGCTGGATAAGTCTGCACAATGTTCCCCCTTTTCCCCATTCCGAAAATGTAATAGATGTTGCGATGTTGATGTTTCTTTTCCATTTTATTTCGGGCTTTAAGAATGAAAACATGACTTCTGTCCTGGAATGTTCGGCCAACCTGAGCAGTGTTCAAAGCGAGTTGAAGATCCGTTTTTCCGTCAACAGCTTTAGTCTTGGGGTTATTCTTAACTCTGTAAACAAAAGTCATGACGATGAAATTTTCATATTAAAGCAAGTGATTTGTGTTAATTCCTCTTGTTTTCATCTTGAGTAAGGTTTGAATACTTCTAATAGTGCCCTTTATG